TAAGGTCAGAATTTAACGAGACAAGTATGTATGTACATGTTCATGTTGTCAAATCTGTTTGCATAATAAGCGAACGACATCCGAACAACTCGACGAGAATCCATTATGCTAAGTGGACGAACAGACTGCCTACAAGACCTACATCCTGCATCAGGAATGAGGAACTTGACCCAATTCGATACGACTAAGGTCAAGGATGTCCGTTTATAGACTAGGTCGACGAAGAAATCCGATAGCCACTGGGGCATTCAACCTTTATTGCAGCCTGCCAGTGCCGTAGACGTCCTACACTGAGGAAAATTGTGCTATTAAATAGAGTTTTTGCTGAGATATTTCTTGCTACCATTACAAGTAATCATATTACCGTTATACATTTTCGAATAGAAGCAGCAACTTGGAATCCTTTGATAGCAATAACGACTTTGCTGAAAGTGAATTTCCTACCAAAGGAAGGTATACTGCTGTTGCTATCAGGCAGCCACTCTGGGACAGCATGATTTTTTTATAATTGTCTAGCTGAACTACTACTAGTGAGTTATATGCTTGTGGCTGCGAGGTTCATCGCATAGAACTGCACTTACTAACAATAATACAACTGTCAGTCTGCCACGAAAATAATATTTGACGAACCTACTTGGGGTTATTTAGCGCCTACTTATCGTTATTCGATATTTTGCTGATTTGTCCCCCTCTATTAAGCATTTGTCAGACATCTTGCTTGATCAATCGTTCACAGTTGGGCTCTTGATGCAAACCCATGTACAGGACGACAATCTCGACGACACGACAGTTACGAATATTTCCCCTCTTGAATTCAATTCATTATTCAAAATCTGAATCTGAATTCAAATATAAAATGGAAACATTTTCAAACAAATAAAAAAATCTTCTGTGTCCCTTTCAGTGCTTCCGTAGATCTGAGTGCTCCAGTTATTACCAGGATTGATGGAATGATGAAGGAGAGTTTTTTCGAGGTATTTCGACTGAAATTCAAATATTTTATATTCAACATCTCCTTCTTCTTGGTACCATGAAACTTTGAAATAATGGTCAAATATGTTCCAGAGCTTTCCTATAGAATGTGGTCTGAAAACTTATTGTCAGCAAAAATGTGTAGGTTATTAAATTATTTGAATGATTTTACTGGTAACATTTTGTTTTCCTGTACGCATCTGTAATAACTTGCCTAGCTTCCGAAATACAATGGTTTCAGAAAGTTTCAGAAAAATGTTTTTTTTTCATCAATCACTCAAAAACCTTTTGTTTATCCTGAGGGTGCATGAATCAATTGATCTATTGAATTTCAAAGATCATTGGTCCGAAATTTCCTTTATGAATCAATAAATAGCTATTCATACCAAACATCAGGGTGGAAATTATGGGAAGTGAAATTGGATATCAGTCAAATTTTTACCTTTCTTGATGACAACAATCCTGGAAAATAACTGAATAACTACAGTAGGAAGGTCATGCAACTATATATATGATCACCCATTAAGAGTAGCAAAGTTCCCTACCTACGATTATAACATTTCCCTGCTCTCATTATTAAATGCACTCACTAGCGGTAGCAAAGTCAGATACCTACTACAAAAACATCGTCTAATAGCAATATACAGATACACTCGCTAGTGACAGCAAGGTTCTATATCTAATAAACGCAGGTGGGTTATAATCAGCAAAGTCGACTTAATAATCACAGGTGATAACTCGCTTGTCCCCTGTGCTATTAGAGTTTCTTGCTGGGGTAATTCGATTTCTGACTATGGTCAATAGGAATTTTCCTCAGTGTAAGCGAATTACCAAATACAGGATGTTCTGAATATTCGAGATAATTCTGTCTGCCTGTTTCAATGGAAAATGTCATTCAATCATTTTGAAGTACTAACCCAAACTAGATCACTGTGGCAAACTGTTTTCTCCTTAGAGCTCTGTGAATTTTTCAAATAATTATACATTATATAATATACAACAACTTATATTCGATACGATATGAATATGGTATGGAATGAAAAGAAAATAACACACTAGATATACAAGGTGTTCCTAAAAAGCCTCTTCAGAAACGTAAGCCTGTCAGTGCCGTAGACTTCCTAAGCGAATTTTCAAGTACAGGATGTTCTGAATATTCGAGATAATTCTGTTGCCTTGTTGTTCACGAACAAGCCTGTTTCAATGAAAAATTGCATTCCATTATTTTGAAGTAATAACTCAAACTAGGTCACTGTGGCAAACTGTTTTCTCCTTAGAGCTCTGATGTGAATTTTTCAAATAATTATTGAAATTCACGATATTCCATAACATAAAAAACGACATCTACCCCAATAAATCCAATACAACTTATACAGGGTGACTCACGGTGAATGGCACATAAGACGTTTCTGGAGAACGCAACTCAGGATTATTCTGAAAAGTTGGTGCCTTAGAGAATTAGTTTTGTTCTATCGACCCAAAATATTCTCAACGTTGCGACGTTGCCGCTTATATTGAAGAGTAACAACTACTTTGATTTTTTCAATGGAACACCCTGTATATCATTCCATTTTTAGATTCTCCCTGAAGAGCTGATTCCATCGATCTATCATACTTGGGGTCTAGCGGGAATGATAACAAAGATATAGGGTGTGAAAAATCAAAATTTTTCAACTTTAAGAATTTTTTGTGTCGAAACTATTTATGATAATTGATCAAAACGATTTTCATGTCCATATCTAAACTTTTCATGTACTATCAATTGATATGAAATTGAAATACATACAGGGTGGTTCAGAATTAAGATTTTTGACAACCCTGTATCTATTTCAATTAAATATCAATTGATAGTACATAAATACATAGTTTAGCTTTCTACGTTGGGTTAGCTATCAACGTTGGGTTAGTTCTCTATGTTAGGTTAGCTTTCCAATAGATGTTTGATTTTTCTAATTTTATTATGAATTTTTATGACATGTGAAGTAATTTTCAAATCGATTTTACTCGAGAATGGTGCTTGCTATCGAAGTTGAACAAGAAAAGGCTTTGAAGTTACCTAATTTTTTGCTGAAATTGCGAAAAAACCATACCCATAAAGTTGGGGTGATTTTAACCCCCACCCCCCACAGTTTGGCCCTTTTCTAGATGAAATTTTGAAATTATTATTATCGCATGTTATTAGACATAAAAAGATATACGGGTGTTTCAAAAAAACCTGACCCCCTCGCTAGGGTAGGTAGAACACTGCAAAATAGGTTGGGTTTGCTCAGTGAAAAAATGTCGTAACGGCATCTGTTTTCAAGAAACAAGGTGTTGAAAAAATTATTTTTGTACACATTTTTCACGATTATGTCGAAACTACTGGCAACATTGTGATGAAATTTTGTATGAGTGTTCCTTGAAATCTGACACATCGCATGAATTTGTTTTTATATCTGACTTTCATAGAGGGCGCGAGTTACACGTTTCGTACCGAGTAGTTTAGATCATAACTTTTTTGAGGTTAGATTTTTCAATCCAAATATGATATGAACTTGAACATCATTCAATTTTACATCAAAAAGGTACACTTGGTGAAACTCGATACAATGTTCCGTTTTCGGAATATTTCGATTTGAAAATAATGGAGCAATAGCTGATGCTGGTATAAAATGAATATTATTGAGTTCAATTACCTATTTATTCAGATTCAAAAACAATAAAATCATTCTTGCACTGGAGTTATTGATGGAACAGAGAGTCATAAGTTGTAAATTAAGAGATATTTGACTAGAAACATGAAATATTGAATCAGTTAGTGTAAGTGTTCAAAATGTCCTACGTTTCGACGAATACACGATTCTAATTTCTTTTCTTGAGAATGTATTATTCTTTTAAACAGTTGAGAATCAGCTGTTAGGTCATTTGAGTGATGTACAATTATGTCTTACAACTCTTGACGTGAATTTACCTATGTAACTTTCTGCTCAAGATACAACAAAACAGTGTAATCCATGTTCTTAGTCAAATCTGTTTCCATGTTATTCTTGTGATTCATTGTTAAATCAATAAGTTTAGCATCAGAAATGTATTCTTGTTTTCGGTTTTCAATAAATAGGTGATAATTTTTCATAATACTCACTATAATACATAGCTTTATACCAGCAACAGTTATCACTTCATCATTTTCAAATCGAAATATTCTGAAAACGGTACACAGTATCGATTTTTACCAAGAGTACCTTTTTGGTTTTAAATTGAATGATGTCTAAGTTCACATCAAATTTGGATCGAAAAATCTAACCTCAAAAAAGTTATGTTCAAAACTACTTGGTATGAACCGTGTAACTAGTGCCCTCTATGAGAGTCAGATATAAAAACGAATGCATGCGATGTGTCAGATTCCAAGAAACATCCATACAAAATTTCATCACAATGTTGCCAGTAGTTTCGTCAAAATCTTGAAAAATGTGTAAAAAAAATATTTTTTCAACACCTTGTATCTTGATAACGGATGCCGTTACGAAATTTTCTTACTAAGTAAACCCAACTTATTTTGCAGTGTTCTACCTACCCTAGTTAGGGGGTCAGGTTTTTTTGAAACACCCTGTATATTCGCACAATTTCATAATCCTGTTTATAATAGTTTCGAAGATGTAAAATAAAAACCATCTTCAGGGTGCCACCTTTAGGGGAATTTAGCTCTTTATAGGAACTTTCATTTTATTTTTCATCGTAAAATCTGCGGGTGAAGTATTGCATGCTAATTATGGGACACTCTGTATAAATAAGTGTGATTTCATTTGAACAAACAAATATTCAATGCTGAAAGAAGTGTTGTTCAGTACAGTAGCTGGTGGCATGTCGGTTATGTCAAAATAGTAGATAAATAGTGATGAAATAGTCACACTTACTTGTACAAAAATTATTTGCGTATTTTTTCCACAAGAATCTTGTTACTAAACCGTTAACTTATACTATAATTTGATATTTCTTTTAGTTATTTTCGAATTTTGTTCTGAAGGAAAATTAATAATGCTTACTTTCAGGTAGGCCAACAAAATGCAAGTCGTCCCAATTGTGTTTGCGGTGATACAGTGCTGTTCAGTGTTAGCACAACGAGATTCAGGTGACTTCAATCCGAACGGAGATACAGTTTCTTCGGTGCTGAATCCCAACGATGGCAGCACCTTCGTCCAAGTCAACAGCGGATTTCAGGTGGGCATTTTTTTGGATATATTCGGTCTGGAACAAGAAGATGTTATCGAAACAGATTTTGCCAAAGCGTTTGACAGAATTGACCACCTTCTCTTATTACAGAAATTTTATTATTTCGGCTTTCATTTGTCAGCTGCCTTATTCCTCAAATCCTATTTCACTCAACGATCTCAGTTTGTTTCCTATAATAGCTTCCATTCAAATAACTTCATAACTACCTCTGGGGTTCCACAGGGTTCGAACCTAGGTCCCCTTTTATTTAAATTATTTATCAATGATTTGAATGACGAAATAGATTGCAAACGATTAGTCTTTGCGGATGACTTGAAATTATTTTCTATGATACAAAACATGGACGAATGTGAAGCCCTGCAATTTGAAATAAATAAGGTTCAGTAATTGTGCGAGGAGAATAAGCTTTATTTGAATGCATCGAAATGTAAGAAAATCCTATCTTATTAAATTACAACGTAAATAACACAATCTTGTCTCGTTGTGATTTAATAAAGGATCTTGGCATTTACTCCGATTAGAGCTCAACATTTGGTCACCGATAGTAAGAAATTGTAAATCTTTTTGGAATCTCAAAGCTCTATGTTCTTTGTATAATGCGTTCGTTAGATCTAAATTGGAATATGGTTCTATTACATGGAATCCTGTCTATATCTGTAACAGGTTGATGATTGAATGAGTTCAGAGACGATTCCTGAAGTTTTGATGTTTTAAAATCGATAATTAATATCCCGAAAGGGGCGTACCATACCAAACTTTAATATCGCGCTTTGATTTTGAAAGTCTTGACGTAAGAAGAAAGCGTGCTGGCATTATTTTTCTATACAAACTATTGCCCCATCAAATTAGTGCAAGTGATACAGTGTCTCAATAAAAATTTTTCTAAATTCTAGAACTAGGTACACTAAGACGTTTCACTATGATAGAGCCAGAACAAATTAATATCTGAAGTCCCATATACATGTGTGAAAACTTCAATAAAATTTCTGTTTACTGTGATATTCACCATTTTCAGGCTCAGAACAGTTTACCACAACAGTCCCAAGGTCAAGGATTGAGTGATGCGTCCTCGGACGTTCAGCAGAGGAACTACCAGAAAGTAGGCGTCGACTTTGACAGAGGAAAGTACGTAGATCCATTCTCGGTGGACTTCGAATACCACGACTACGATGAAATGACGAAGCTTCTGCGACAAACTACATCTAGATATCCGTCCCTAACTGCCCTCTATTCCATCGGAAAATCCGTCCAAGGTAAATTCAGTTCTCAGGGAAAACTTTCATGCTGTTATTTGTAAGTACGACTGACATAAACTACTATCTAGACAGCTAATGCCATAAGAAAGAAGCTATGCAACTCACGAGATCGAACTGGAGAACATTAATCTAGCGCATTCACTACCTATCATATCCCTGACCTGAACGTTCGGTTACCTAAACCTAGAGGCACTGGATGGTATTAGTAGATTAGAGTTCGGACACAGCTGAACTTCTGTCCTTTTCTATTTTCTGTGTTACAATGGTTTGAGTGAAAAAAAGAATAAGATCAAGAAAATAAGATTTAATTTCCCTAGTAGCGCCTCAGATACGATTTCAAAATTTGGATTTTCTCTCAAATCAATCATAACTGTAGATGGAAATATGAAAATGTGGGCCTGAAATATAGTTTCATTTTAATCTGCTCTGTTATAAAAAGTGAATTTTGATTCTAGTGTATGTACCTTACAAATTTTGCTTGTGTTCAAATCAATTTTCCAACCAGGCAGTTTCATACATTCCTTCCATCAGAGAATGGGGTTGATATTTCCTTTGGCGGATTAAACAAATGAAATCCATTCTCTTCAGAATAGGCGAGTAAATTTTATTTCTTGAAAAGAATCATCACTCAAATACCTTTCAATTTCATATTTTTTCAAATTTTTTTGGTCGATTTTCAGCTGCTAAAATCATCAATAATGCCACGGTAATCTTCAAACGGCTAGAAATTTACTGTCAGTAGAAACTGACAAATTCATAAATTCACAATCAAGTATTGGTAATATTCCTAAAAATTCCATTGTCTCAAAATGTTCCCTTATGATTTGTGGTTTATTGCATATAATAATTGTTGAAAAGGAATATTCTCAGATAAATCATGAACATATAAAAATGGATATATATTTATATAAAGCAATACATTGAGAATTCGCATTCTCTATGTGATGAGAATATTTACTCTTTTTCAGTTAATTCAATAGAAAACAACTACTTTCCTGGCTATATGCCACGACGAACATTGAATTATATCTATTGAACACACACGATAAGAGTTTGAAAATAAAATATAAAAATTTCTGAAATTGAGAATTTGCATTCTCCTTCAGACAAAAAATATGTATATACACACATCATTCTGAATATTCAACAGAAAACAACTACTTTCCTGGCTATTTGCCACGTCGAACATTGAATTATATCTGAGAATATTCCTTTTCAACACTTTCATACCCAATCAGGGGGTTCAAACTTGAACGATGGAAACTTGTGATTTTTATAGACCTCTTATCGCAGATTCGTGATAGAGTCTCAATTCAGAATTCATTTCCACGCCCTGTATGATGAATGTCAATTTATCATACACCCAAAATGCATATAATAAATTTGTGTGAATGATAATTATATTAATTCACACTAGAGGACATTTGAATCGGTGAACGTGACAACAGCGCACGAATTGTGGGCGTGGTCTGGTCAGTTCTCAGCATTCAGCACAATGTTGCCAAGTCTCCCACATTTATATGATAATTTGTTATGGAAAATAACAAATATTTCGACATGTTGGTTGCTCTAAAAAGTCAAGAATGAACTATAATATCATGGGTTCCTCCTATTATGTTTCATTCAACGACAGGACTCCAACATCTCGTCGATAACTTTGTCCGAACTCTTATCTAATTAATACCATCCAGTGACTATAATGAGCATTGAGCAGAAGCATTTTCAGGCGAGCAACTTGAACGCGATTTTCGGGTAGCAAGGATATTACATAAACCGGTCTAAATAGTAGTTTATAGTGATATTCGATTCGAAATCATGGTCATTCTGATGATTGAATTCCACTTTGATTTCGGGTTTAATATCGGGATTTATCGAAATCAACAAAAAATACGACAAATTTATGAAATGTAATGATGTGATTATCTTCCTACAAGAAAATTCAACCTTTTTATCACTTCATAAGTCATAATACTAGGCAGGTGTAATATGGCCTCCGATATTAACCAATAGTTGACTACCAGTAACTGTATCTTCTTGGGATATTTGTTAAAATAATTATTGGAAAAGTGGAGGGAATAATTATGAATTTCTTGTTGTGAAATCGAAGTTTCGGGTTGATAAATTAGGTTGAGAAAGAAATACTATGAGAATTGCACCTACTAGTTTTTTGTTTTCGCAGTTTATTAACAACTCACAGTCAGATGAAAACAACACTGCCATCACCAGACATGACAGTTAATTACTTTTTGTATAACCACTCAGTCAAATATCCTTTTATTAATTTCTTATTCAATAATTCGGTATTAGTTTTAAATATTCCTCAAACTTGAGGAATAAAAAACTCCGTTATTGTGTCACCCTGTATAAATCGGCCCTAATGAAATCTATTCACACTGATTCGCCTACCACTTTTAGTTGTTATTCACCTACTCATCATACCTAATCCACTACTTGAAACTCTGGTAAATATCAGGAGTACCGCAAGGATCTATTGTAGGTCCCACCTCATTCCCTATGTATACAATTGATTTCGACCATTTCGACGCATTTCAAACTGTAAACAGAATTTTGTAAGATAAAATTTAGATCAGCGAGAATTCCAATTATTATGGATTTTCAGGAAGAGATTTATGGGTCATGGTAGTGTCTGCATCTCCATACGAGCACATGATTGGAAAACCGGACGTCAAATATGTAGCAAACATGCACGGAAATGAAGCAGTCAGCAGAGAACTCATGTTGCATTTGATTCATGTAAGTTTGAAGTTCATGACATGAACTTTCTGAACTCTCTCTTGAAGGAAAATGTACGTTTCTGGAAATTATTGTTTGAAATAAAAAAAAATAGTTGATATTTTCAACAATCGATGAAATTTTTTAATTGTTAACAATGGAAAACTTTTTTTCAGTTCCTTGTTACAAGTTATTCTAAAGATCCCTACATCAAATGGCTTCTGGATAACACCCGAATTCATATAATGCCTTCAATGAATCCAGATGGATTTGAAGTTTCAAAAGAAGGAACTTGCGATGGAGGACAAGGAAGGTATATACTACTTTATCAATAATTTGTTTTTTGCATCTTCAAGAGGTTTTTTCAATTCCAGGTACAATGCACGAGGTTTTGATCTCAACAGAAACTTCCCTGACTACTTCAAACAGAATAATAAGAGAACCCAACCAGAAACAGAGGCAGTGAAGGAATGGGTTTCAAAGATACAATTCGTTTTGTCTGGAAGCCTGCACGGAGGAGCCCTAGTAGCAAGCTACCCCTTCGACAACACCCCAAACTCTAGTAAGTATTTGAAAAGAAAAGTGGTTTTGGTGTTGTGATGCGATTTTTTGAAATAATCATTATTGAGTTTCCTCTGCTGCAAAAAGGAATCTGCAGATCTTCAGCCTTGTGCTCTTGTAAGTTTAACAGAGTTAAATAATACCTCGATAGATGAGGATACAATGTGATACCTAGTTATTGAAGACCAACTTACCAATTATTGTTGAATCTCTGGTGGTAGTCCAAAAGTTCAAAGTCTTACTCCAAACAATGTTTAGTGCAAATTCCTTGCTAAAAGCTACAGGTTTCGAGTCCTAGGAGTCTCCATCAGGCTCATGGGACAGGAGAAAAAAAAACTAACAGTGGAAACATCGTTCACAAAGACATATTTAACCGCAAATTTTCAAACATTTTTGAATTTGGGTCTTCTGAATCCCGAGATGAACATTTCTGAATGCTTATTTTCAAAATGTTATTTTCCGAAGTTAACCATAATGATAAGTATGTGGCTTAGATAGAGTCAACCAACGAAACCAAACTATTGAGTAGAAATTTGCGTTTAAAATTGTTTGGAGTGAGACTATGGTATTTCTCTTGATGAAATTATTTTCAATTATTTTCAGTATTCCAAAGTTACTCCTCCCCATCATTGACACCTGACGATGACGTATTCAAACATTTGGCTCTGACTTACTCGACGAATCACGCTAAGATGAGCCGTGGCGTTTCTTGCAAAACATCACAGACCTCCTTCAAAAGGGTGAGTAGAAAACAACAAGAAACCTTAAAGAGGAGAAACTCAGAGTCATTACCTCAATAGTTCATAAATCAAATTACGTGTTTCTCTCCTGAATGCTGAGTTGTGCTTAAATTGTTCAGGAACGCTGGACTACCGACATAACGGTTTCTAACTTTGGCTCTCATCGGGGCAGGGGTGTCTCCAGATGGTATTCATGACCGCCATCTGGTGCGAACCTGACTCAACTTAAACACCTCTCAGCATTTGATACCCACGAGGCGTCCGACAACTGCAAAAAAGGAAAGAAACACTCCAAGACTGAAATGTCCATTTCGGATGATTGTCCTAATTCAATATATTGTCCTGAATAAATATTTTTGGCCTACTGGAGTTTTGAAACGTCTTACTTCACGTAATCAGTTGCGTGAAGTAAAATATTACATAACTGGTGATGAAATGTTTATTTCAACACCAGTTACGAAATAAAAATGAAGAGAATAGTAAATCAGCCATTTCCACTAATAAAAATATCATACGAGTCCATTTCGTGAATTCCGTCACTGATGTGACCATAATTATGATGACGGATACATTAAAGTGCCGGGCAAAACTCATTATAATTTTTTTTTTCGAGCGAAATATTCCATTAAAATCAGAAAGAATTCAGTGCATTACTAGTTAGGATATATCTATTTACGAATTGTTGTTACAGGGTATAACGAATGGAGCAGAATGGTATCCTCTGACAGGTGGAATGCAGGATTTCAATTACGTTTGGTACGGCTGCATGGAAGTGACTCTGGAGGTGTCTTGTTGTAAATTCCCCCCTGCTCATGAGTTGCCCAAATATTGGGAGGACAACAAATTGGTAAGGACACTATGTAGCTAATGGGGTAGATAGTCAAAATAAGACGAAAAGTTACAACGAATATTACTTGGGAATGGTCAGTTGTTATTTCCGAAACATTTTTTTTCATCATAATTTTTGTATGCAACATTCCTGAAACGCAAAATAACATAATTTAACTCAAAATAAGATATCTGGGATGACAAATATAAAAGTCCACTCCTATTTCAAAATTTTGACTGAGTTACCATGGTAAATTTGATTCCATCAATGATTAGATTAGATTTAGAATGGGGCCTTCGGGCTATCTGCCTCCACACCGCGACCTTTTCAGATCTATTGTGTCTGCCCTCAAAATCGATTAGAGTTCTTCGGCTAGCCCCGTCTTCTCTATGAGACTCCATAGGCTAGCTTTCAGATCCCCTGTGTATCTCTGGGCTTCTGGTTTTTCCTCACCCAGCGTAAGGAACCTTAGTCTTGACAAGCCCTCACAGTGGCAAAGTATGTGTACTGCTATTTCCTCCTCTTCCTGACAGAACCTGCACAGCAGTTCTTCAGTCAGCCCTATCGTACTCATGTGTTTGTTGAGCCTACAATGCCCTGTGAGAAGTCCCACTAGTATTCTAGTTGAACTTCGTTTCTGGCTTAGTAGATATTCTGTGAATGTTGGCGATGGTTTTTTAATAAACTCTTTTGCTTGTCTCATTCCTGGCGATTTGTTCCACCATTCTTGAGATTTGGTTTGCATCCATGATTTGATACTAGTCTTTTGTATAGCTTTCGCAATACCACAGAAGGGTTCTGGGCCATTCAGAGCTTTGTTTGCTCCTGCTCGGGCAAGTGAGTCTGCCTCTTCATTGCCCTCGTACCCTGTATGTGCTGGTACCCATGCTAGAGTCAGTCTGTTCTGACTGCCCAGTGCATTTAGGGTTTCTAAGCAGTCCCATACTAGTTTTGAGTTAACTTGCATAGAGTTGACTGCTTTGATTGCCGCCTGGCTATCTGAATAGATTGCAATGGTTTTGCCTTTAAACTCTTGCCTTATCAATTATTTCACGCAATGATGTATTGCAATGATTTCTGCCTGAAACACCGTCGCGTATTTACCTAAGCTCAGTGAGATTCTTGTCTTTGGCTTGGCCCCATAAATACCAGCTCCATCAATGATAATCCTCACTGAGATATTCCTCTGGAGTGACCACTCTTCAATTGTTTCGTCAGACTAACTCTCGATATGAACGATTGAATGCGGGTTCGGAACGTGGGGTTCTCGTATTCGATGACAGATGGAGTGAACGATGGAGATTTTTTAGGAAAATTTCAAAATGCGTTTCGAATCTTATTATGATGTTGAACTAGACTTTCAAGCATGTGTTTTTCTTCTTTTGGGACCTAAAGAGTCCCGTTGCTACGCGTCGTGCATCAAACTTCACACGCGGGAGGAAATGGATACCTTTCCTCCCTTGATATATGAATAGCTATCCTTCTTCTTTCAGTCTTTGATCAAATACCTAGCCGAAGCCCACAGAGGAGTGCAAGGCTTCGTCATAGACGAGAACGGCAATCCCATTGAAAAGGCTTCGTTGAAAATCAAATCGAGAGACGTGGGTTTCCAAACGACGAAGTACGGCGAATTCTGGAGGATATTACTGCCCGGAGTTTACAAACTGGAAGTAAGTTTGCGATACGCTAATTTTTTTCCTTGGGAATTTCTCACCAATATATCTAACCAACATAAAGTACTCGATAAGACTTATCAGGTTGTTGTGTGTCCCACAAGGTTCTGTTTTAGGACCTATACTATATTTACTTTATGTTCAAAATATCAGTGAAATTTTGGTAAATATAACATGTATGCAGATGATACAGTACTTTTATATTAAGGCAAGAATCCTTCAAATTCAGAAAATATGATGAATGTAGACTTGAAAATATTTGAAAAATGGCTCCAATCTAACCTTTTATCGATAAATACTAACAAAACAGAATATAGGATTTTTCACCAAAAAAATGAACAAAAAATGTACCTCAACCTTAAAATGAAAAATGAACTCTTAAAACAAACTGACCAGATAAAATATCTTGGTATTTGGTTTGATGACAGTTTGAAGTGGGACAAACATATTGATGTTCTGACAAAAAAAATATCTCCATTTATTGGTGCATTGAGAAGATGTCCCAAACTTGATATTAAAATTGCAAACATGATTCTCTACTCTCATATACTGAGTCTTATCAACTATTTAATAAATGTTTGGGGACCTTGTTCAAAAAATAATTTTAATAAAATATCAACATTATATAGAAAATCGTTAAAAGTATTGTATCGTCTCCCATTTAATACACCAACCAATCAATTGTATGAAATAACAAATACGTATTCTTTAGATGATATCATGAATGAAAAATTGAAGTCGAATATTATTTTGATACAGAATTCTGAAATTCATAATCATGAAACTCGAAAATATAACTTGTTTCATCTTGACGCCGCTAGCTCCCTAATCGGACAAAAAACATTCACTCATTCAGCCTTAACTGAATTCAATAAACTACCTGATAATATAAAAAATTGCAGAAATATAGGTACATTCAAAAATGAAGTAAAAAAACTGATTATTTCTGAGCGAACTGGATAAAATTAATCATGTCATTTTTTTTACTAATATTATTCTTTGTTTGCCAATTTACAGTTGTTGATATATTTTGAATGATGCTATGTTTACCTATAGGTATATGTTGCCTTTGTTTGCTCTGTTATTGTCCACGTTATTTGAATTTCAACTTTTTTCACTTCCATGTAAGTAATCAATCATTGCATTTATATCCTAAGTCAATACCGGTTTTTTCGAGAACTTTGAACTATTTTATCGGCTGATGATGGGCTTATATAAGCCCGAAACATGTACCATTGATGATCTTTGATCATTTCAATGAAAGTTGTGGAGATGACTTTGGGTTTTTCATCTATGTATAGGTATATAATTATGTACTTCCTTATACCAGAGCCTATTCTGTCTGGAAGTTATTTGTTCAATAAAAAAATAAATTAACAAAAAATGAATGGAAAAAGGATTTTTCAAATCGGTCCAGTATTTTCGGTGCCTATCCAATACAAACGAACGAACAAACAAATACCAGGAAAGAATCACTTGTATCAGTATTCGTTTATACGAGTCGATGCATAGATTTCGGGAGGATGTACTGTTCTGCGTGGTATTAGCCAAGAAAGTAGTTGTTTTTCTCCCGAAATCTACCATTGTTGTTCATTTTATGAACATTGTGTGGAAATGACTTCGAGCTTTTTGTATGAATAGAATAGAATAGAATAGAATATATTACATCCATGGTATACAAGTTATGGACACGTCATACAAAGAAACAAAGAAATTACAAACAAAAATTACAAGGGATAAAATCATTAAAAATCAAGAAAAATTAAAATTAAAATAGCACCAGGCACCAGTTGTCTACAAGAGTCGTTGATCAACTCACTGAAGTGGTTGATTCTGTAGAGACTCATTCTGACAAGAATCTTTCTCAAAGTTTTTTTGAAACGATCCAACGGCAGATCTCTGATATCTGTAGGAAGAGAATTGAAAAGAGATATTCCTATGGATTTGCTCTTTTCTAATCTCCTTTTATGAGGTACAATGTTATGACCATATCTGGTACTATAATCATGAATGTCTGAATGCGTAGTGAATGTATGTATATTTTTTCTAACATGTGTGAGATTTTCGTAGACAATTTGTGAATTTAAGGTCATAATACCAAAAGCTTGAAAAAATGGTTGGCAATGTTCAGTATAACTAACCTTTGCAATGCTTCGTACAGCCGCTTTTTGTAATGTAAAAACTCTTTGTAAGTGTGTATAGCTTGAACTACCCCAGCATAGCAAACCATAGCTCATCACTGAATGAAACATTGCATAGTATGCTGTTAAAGCAGCTTCTTGGCTCACAGTTGAAGTTATGCGCCTAATGGCATAAACTGAATTTGCTAATTTTCTGCAGATGTTGTCAACATGTGTGGCCCAAGTAAGGGATGGATCTAGGTAAACTCCCAAGAATTTTATTGAATGTGATCTAGTTGAGTGGACATGATAATTTGAGAATAGACATACCACTGTTTTTGTTTCATTCAAAAATAATTCATTGTTATCAAACCATTGTTTTGCGTGGGCAGTAACGTCTGCTGAAATATCGTCAATGTCTGTGCATGTGGGATTCAGGTGAATAGAAAAGGACATATCATTTGCATACAATATTGTCAGTAATTCATGTTTTGAAAGCATGTGTGAAGGCAGATCATTGGCATAGATTAAAAATAAAAAAGGACCTAGTATGGATCCCTGTGGTACACCCCTATGTATTCTATTTCATTCAACTTTGAGCATTGTGGATATTTCGTAGTTGAATATTATTATAGATAGTGAATTCTCTTTGAAATTTCCGAAACTAATTGATTTTTTAGGTATATGCAGACGGCTACATTCCAAGAGACCTAGAATTCATGGTAGTCGATGAACATCCCACTCTACTCAACGTCACTCTACACGGAGCAAAGGTACTTGTTTTTTTCAACAGACAATGCTGAAACATTCAACTAACAATGTGGTGGTGGTCTATTGTACATACACTCTTGTAAATATTTCAGCCTGGTCAGTATTTTCCACCACCGGTGACTTCTCCACCCAAAACTATTCTATCTATCGACAATAGTAACATACGTCAATTAGCTGATGATTCTGTCACTTTTCCCAAAGAATGAAGAACGTGTAAGTATCAATGTAGTTTATGTGTACCTACAGTATCTATTTATTGATTGATTCATTTATTTACTGAATCGAGTAAAATTTACATGTCATTGAATATTAATTACATGTACCGGGTGTACCACTAAGAAAGGACGCCGGCTGTATCTCGGAAACTATTTGCCGACAGGTTTCGGAAAAAAATATTTATGATTAAAGTGGCCAAGAAAAATCTCTGTAAATTATTTTCAAGTTTCCAGGACAGCCGCTAGAGGGCATAATTGCATTGGCCAACTTAAAAAACGGGTTTTTATAAAAAATTGATATATCGAGACATATCAGAAACACTTTTTTCATGTTCTCGAGTTGATTTCCAATCATTTCGATCGAGAAAAATTTCGCTAGCTCTTTAAATAAAAGAGGGAAGGAAGGATGAATAGTACTCTGGAAAAACTCTTATTACTACAGTTTGGTGTAATTAAGAGATGTTGGTCTCATTATGAAGGGCTTTTTCAGTTCTTCGCAATAAATCACGAATCAAGTCGATTTAAATCCCGTGGTGGCCGCTAGATGGCATCGTTTAAAAAAATCAGTCGATTTGCCTTTTTTTTTGAGAATTTCAAATGGAACCATATATATTTTCTGCAGTTGATACCTTTCGAAGAACCGGAGAAATACTCCGAATAATATTAAAATTTGAACGGTTATAACATGTCAAAAGCCTCCTCATTCGTTATCGGCATTTTAACAAATAAGCAATCCACAATGAACAGTGAAAACTTCCAATGGAACTTCAATTATATTTTGACGTTTTTTCATTCAAAGCCAACTTGCCTTTTCTCATTCCTGAGCCTATACTCACTACTTACATTTCAATTAGTTATGTCATTACTATGAGTCTCCTTCACTATTGTGACATATAACAGCAGTTTGTGAAACCAAAATGAATGAATAATTATTGAAATCATAAATTCATAGATACAGGATATTTCTGATTACGATTATTGAAGTTATAGATTTCCTGTGGTGAATATTTTCATAATATTATTTCGAGTATTTCACCGGTTCCTCAAGAGGTATCAATTCGCGGTTTTCACCATTTTTCTTCTCGTTTGCTCTACTTCCATATTAGAGTAGAATGAATATATGCTTCCATTTGAAATTTTCGAAAAAAATGGAAAATTGTCTGATTTTTCAAACGATGCCCTCTAGCGGCCACCACAGGATTTAAATCGACTTGATTCGTGATTCATCTGGAAGAACCAAAGAAACCCTTCATAATGAGACCAAGATCGTTGAATTCCGTTACCCCAAACTGTAGTAATGAGAGTTTTGTCAAAGTACTATTCATCCTTCCCTCCCTCTTTTATTCAAAGAGCTAGCGCAATTTCTTTTTATCGAAATGATTGGAATCAACTCGAGAACATGGAAAAAGTGTTTTTGATATGTCTTGATATATCGAATTTTCATAAAAACCCGTTTATTAAACTGGCCAATGCAATTACGCCCTCTAGGGGCTGTCCTGGAAACTTGAAAATAATTTCCAGAGATTTCTCTTGGCCACTTTCATCATTCATATTTTTTTTCGAAACCTGTGCGGCAAATAGTTTCCGAGATACAGCCGGCGTCCTTTCTTAGTGGTACACCCGGTATATAGGCTGATTCACAGAGGATGGTACATAAGACGTTTCTGGAGAACGCAACGTAGGATTATACTGAAAATTTGGTTTCTTGGATAATTAGTAGTGTTCTATCCACCAAAAATAATCTCAACACTGCGACGTTGCCGCTTATATTGGAAAGTAGCAACATCTTTGATTTTTTGGATGGGACACCCTATATATTATTCCATTTTTAGATTCTTCGATCGTGAATAGCTAATTTCATCGATCTATTACACTTGGGGTCTAGCGGGAATGATAACAAAGATATAGGGTGTGAAAAATCGAGATTTTTCTACTTCAAGAATTTCTTGTGTCGAAACTAGTCATAATTGGTCAAAACGGTTTATATGTCCCAACTTTTCATGTACTATCAATTGATATTTAATTGAAATAATTATTAATAATATAATATATCAATAATAATTGATACTTCCAACTTCAACATCCTGTATATGTATTTTCTATAAGCCAACTTTTAACTTTATTTTCGAAAGTAATGTTATTCAGACGTTTTAATCTTGATGGTACTTTATTATAAATTTTCGATCCAATAAAACTAAAATGTTTTTTTTTTATTCTCAGCTTATGTTTTTCAAGTCGTACATTGTTGAAAATGGTTTTACTTCACATATTATAATATAACTGCTTTTGAAAAAAATGTCCCTTGAGTCATCGCTCAGTCACGTGACGATCATGGAAATGAGCATATTCAAGGATAAGGATCAACTTATTGTACAAGCAATGTTTTTTTTAAATTTTCTAAATGATGTCAGATTGACAAACAATCAAATTCATTTTGAGTTTTGAAACTCACCAGTTTCATACCCCAATTTTTGAAATCCTCCATCCCCTAGTCATCATCATACTCTTGTAGTTTCTCGAAATCCATTTTGACAAACAGTTTTCAGTGTAACTGAAACAAACAAACAAAAAATTTTAGAAATCTATGAACTATAAATATTTTACTAAATATCTTCAAATAAAATATGTTGGTGAAGTTCCTCCTTTGAAAATATGATAGGATATATACAGGGTGTCCCGATATTGCTAGGACACAGAGCTACCACGTGTAATATAGGTAAAAATAATTTGATTGGACCCGATTTATTCAAAGATTACATAATAAAATAAAATTTTGTTCACTGTTCAGAAATGAGTGAAAGAATGAAACAAATTTGATGAAATCTTACAAAAGTCCATTTTCGAGGATTTCACTCCTTTCAGTGATCAAAGAAACCCAAAAGAAATTATAGAAGATTTGAAACTACCCTCACCCATTCACATTTTTTTCAGAACATTCTCAATTCAAGGGTGATTACACGATTTTGAAATTTGTTTAACAAGGAAACAGATTAATCAGCTCCACTTAATTACTCTTCTGAAAACTTCTTTCCCCCCCCCCATATTTCCGAAGGAAAAAAAGTTTTATTTAGTAATGCCATGTAATGCTAACAGATGTTCCCAGTACAAGTTTATATTTTATTTTCATTTCATTATTTTATAATAAATGTTAAATATAACGGCCACCTCCATCAATAGAAATGTCAATTCGACGTGAAAAACTTAAATGCACCTGTTTTTTTTTTCATGTAAACTTAGATCTCTTGGCACGCACAAACGGTACATTTTGGTATATTAATAAATTGTGTCTAATCAATTTTTTTTTCCTCTATTACACGTGGTAGCTCTGTGTTCAAGCAATTTTGGGACACTCTGTATTTACATATTTTTAGAGGTTCATTCTGAATCTGAGCAGGTGCAGAAACTTTGGAAAATAAAATGAAAACTAACATTTATTTCCTTAAAATACACTAACAGAGAAAAAACTCCAAGTCGTCTCCACAAGTTTAATGGCGAAGTGTGCAGGCAATTCTGCTTATTACTTTTACTTTTACTTTTGTCATAGTCATAGTTTTTTTATATTCTGGTTCCCACGAAAAGTGGTATCCTATAATGTTCAGAGAACATCGTGAGAACCAAGGGAAATAAGGTAGGAATTGGTGTTCATCTTAAATTTCTGTAGGTTATATGCCTCGGGGAACACCTCTCTTGGCAATGTGTTCCAGAGCCTCGCTGTTCTTTGGATGAACGAGTCTTTGGAAAGAGATGTTCTGCAGGTCCCCAAAGTGACCACGAAGGGGTGCGAAGCCTCAACTCGACGGGTTAATCTCGCGGGGACTGCCAAGGGAGGTACAATTGTTGATATTTCAGAAGAGCATCGTCCATAAAAATATCTATAAAATAGAGCCAGATCGCCAACTTTCTTACGGTGTTCCAGAGAAGTAAGTGAGTTTGTGAGCGAGGCATCACCCACGAGACGAATTGCCCTTTTTTGGACAGAATCCAACAGTTTCCGGGTATGTTTGGGTGCTGCACTCCAAATATGAGAACAGTATTCCAGGACAGGTCGGATCTGTGCCTTATAGATCATAAGCAGCTGACTGGAAGTGAAATAGCTCCTGGTCCGAAACAGAAAACCAAGATTTTGGGATGCACTTTTAGCAATTGATCTCACGTGATCTTCCCAAGGAAGGTCATTGCTGATAGTAATACCAAGCATCGAAATGGATGTCTTCAAAGGTATGGTTACTCCTGACAAGCTTATTTTGGCACAGTAAGATCGGCTTTTCTAGAGAAAAGGCATGCTTGTGTTTTGGTTGCATTGAAATCTACCAATTTATTGGATCCCCATTCGAGAAATATTGCCTAGTCCATATTTATGTTGTCAACATTTCTCCCTCGTTCGTTTCTGATTTGCCTGGCTGGTATTGGAGCCCTGGAAGGGAAGGCGGTATGGAAGGTACTATCATCCGCGAAGCTGTGTACTGGACATGAAGTTGCTTCCAACAAATCGTTGATATGGAGTAGAAATAGTGTTGGTGCTAGAATTGATCCTTGCGGAACACCAGCATTCATGATAAGAGAGTCAGATGAAACTTCGTCCATAAGATGGAAGCTTGGCGAGGAGTCCGTGGTGCCAGACTCGATCGGAATGCCTTGGAGATATCAAGTGCCACGGCTAAGGTTTCACTGAATGAAGGTGATCTATACCTTTTCAACTTCAATTTCGGAAATGTAATCTCGATTTCAGAATTGGTTAGTTCGATTTCAGAAATGGTAAACTCAATTTCAGAATCGGTGAGATGAATTTCAGAAAAAGTCCATTCAATTTCAGAAATGGTAAGTTGTATTTCAGAATTGGTAGGTTCAATTTCAGAAAAAAAATCCTTATATTTGTTCGAAATGTTTCCAATTGTATGTGAGATTAACAAACCATATTTACAATATTCAACTTGTCAAAAGCAATTCGATAACATAATTATAATCTCAATTTATTCCACAGATGCCTTCCATCCGAATCGCTGAAAGATAATAGCGTTGCATATGATTATGAGAATGCAAACACATTTGAGGTGTTATCATTTTCATTGAATGATCTGCACATTCCTCAAGACATCGCAGTCTGAATTCTATCTGGTTGAGCAAGCTGTTCGGATCCCCAGCTATGACCCTTTGGCGATGCTCTTGCAAGAAGCTCTTCACTTCTGACTTGGAGGCACCCCACATATGTTCAATCTGATTCAACATAGGGCTCTCAAACACCGTTCATCCACTGTAAACAATCTTCTCTTTTGCAATTAAAGACCTTTCAAACATATAAAAGGATTTCATCTTCTGAAATTGAACCTACCAATAATAATTCTGAAATACAACTTACCATTTCTGAAATTGAATGGACTTTTTCTGAAATTCATCTCACCGATTCTGAAATTGAGTTTACCATTTCTGAAATCGAACTAACCAATTCTGAAATCGAGATTACTTTTTCCGAAATATAACTCACCGATTCCGAAATTGAAGTTGAAAAGGTATAGAAAGAAAAAATTGTTCTTACTCAACATCTAGCGAAAATGTTGAGTAAGAACAATTTTTTATTTGTAGATCACCTTTGTTCAGTACTATGACTGATGATGACCATTAGAATGGTCGAGACATGCCTCAAAAGTGAAAGTAATAAGCAGAATTGCCTGCACACTTTGCCATTAAACTTGTGTAGTCGACTTTGGGTTATTTCTCTTTGATCATCCTTCTCCACTTCGAGCATGGACTACTTCAGATAATTTTTTAAAATACACTTTTTCTTATGTCTCTTTCGTTTTTGTTTTTGTTCGAGCCAATTATTTTGTTCACTGACTCTAATTTTATAGAGAAAGGATGGCAACGTGTACCGGCCCCAGCAACAGTTCTTCCATCGCCCCGTATACCAGCAGCAACCTCAAGAAACCGGTATATTCTCTTCTATTAGCAACGGATTCTCGAATCTGGTCAATTATTTCGGTTGAGGAATAATTGCTGGATCTGATATCATCGCACTGAATATTTATTTATGTGTCACGAATTGTTAAGTCTGATGCAAGAAGGGCAGAGGCGTTTATTTCATTTTTCTACAAACGTCAAAAAATGACTAGGTTCGCGCCTTGATAACAAATACCTTGCACAAAACAATGCGCGAAGTAAAACAGTGCGCGAAGTACCTACTTCGCGCATTATTATGTAAAATATATGAGATATTTATATTTCAACTTTATGGTCCTCAATCGGGCAAACGTCCACGAAATCATTTATTTCTGAATGTTCAACAATAACTTTGTTTTATCTCTTGGAGCGCACGAAATGAAATTCCTATTATGTTCGTGGAACATCGTGCGTACCTAGGGAGGATAGGGGGAGGCCTTTAAGCCAGTTCAACACTATTTTTTGTATCAAGCTGAGGATATTTTTACTTTAGAACTTTATTTATGATGTTTGTAGAAAAAATATTGTTTGCAAATCGAGCGCGAAATACTTTGGTCATCTCGACTATTTTTTTAACTCGGCTACGTCTCGTTAAAAAAATCAGATCTCGATCACCAAAGTAGCATTTCGCGCTCTAGATACAAAAATAACTATTTTCTACAAACGTCAAAAAATGACAAGGTTCGCGCGTTGATAACAAATTGCGAAGTGACACTTTTTTTCAGTTTCCTACGTTACCATGATACCTTGCACAAAACAATGCGCGAAGTACCTACTTCGCGCATTGTTATGTAAAATATATGAGATATTTATATTTCAACTTTATGGTCCTCAATCGAGCAAACTCACAAAGTCGGTTATTTCTGAATGTTCAACAATAACTAAGTTTTATCTCTTGGAGCGCACGAAAGGAAATTCCTATTATGTTCGTGGAACATCGTGCGTACCTAGGGAGGATAGGAGGATGCCTTTTAAGCCAGTTCAACACCATTTTTTTTATTAAGCTGAGCATATTCTTACTTAAGAACTATATTTTTTGACGTTTGTAGAAAAAATGTTGTTTGCAACTCGAGCGCGAAATACTTTGGTCATCTCGACTATTTTTTTAACTCGGCTACACCTCGTTAAAAAAATCAGATCTCGATCACCAAAGTAGCATTTCGCGCTCTAGATACAAAAATAACTATTTTGATAGGATACAATCGTGAGATTTAGTACAAATTGAAAAATAAGGCAGCTAATGCGTCACGTGAACGACAAAAAATTTGCATCACAATGAACATTTATTCAACATTGATTTCACGAAAAAAAAAATCCAGTGGTGCGACAAAACTTGAACAAATTGCGATTTCAAGGTATTTCCCAAAGATGCCGGAAGTTTCATTTTATTAAATAGAAATGGTTTGGTTGAATGTCATTCTTGCACCAGAGCCCTAAATGCTTTGATGAAAATTAATGTTTGCAATAACGATATAAAAGCACATTGTGATTTTATTGAAGAATGTCCTCTTCTGCACTTGCCCAATATAAAACATACCTTGTGTTAGATATTAAGGAATAATGTTATCAGAATATTTATTATATAAAAATTTGTGGAATATTTATTTTGTCTGTTATTAACACAAAGAAATCATGTAGGCTTAGAGTATGTTAATTCAACATGTCATTCAGTGAATGTAAAACTAGTCTGTCCAATATTCAGTGTATTTTCAATAACAGGCAATAAAAAAATAGTACATTGTTTTATTAGGATCAAATGTGACACTTTGTTTGACAAGCGAATCATGCGAGTCAAACAGTCACTTTTGATCCGAATGAAACATGTATTTTTTCTGCAATCGAAATAATTGATATCTAATTAATAAAATATAAATAAAAATACCACTATTTTGAGTCACTTGAGCATGCCAGTGTCAAAGCAGCTATCATATTAGCTGTTATTCGACACGTTTTTAGTTCCTAGGAGGTAAACCGTTTTTAGTTCCTAGGAGTTAAACTTCAACTTTAGCTCCTAGACACTAAATGTGTTGCCTAGCAACATACACTAATCATTTCATTGTGTCAGTAAGAGAAACTTCAACTTCAATGGCTAATTTTGGAACGAAAATGGTAGACTTTTGAGCCGATTGCAGAAAAAGTATACTTATTTACGTTGAAATACACTCATGACAGCCAAAATATGCGACTAGTTCTGCAAGATAAAAAGATTTCGGAGAATAGTTAGGATAGAAGTGTTTCCTAAGTATGTGTTTGATTCTTTGTGTTATAGGAATCACCGCCATCTATTTAGGAAACATTCTGTACACTTATTGCAACCTTTGCCAAGTAATAGAAATGTTTCATTGAACTAAAATATGTTATTAATAATGATATATAATATTTTTGAATGTTATGAAAAATATGAAAAAACAAAAATTGACTGTTATTTCTGAAATCACTTATTATTAAAATAAAACATTCAGAGAAAAAATAATTTGTTTATATAGTTGACTGATCTATACTTCTACACTACACTGTTTCATCACTAACCAAACCGACTTTTTCATCGCCTAGAAAAGTGAGAAGATAAAACTGAAACCTACTTTTGACAAAATGTAGCAACATTCTTTTCCCTACTTTATAGTTATTAATTTTGTACTTGAGAACGATACTCATCAAAAAGTTAACTTACCAATGAAATCCAATGATGTGGAGTGATGATCATAGAACAGGTAACTAGTTAAATGTGGTCAAACTGGTCCAAGAGCACGATCTTGGGGAACTCCGTAACCGATGATGTTTAATTCGAAGGAACAGCTCAAAAATGTAACACAGCTTGTTTTCTGTGTCGAAGAAAATGACTGCAAAGCCCAGACAAGACAAAATCAGCAGCAGCAGCAGCAGTAGTTTTCAGAAGTTTTTGGGAGATCAAAGTAAACTGCTGCTACTCTTCATATTTGTACTGCAAGTAAAACTATAAGACTTCCAGAATAGGAAGAATAGGAAAATATTCATAGAAATTCGTTTGAAATCATTCAACTATTATGCTTTATTAAAAAGGAATACTCTCAGATATAATTATGAACATCAAAAAATGGATATATATACAAGGTGTTTTTGAAATGAATGCACATATTCAGCACATTAATATGATACAGTCTAAGGAATATTCCCATGATATCAGATTTTTTCTAATTCTTCTGATTCTGAAATAATATTAATGATAACAAAACAATAGCATTAAAAATATGCATAATAATCATCTCACATTTACAAAAAATGGGGTTTTAGCCGTCTTTTGAAATTGTATATATTATTCAACTTTTTCAGCGAATCAGGAAGAGAATTATATATAATTATTCCATCATAAAATATTGATTTTTTCCCATAATTAGCTTTGATTCTGATAGTCGAGAGTCCATTATAATTTCGAGTACTATAATTATGAATACTACTGATTTGGGTGAATATTATGTTCGAATGTTTAAAATGATATTTCACTAAATGAATAAATGTACATATTTTCATTTTATAAATAGACTCTATACCAAGAATATTTCTATGTTTGTAGAGATTCATAGTTCGTTCCAAAAAAGGTAGTTTGAATATACATTTTATTGTTTTATTTTTTGAAATTGGTAAAGGTCTCAATTTAGATTTATTTGCAGAACCCCAAACAGAAATCAAGTATTGTATCTTAGAATAAATGAGGCAATAATATAATTATATTCATTAGATACTTCCTAGGAATATGATTTCGAATTCTATATAATATTCCAATGATTGGACTTATTTTATGACGTAATTTCTCAACATGTTTGTACCATGAAAATGGTTTATCAATGAACAATCCTGAAAATTTCGAAAATTCTGTTTTGATTTCATTAACACCAATTTGGGATATAAAAATATAACTTACCAACATCAGTATTGAAATGTATACGAAAAGTATACTTGTATAAACTCTGATCTTGATGAGCTTGTAACTTCCAAAAAAATCATTCGTATCAGTGATATGGGAATTATATATCTCTCATAAAAAAAATTATGATTTATTAAAAAAAATTATAAAAATCTACCTATATTAAATTCGAAATGAGTTTTGAACATAAAAGAGAAGTAAATCTGTATAATTCCAGTTCAGGAAGTTTCCTCAACTGGCGTTATATCACGAACATACTGGAAAGCTGCAATAGTAGCCGTTAATTGTATATATTCGTTAGCTCCAGAACATAAACGATGTTCAATTTCGGCCAACTTATCCAACAGATCTATCAACAAATTATATGGAAACTCAACTGAAAATAAAACCGAATTAAATAGAGAAAAAAGGTCGATTACCGACTCATACTCACTTCTGTGTACGTACTTATGAACCTCAGTAATGATGTCATGAAGAGCTAAACCTTTCAGCAGCTTCAGTTCTTTTATATCTAGAACCGACTTCGTTAAGGAAAAGATAAGTACGTGGTCCAGGTATTTATTCAGTCCATTCAAAAGACAGATCAGGAAGACATACGTAGGCCAAACTAGGAGAATCGATAAACCACGACTCAATGAGCATCTTGCATAAAAGAGAGATTCCATGATAGGATAATTAGTTTTTGCATAAGGATACTTTGATAAGTTGTTTTGAAGTCTTCGGTCAACAGCCATTTCACAATATTCTCAATATCAGCCCTCAAAGGATGCCCTACACAAGTGTAAACGTTATCTTCTGTGACATTTTTATAAGCGAGCCAAGTACTTTGAAGAACATTCAATACTTTACGCATGTCACCGTTGGCTAGGGTTAACAAGGCTTTTTTACCATCTTCTGTTACTGTCACCCTAAGATAAGACAAGAACACACACATACTTCAATATAAAGAGTAATAATTTGTACGAAGTTGAAGTAAAAATAGTAGATTGTTTTATTGGGATTAAAAGTGACACTTTGTTTGACAAGCGAATTTTGCATTTGCGAGGCCGTCTAGCGAAGCAGAGCGGAAGCAAAATTTGCGAGTCAAACAATGTCACTTTTGATCCGAATGAAGACTAAAGAAGTTAGTGAGTTTGTGAGCGAGGCATCACCCACGAGACGAATTGCCCTTTTTTGGACAGAATTCAACAGTTTCAGGGTATGTTTGGGTGCTGCACTCCAAATATGGGAACAGTATTCCAGGACAGGTCGGATCTGTGCCTTACAGATCATAAGCAGCTGACTGGAAGTGGAATAGCTCCTGGCCCGAAACAGAAAACCAAGTTTTTGGGGTGCACTTTTAGCAATTGATCTCACGTGATTTTCCCAAGAAAGGTTATTGCTGATAGTAATACCGTGCCATATGTATGCAATGCAAGAAATAATCAGATCAGGTTTATTCAATTTTCAAGGATGTTCGAATTGTAGTTTCAATATAAATACAACCAGAGTGACCCATCTGTGTATTCTATTGAATCGATGAATCGATTAATTCATTTGGACCAGGTATCTGCCCTATAATAGCAAATACCGCGCCAGTGCTGGGTATAGGAAAAATAAGTGGAAAATGTTAGGTTAGTGAGCATATCAACAATAATAATAGCAATTATTTATTTCTCTCCATGTTCCACTGTGTTTGGCTCGGTAATCAAAAGAAGGTAAACAATATCGTGTGAGACAAAAAAGTATTGCTGGCCGTGATTATTCAAAAACAAGTTACCCAATCAATCAGATCTAGAGAATGAAAGAAATACAGATCAATGTTTGTATGAATGTGAATCTTCAAGACTTTTCTGAACAAAACAAAAATACTCAACTATAATATGGTATGCGTCTCAACCCAAATAACCATCAACCATAACAATGGGGTTTATTCTTGATGAACTAGTACATCCTCTTGAGCTCCTAGGAACTAAAAGTGTTGCCTAGCAACATACCTATGTTTGTGTCAGTAATAGAAACGTCATTTCAAGAGCTAATTTTGGTATTAAAATGGACGATTTTTGTGTCGGTTGCAGAAAAAATAGATTTTCCCCAAACGTTATTTTGGCTTTCAGGCATCAGATATATTCCTTCAAATATCACCCTGTAAAATACTCACTTTTCTTCATCGACTACATAGTTCAATCTGGGCAAAATCTGATCTGGTGAAAGAGGGCCAAATCTGAACCTGGTACAACGTGACTGCAAGGCGGGTATTATTTTGCTGAGGTAGTTACAAATAATACAGAACCTGATATTTTCTGTATACTTTTCTATGACTGAAAACAAGAAATAGAAACTTTTTCACCTTGTTTAATCTTTTATCTAAGTATCATATTACTATGATAGACATCTGCAGCAGGCATTAATTTCATAGTAAAGAAAATGAAGAGTTTCAAACTAATGAAATATTTTATCACAAAGAATATACAGGGTGAGTCGTACCAAAATATAACGATAGGACCAAAATATATACCTTAATAAAATATTGCTGCAATTTTATGATGTCTTTTTCAATAGCTGAAAGTTGATTGACTTTCACTAATTTTTTAATTTAAATTTCACTTTCAAAATAAATGAATAAAAAAATGAATTTGGAATTTTTTTTCTTCAATTTTTCCTGAGGTCTTTTTCAATAGCTAAACGCTGATTACTTACTTACAAGTACGCACTGATGTTGTTAGTCGAAAACTCTCTGCTACGAGAATTTATTGAAAAAAAGGATCTTATCTCAGGTCATTCTTTTAGGTATGTTCGAAACAAATAAAGAGCGTTGGATTTGAAAAACAATACTTTCGGGGCTTTCAATAAACTCTGTACAGGGTCTTGACGTACATTTTGAACACCTACTCCACATTTTCATGTATTGTTTATTTTTTCCATATTTTTCTCTGCAAATTATATATATGCCAAAAGAAAAACATCTCAGAAAATACTTATGGGCAACATTTATGAATGTTCAAATAGGACACCCTGTATTTTATTGCATGTTGAGATTCTCCCTGAAGAGCTGTATTCATCGATCTATCACACTTGGGGTCTAGCTGGAATGATTACAGAGATATAGGTTGTGAAAAATTGAGATTTTCTCAAATTTAGTAATTTTATGTGTCGAAACTTCTGTCTGAACTTTTGATTTACTATCTACTGACATTAAATTGAAACAAAGTTCGGAATTCTGATGACCCTGTATTTGTTTCAACCATTTTTGGCCAATAATGAATAGTTTCGACACAAAAAAATCCTAAAGTTGAAAAAAAAAACACAATTTTTCACACCCCATATCTCTGTAATCATTGCAGCTAGACCAGGAAAGAAGTAATCAGGAAGAATCTGAAAATGCAATGAAATACAGGTTGTCGTATCTAAAATTTTATATCTGTTGCCCATGAGTAATTTTTGAGATGGTCAACAGTTTTTCTGTTAGCATATATAAAATCTAGAGAAGAAAAGATGAAAGAACATTCCTTGAGAAAAATAATTCAACAATACATACAAAAAGTCAAGTGGGAGTTCAAAAATATACGTGAAAACCCTGTATATTGTAACGAACTGAATTAGAGAATTAGATTTTTTTATCGCTTGGAGCGCACGAAAGGAAATCCCTATAATGTTCAAAGAACATCGTGCGTTCCTAGGGAGGATAGGGACAGGAGGTGGGTATTGGAATTTTTTTTGAACTTCTGGAGATTATATGTTGTTGGGAATACTTCCTCAGGCAATGAATTCCAGAGCCTAGCCGTTATATGGATGAAGGAGTTTTGATAAAGTGCTGTTCGGCATCTTTCGAGGTTGACAACGAAATGATCTGCTGACTGGGCTTGTCTAGTTCGTCTGATTGGTATTGCTAGTGTAGGAATGATAGCAGAGATTTCCGAAGAACATTTCCCGTGGAAGTATCGATAGAAAAGTGAAAGATCGCCGACCTTTCTACGGTGTTCCAATGATGTCAAAGAGTGAGTGAGTGTGGCGTCACCCGCCAGGCGAATGGCTCTTCTCTGGATGGAATCTGAGAGCATCAGCGTATGTTTTGGTGCTGAACCCCATATGTGGGAACAGTATTCTAGAACAGGCCGTATCTGCGCTTTGCAAATCATGAGAAGCTTTTCACACGGAACAAGAATCCGAGTTTTTGTGAAGCAGCTTTTGCGATGGATCTGACATGATTATCCCATGAAAGAGTGTTGCTGATGGAAATACCGATCATAGATATGGTGGGCTTGGTGGGGATGGTGGTGCCAGATATTACAATGTCGGGCATAGAGAGGAAACAACTAGGTTGTTGGTTCCCCAGGCTGTGATTTCAGCAAGGTCTTCATTGGCAGCATTGACCTGCCTGCGCCGTGAGTTCTTAGTTTCCTGAGAAGAAATGGGAATTCTGGAAGAAAACGCAGTATGGAGGGTACTATCATCTGCAAAGCTGTGGATGGGGCAAGTTGTTACTCCCAACAGATCATTGATATGAAGAAGGAATAATGTTGGTGCCAAAATTGAACCTTGTTAATATTATTTCATTATCTATCGATTACTGGAGAATTGGTCGATAAAATTTGATTACCCTGTGAGGAAATACACATTTGTGGGGACGAAGAAGAGTATGGAAGAGCTAAGGTTTAGGTTGAAAATGAAATTCTTGACACAGGACTATAATTTAATTTGACAAGAATAAGAAAACAGCAATATTATAAATTACTGCAAGGAGCACACTGAAGATGATGCAGCAGTACTGAGTGTTTTATTTGGTCGGCCAGAATCTTCAATAGCTCTAGCTTTTACAATGTTAGCTTGTTGATTTCCATTCACTTTTTTAATTACATTCACTCCAAGATGTCTTGCCACTAGATTAGTTAAACATGAGTTTACCTAAAAAATACGAAATAATTATCTAGCTATAGGTATGGAAATCTACGAACAATACATAATGTTGATATTGGGTAAACATGAACCAATAATTTACAAATTCTGATGAAGTGAAATTTAACTGAGCGGTCTATTATGATTTTAGCAAAATTATGTGGCACTAAGCACTCAGTACAGGGTCATTCCGTATATTCAAACAGCTTCTACAGGGTTCATCATTGAAGATAGAGAAGAACTTCGAATGCAAAAGTTGTAGGGTTTGTTCTGAACCTCCAGAAAATTATACCAGATGAAACAAATGAATGTCTCTGATATAGGAAATGGTACCAACTTCGTTATTTTCAATGGAACACCCTATATATTTTTCGAAAAAAGTCAAGATCTTTTCTTCCTGATTCCAAAAATATATTGGTCATTGATATTTGGTTCAGCCGTTTAAGAGATATTCGAGGTTGAACATTTCAGATTTTACCAAATCGCAACTGCCATGAAAGAAAAAAAAATGCACTTTTATAACTGAAGGAGATGCAATTACACAGATGTTCGATGTGACCACCGTTGTTTTGTATACATTTTCTGTAGTCTTTATTCAATTCATTTATCGTATTGCAAATGAAGTTGGAGTGATGATTGTTCAATATGTTAATGCATTCCAAAATGCTTTCTCTCATATCAGCCAAATTTCTACTTCTTTCCTTATACATTTCATTGTTCAAATAGCCCCATAGGAATTTATCTAAAGGTGTCAGATCTGGACTGTTTGGCGGCCATTCCACTGTTCCAAATTTTCCGATCCACGTTTGATAACGATCATTCAACAATCAAGTGATGCCGTACGGGCATAACTTGATGAGGTGGCGCGCCGTCCTGATGCCAGATCAATATATTATACCAGGGTTCGTAATTATCAAGATAATTATTTTTTTTTGATAATTATTAGATAATTATTAGATAATTATCGGATAATTATCGGATAATTATCGGATAATTATCTGATAATTATCGGATAATTATCGGATAATTATCGGATAATTATCTGATAATTATCCATACTGACAGACAACTTATTTTCGTTATATTTTTACTTACAAATTATTTTTTCAGTTCAAATATGTTGTGTATAAAAATAAGAAAGGCATTTATATCAACTTTTTTATTATTTGAAACTACAAAAATAAAAATAAATGAATAAAACTGAATATGAAATAAAAAAATAAATAAATTCAAAATTTGGCTCAACACGGAATCTTTAATTCTCGGCATTTTTGTATATTATTTTAGAATTTTAATTTAACATACGAACGAACACGTTTGTTTTCAGTTTTTTTGACAGAAATTTTGAGGTTATTTGTGTTCGGTGAGTTCGGTCGGATACGAGGGTGCGTTCCGAACTTACGCTCAAGTGCACTGGAGTGCGAAAGGGCAGTCCAGTGGAAAACGCTAATAATACAAAGTTACAAAGTACAACTAGAGTTAATGTGGATTTTCATAATTATCAAGATATTTATCAAGGTATAATTATCAAGATAATTATCAAGATAATCATCTTGATAATTATCTTGATGATTATCGATGATAATTATCACTCCGAACCCTGTATTATACTGCCTGAGTGGGAGGTTTTCCAACAGATTTTCAATTTCATTGTTTAAAAACTGCAAATACCTATCTCCTGCTAAATAACCCTCAAAGAAAATTGGTCCAATTACTTGGCTTTTCAAAATACCCACCAAACATTTGCGACCCTGGTGCTGAATCTCTTCGTATCCATGTAGATTATGAGTTGACCAGATATGGGTGTTTTTCCGATTATCAACACTGGCGGTGGTAAAAGATGCCTCGTCGGTCCATAAGACCTTCTTTAAAAAATCAGTATCCTCGTCTTTTCTCAGCATCATTTCTGTGCAATATGCTTGTCTTGCAATTTTATGATTGTCTGTAAGCTTTTGCACTGGTATAATTTTAAATGGGTGATATCCGTGTTTATGTAGGACAGTTGAAATTTTTTTAGTACTTTTGCCAATATGATTAGATGCATCCGTAGTGGAATAAGTGGGATTTTCTAAAAATAATTATATTTTTCATGTATACACAAATATTTACTTCATAAGTAATTCAATGTTTGTTCTACCTTGGAAATAAAGCAATATTTCCAATTCTCCACCTTCATCAGCAATGACAGTGCGTTTTTTTCTTTGAAGATTTTTTCGTTCTCTCATTCTCCTCGCAGTGAAATAGTTATTTATTATGCAAGGGAAAAAAGTAGTAGATTTTATCTCCAGGTTGTGAGCTAAAATCTAATATTTTTCCCGTGTATAATGCACTATTTTTTTTTGTGACAGAAGAAAGAACAAATCAATATTGAGAAGATATTACATTAACATTATTTTGAAATCTGAAAATTATCGACGTGAAATTTCAAGTTTTTAACAGTAGAGACACCTGCGTTGTAGGCATCTTTATCATTCTTTTGAAGTAATCAATTATCTGATGTCACTTATGTTAGTCTAATTCTGTCATTTGGTATCAAAAAATTGCGAATTTAGTGGTTGTTTAGTAATATACGTAACCGCGAAGTCGAATGGAAGATAAAAGGACTTGCAGTTCTTTCTCGGAGACGGTATTATTGACTCATTTTTCAGAACTATAGCACAACAAAAGCCATCAACAGTGTATATATATATATATATATGTGATATATATATCCGGGAAAATAGTAGGTTGTTTCATTAGGATCAAAAGTGACACTTTGTTTGACAAGCGAATTTTGCATTTGCGAGGCGGAGCGTTTAGCGAAGCCGAGCGGAAGCAAAATTTGCGAGTCGAAAAAAATCACTTTTGATCCGAATGAAACATGCTATTTTTTCTGCAACCGAAACAATTAACTCAAATAAACATGTGAAGTAACCACCAATGCCTTGCCATATCTATGCAATGCAACAAATATTGACAAATAATCCATGTGGTGAGAATATTCTACCTGCATTAACAGCAGGTTAGGTTTTCTAGGATGTTCGAATTGTAGTTTCAATATAAATACAACCACAGAGTGACATATTTGTGTATGGACCAGATGCTCTGATGGCAAATACCGTGCCAGTGTCAGCTATAGGAACAAGACGTGGAAAATGTTAGGTTAGTGAGCATATCAACAATGATAATAGTGATTATTTATTCCTCTCCATACTTCACTGTGTTTGACTTGATAATCAAATGAAGCTAAACAATATCGTTGTTTGAGACAAAAAAACTATTGCTTGCCGTGATTATTCAAAAACAAGTTATCCATCCCGAGAATAACGAATGAAATCGATCAAGCAAGTATTTGAATCTTGAAGGCTTCCCTGATCAAAACAAAAACACTTAACTGAGATGTTTATAATTCCAATACTAAACTATAATAAAGGTGTATTTATATATCTCCTGCAAGGGTATGAAATGCCAAATCTGCTGAAATCGGAAACAAATCAGGTATGCGTCTCAATCCAAATAACCAACCGTCACAATGTTGTTTATTCTTGATGACGTCCAGTACATCCTTTTTAGTTCCTAGGAGCTAAAGTTCAACTTTAGCTCCTAGGAACTAAAATTCAACTTTAGCTCCTAGGAACTAAATATGTTGCCTAGCAACATACCTATTTTTGTGTCAGTAATAGAAACGTCAATTTAAGAGCTAATTTTGGTATCAAAATGGACGACTTTTGTGTCGGTTGCAGAAAAAAGTAATTTATGAAAGCTGACATTTTATAACCTGCCAACAGAGATGAAATGCCAAATTTTTTTCCCGTCACAGGAAAAACGTACTTCTGGAAAGAACTGGCATTCCAGAATGAATGCGTTGATACTCCGCTCGAGCATCCACTGCATTATCATTATTTTTGTAGAATAAACGAATCATTTCAAACTTTTCATCTTCACTGAAACCCATATTTCTTCCGGAAATCTATGCAATGAACATATGACAGAACGTTTTATTGATGACAACTTGCGTATGTGTTGTTTTTTCTTCATGGCAATTGCGATTTGGTGAAAACCTCGAATATCTCGAAAACGGCTGAACCAAATATCAATGACCAATATATTTTTGGAATCAGGAAGAAAATATCCTGAATTTTTTCGAAAATTATATAGGGTGTTCCATTGAAAATAACGAAGTTGGTACCCATTTCCTACATCAGCGATATTCATTTGTTTTATCTGGTATAATTTTCTGGAGGTTCAGAACAAACCCAACAACTTTTGCATTCGAAGTTTTTCTCTATCTTCAATGATAAACCCTGTAGAAGCTGTTTAAATATACGGAATGACCCTGTACACATATGAATTTCAATAATTTAAAGATAAATAATTCATACAAAAAAATGTTCTTACATTTTCACCAGTTTTGGCAGATAGAAAGAAACTCATCAATTTGGATTCTGACATGAAATGAGTTCTATCCAGTTTCACTAATCTTTTATGCTCCATGTCAACTAGAAAACATTCAAATTTAATGAAATGACAAAAATTCACCTCTACAACTTACTTTTATTTCCACAAACTGCTACTGTAACTGGATTGCCAATGATTTTTTTGATTGACTCTATCCAGGATACCAAATTATCAAAACTAGAAGAATTTGTTATGTCGTAAACCAGCAAAATGATCTAAAAATAAGTATTTGTAGGAAAATTATACATACAGGGTGTTTCGTAATATGTGGGACGCACTTCGGGAGGTGATAGGGCGTTTCAAGGAAATAAAAAAGACTTCGTTTTCGAGATACAGGGTTGTTGAAGTTGAAAATATTTATAGAATTTTTTATGTCCACCCTGTATGGCTTATCGTGGCGGCAAAATTTAGTATGTTATGTGACTTTTGTTTATCCTGTCAAAGTGCGTCCCACATTACGAAACACCCTGTACACAATGATTTCAAAAGGTAGGTAGATAACATGTTTTATTCATTATTTTGTATTAGTTCAAAAATCCACTGATACTTAGGTATGAAGTATTTGCAATGTTTTTCAATGAGAGTGTTCAATAGTTATGATTTTCACCACCAATTCATTTTTTTTTTAATATTTGATTTGGATAGTTTGTGGCGAATTCAGAATATAAATTGTCATTAACGTGGACATTTCTAAACAAATAATTGATTATATGCCTCCAGCACATATTTACATCAGAATTGAAGAGATAATTTGTCAGCATATGTCCACTGATTTCTGATCCACCAATATCGAAAAATCTAATAGAAACTTCTTGGTCCTTGAATAATTCCAGTCTTTTCATATAAAATTCAGCACCGATAGTTTGATTGTATTGTCTCGAAAATTCATCGAAACAAAATCTTCTAATGAGGCTTGTCTGAAACGAAAAAAATCGCTAAAGCATTTTGGGAAAACTTAAAAAATATTCAGAACTACCAACCCTTATCGAGTATACTTATAATACGAATAATAATTTGTTTCCGCAAGAAACATACAGTAAACTGTCAGTGACTTTAATCTGGTGTGCCCCAGGGATCAATTCTCGGACCTATTTCATTTCTGATTTATATAAATTCTATCTCAAGTTTGAAATTACAAGGGAATTTAAAATTATTTGCTGATGAGACAACTCTCATTTATTACAGAAAAAATATACAAGAGATAAAAAACCAAATAGAACAAGATCTCGCTTACAAGATCATAAATTGACACTCAATTTCGCTAAATCTTCTTTTATGTTCATCTCGAAAAGAGTTATACCTGATAACCAAATCCTTCAAAATTCGGGAATTTTTGTATGAATCCTACAAAAAACTCCAAATTCTTAGGTTTAACTATAGACCAGACTCTATCTTGGTCATCGCATATTCAATTGCTCAGAAAAAAAATATCTCCCATTGTTGGTATATTATACAAATTGAGGTCTTTTATACATCTTAAATACTTGAGATTAGCTTATTTCAGTTTGATTTACTCTAAATTGCAGTACCTGATATCGATCTGGGTAGAGTTCCTTAATGTACTTGACACTGCGCTGTTTTGACGTTTTTTGTATAACATACAAAAAACGTCAAAACAGCAGTGTCAAGTACATTTAGGAACTCTAGATCTGGGGTACTGCAGCAAAATCTGTCTTGAAACCTCTCAAATCTTTTCAAAATAAAGCCATAAAATGTTTTTATAAACTACCATTTCTGGATTCAACATCTGGACTATACAAGCCAAGGGATCTGCTAGATATTGACTCTCTCTTTGAAATGAAAGTATGCATTTTCATTAATATCACTACAAATAAGAAAAAGCACTCGAATCTTACTTTCAATATCAATTCTGATACCCATGAGCATCACACCAGACAAAGTGAACAATTGAAAAACCCAAAACCCAAATATTTATAATAGTCTACCCAACACCCACATTATTATTATTATTTTTATTATTATTATTGAAATGGGTATTAATATTCATTGTTTGATTGTGTTCAAAAAGGAACAATGAACTAATCTAATAGTTCAATTAAACCATGTGAAAGAAGTTGAAATATCTCGCTAATTGAAGAAATGCACTTGTTGAAAAATCACAAAAGAGCACAATAAACTTACCTTTCCAACATTCGGATCACCCAGAAAGACAATTTTCAACTGTTTTCCGAGTAATTCGTCTTCCGATTCAGACATATCACTAGTCATTTCATAATTTCATTCTGAGCAGCTTCGAGTGTAGGCAGCTATCCAGATTGAAAATTTACCATATGAATACGCTGAAATCCAAAGTGCCTCTTACCGGAATGTTTCCTCGCCAAAATTATACCGAACGAAAGAAAATGTGTACATGCAATACATATTTATCAATACCTCGAGTGTAGTATAAAAGGTATATCTCAGAGGGAATGGCCATTTCATTGTCAAAATCCAACGAATAATGTTCAAACACATTCTGACGATTGTTCTATTTGTTGTCATTACAAATTTTTATGTCGACAGTTGTTTGATTACAAATTGTCCGAGGGGTGGAAAAAGAAGTGGAAAGTCGAGCCTTCTGGATGGAAACGTTAAATCAGTAAGTACATTTTCCTACGAGCGTGCTGAAATGGTAATTTTCCTAACAAGTGCGGAAAGTGATTCTTTCCCGCACGCGACTGCCGTTGACACGAACGACGCGAAGCGGAGTTTGGGCAAGTGCGGGAAAGACACTTATTTCCGCATGAGTTAGGAACAATATTTTTTCTACAATCGTAGGAAATTGATTGATTCGTCTAATTAATTATCCATTTATATAGGAACAACTAACAAGAGAAATATATTCTCTATCTACTAATTATTAGTAATAGCTATTGTGAAATTACAGTTTGACGCATTATGTAGGTTCATTGCGGAAGCCAGCAGGCCCATATAAGGTGTTTGGTCTTTAGGTTTCAGACACTCCTAGGAAATGAGCCAAAAATACTTCTTCTTCATTCGGTACTTTCATTTCTTTATTGTTGCACCATTCAATAAAACGCGTGTATCGGGTGGTTACTAAAAAACCGGAAGTTTTAATTTTCCTCGTGGTTTCATCATTTCTCAACCGAATTCGAATTTCTTGGCGTCGTTGCATAGCTGAAGGGCTATAGTATACAGTGGAATATTCGAAATTTCATATTCATAATGAACAAAAACAAAATGGCGGATTCTACCAAAGTATTGTCATTTACAGAAACCGCTGGAGAAAAAGAAAACCAGATTTTTTCCAACCTGTACCGATGTCATCTTAGGCTATTCATTTCTGAAGAGAATGAGTACTCGAACATCGAAATCGAACAAATAGTCCAGTAGATACACTCATTTCTTTGCAATTTGTTATGGAGTGAATGTGCTAATCTCGTATAAACGATTATTATTATTTTGCTTCAGGCTTCATGAAAATTCAATCGAATTTGGATTTCTCAGAGTTATTTCAAAGATAAAGAACTGTAGTACACAATGGAACATTTGAAAATCCAATAATTGAAAGAAACAGAATGGTGGAGAATCCAGATTTTTTGTGATTTTCAAAAATCTCTGGCGAATAAAAAAATGTTTAATCTCCCAATCAGGACCGATACAATTTTAGATCATTGATTTCAAAAATTTTAAAACCCTGTATCTCGATAATGTGTTCATCTGGTTTTTCGTTCACTATGCTGTGAACTGTCGCTTTTTGCAAAATTACGATTCCTTGTAAATGTGTGTGGGAGGCATTGCCCCATCCTAAATATCCGTAGGTTAAGATTGACTGGAAAAGATCATAGTAGGTGGTGAGACCAGATTCTTTATTTCCTATATCTGTTATTCTGCGTATTGCAAAAACTGTTTTCGAAAATTTGCCGCACATGAAATTTACTTGAGGAATCCATGATAGAGTGGAGTCGAAAAATATTCCCAGGAATTTTATTTCCGTTTAAATTGCTCTACGAATTTCAGAGAAATAACTTTCAAGGATTTCAAAATATTACATTGTTCTGGGACACCTTGGAAATTGACTTGAATTGAACTTTCCCATTGTCAGCAAGATTGAGACGGTACTGTTTCGGTCCAACATGCCTCATCAGTCGCTCTCGATCTGTTGATAATTGGGACAGCTCAACGCTTGTGTTTGAAGCACAATTCAAAAGCATCATTATTATTGTGATTGATTTTTATAGTGCCTTTCATGTGGTCCAGGATATTCAGGTCAATGTTTCGGGCCGAACATATGTTGTGGTCATTTTGGTTGTCTGATGGGCACACCAGAAACGATCAGATGCCAAAAAGAAGGGATGTTTCATGAAAGGGAACCCTGCATAGCTGGAAACGCTTCCTGCAGAAAAAATACAGGACGTTGTGCCATGGAGAATATTTGCTGTAGCCAAGGTAATGGATACAATACATGATAATTCATTTTTTTCTGTAACGGGAAAAAGTTTGTCATTTCATCTCTGTTGGCAGGTTATAAAATGTCACTTTTCATAAATTACTTTTTTCCCGTGGGAAAAAAAGTGAGTTCTTTTTTCCCGGATATATATCACACATGTATACACTGTTGCTTGCTTTTGTTGTGCTATACTTCCGAAAAATGAATCAATAATACCGTCTCCTAGAAAGAACTGCTAGTCCTTTTATCTTCCATTCAACTTCGCGGTTACGTATATCACAAGGTTTGGTAATCTGTGCGTATATTACTGAACAACCACTAAATTCGCAATTTTTTGAAATCAAATCACAGAATTAGACTGACAGAAGTGACATCAGATATTTGATTACTTCAAAAGGATGATGAAGATGCCTACAATGCAGGTGTCCCTACTGTTAAAAACTAGACATTTCACGTCGATAATTTTCAGATTTGAAAATAGTTTAATATCTTCTCAATTTTGATTCGTCCTTTCTTCTGTCACAGAAGAAAATAGTATTATTATACACGCTATTTGACGACGACGTGAGTCATTTTGACATGGATAAAAAAGGTATGCACCTTTTTTATTGCTGATAAACTGCCTGCTCCTTTAATCTAGTAGCTATTTGCGCCTGATGTCACTCCAATTTCTGTCGTGTCAAGTTTGATTGATGGGTATGGTTCACGCGTAAATTAGCAAGATGAGCCGTTTTAGGAAAATTTCGTCTGAAGAAACCGCGAAAATATGTGTAAATTAATTCCGCAAACGGTAAAACTGCATTTAGCATGCAATAGGTTTTTTTTCGAAAAATTTTTTTTGGAACTTACGTATTTTTGTCTGAAAAACACAAGTTACATTTTTCACCTTCTTTTCCGCCTGTCTTCTGGATTGCATTTAAAACAATTTACCCTTCTTTTTTCATCATTGGACAATTTATATATATCACAATGTGACACATTTTTTTCTATAATTGAGTCAACTAGAAATATGATTTTCTTGTGATATTCATATTTAGTGAAAAAAAGGAAGAATATCATTTAAAATAATGGCGGGTGTAATGTCATTCAGAAGCACTCTGTTGACATTTGACAGCTCGTATTTGGATTGACTATTAATTAAATGGCCGTCATCTGGTATGCTTGTTCACTAAATATGAAAAACTTCGCATAAAAATCATATTTCGTGTTGAATTTTCCATATAAAAATGTGTCATTGAAGTATACATCATGAGTATACAAAGTGCATAGATAAACTACATGACAAAGTGTCCAATGACAAAATAAGAAGAGCAAGTACCTGTAAATGCATCCAACACAAGGGGATAAAGGAGTCGAAATTTCGAACTTTTTTGAAATATCTCGATAAATAGTGGTTTGTTCACATTATTATTGTCAAATTCGTGTTTTTCAGACAAAAATACGTAAGTACCAAAAAAAATTTTCGAAAAAAAACCATTGCATGCTAAATGCAGTTTTACCCCGCAAACTACCAGTTAAACGGGATCAATAAAGGTAATCATTATTGTTGTTTATTTGTACATTTGTATATTGTCGTTGATTTATCAGGCCAAAAAACACTAGAACTTTTTTTCTAATTGGATAAATTTCCTTACTAACTCAAATATTTTCCATCAGTTATTTCTCTCGAAAAACTGACAGACAAAATTCCATGTCAGTTTTTCTCGTAAAATTACTGATCGGCAAATGTTTTTCGTTACCAAGAGAAATTTACCCAATAGAAAAAAGCTATTGTGTTTTACTGTTGATAAAAATAGTTATTTATTATACAAGGGCAAAAAGTAGTAGATTTTAGCTCCAGGTTGTGTTATTGACAAGGTATTACATTATTTTGAAATCTGAAAATTATCGACATGAAATTTTAAGCTGTTAACAGTAGGGACACCTGCGTTATAGGCATTTTTATCATTCTTTTGAAGTAATCAAATATCTGATGTCACTTCTGTCAGTCTAATTCTGTGATTTAATTTAAAAAAATTGCGAATTTAGTAGTTTTTTAGTAATGATAAAAGGACTTGCAGTTCTTTCTCGGGGACGGTATTATTGACTCATTTTTCGGAACTATAGCACAACAAAAGCCATCAACAGTGTGTATATATGTGAAAAGTACTCACTTTTTTCCCACGGGAAAAAAGTAATTTATGAAAAGTGACATTTTATAACCTGCCAACAGAGATGAAATGCCAAACTTTTTTCCCGTCACAGAAAAAAGGTGCATTATGCTTCAATACTGACACTTTTCTTTTTGGAATGAATTGGTGAGCTCAACCTTCATCTCTATGTATGTATAATACAATTAGAAATTAATTGAATAATGGAAATGTCATCAAGAAAAATTCAATAATAGATTATCTAGGTTGACTGTAGGTGGGTATTTAATGAGATAGAACCCCTAGACAGAGATGTATCCAAGTATGATAATCAAGAATGAGAATAATTATTCAATTAGATTTTATAAAATATGTTTCTCTCTATGCAATCGGCAGGGAAATTGGCTTTTCTCTGACACATAACAGGTAGGAAAGTTCAACTTTCTCTGCCTAGGCAGGAAAAGTTAGTAGCTATGCAATGTTCCAAGAAATTTGAATAAAATTGGTAATCAAAATTGGCACTGATATTGGGTGAACACAAAATGATGGATTTTTCAATAGAAAAATTAAAAAACTGGTTCTAAAACATTTGAAGAAAAAATTATATATGGTTTAGTGAAACAAATGACTATTTTTTCAGATTCTTGCCATGTAGATAGACAATGTGCAAGTGAGGACAAGCTGAGGCCATTTTCAGAAAACCTCATGGGATTGGACCTATACAATTTGATCAACAACTATCCCTCTGAAATATCCAATGAAAAATAATCAATAGCATGAGATGAGAGTATGTGTGTAGGCTAAGGCTAAATGTTATGTATTAATTATTCTATATTATATGATTGGATTAAAGTGATAATGAAAGTTTCATACTCACCCTTGTCATACCGAAAATGTGAGGAAATCACCCAAAAAAACTGTTGTTTCAACTTTCACTTGGTCACTGCTTTACTATATTTTATAGGTGTTACTAAGGTGAAAACAACAATACAAACATAGCAAATTATGTCTACATATTTCATTACAAGAAAACCTGTAGTAAAAGGCACACCTCTATCAGGTCTAACTGAAAAATTTCAGAGAATTGAAAAGCACATGACTTGTTGATGAATCACTTATAAATAAAGAAACTGTGTTAGTTAAACATACTCTGAAAGTGGAAAGTTTGATATGTAACTAGCCAAAAGTAAAATATAAAAAATATAATTTGTATAAATTATGGTAATTTGAAATTTTAAAATATTTCAAAGGCTATGAACCATAGTGATTTTGATTGTAAATCATCCTGTTCAATGTTAGTACAAATATTCAGAATACTTAGAGGTAGGTAATTCAGAAGAAAAATGAAACACATTAAATGATAATACCTGGGTGTAGTGATTTAAAATGAACACTTACTTCTGCGCAGAGCATTTTGAGCATCCATAGTCATTGCATCTGCTTCATCAAGAATTATCAATTTGAAGCCAGATTTGAATATTGTCCTAGTACTGGCAAAAGTCAAAATTTGTCCTCTAACAATGCCTATGCCTCTATCATCAGAAGCATTCAATTCTAAAACCTGAAATAAAGGATCCAACAATACTTATATACAGGTTGAAAATCATGTTTTAGTGATCAATATTGATGAAACTTTTGATTTGAGGTTTCATAGGTGAAAATTTACTAAGTATATAATAGTACTGTGAATATAGGTACTGTGTGAAATTTGAATTGGATATCATCAAAATAAGTAAGTTTATCTACCATGGACGAGAACTGAGATGGTGTATACAATTGTTTGGCACATGCTAATATGGTGCTGGTTTTTCCTGTTCCTGGAGGACCATAAAATAACAGATGAGGTACTTGATCCTCTTTTATGAATTTGCTGACTGAAAGAAGTTGGAATTAAATTATCTGTGAAGTATGTCAGGTAGTTCCTATGCATTACAGAACATTATTTTACCTGTTTTAATGATATCTTCATGGGATACCAGGTCATCCAGAGTACTTGGTCTATATTTTTCTACCCTGGAATGGAAGGTTTAATTATCAATGATAATTATGTAGCTGCATTGAAGTGCATGTAAGAAATAATTTATAGATGCTCACCAAGGTAGATTCGATCTTTGTTGAACTTTTTTAACCATCTTCAATGAAAATACAGAGAAATTACAGAGAAATAATAAAGTTTACAAGAATACCGCCAAATGAAAAGTATGATAAAAAGGTTAGGTTCACTTTTGACACGGAACTAAATAAAATAGAAAGTTAATGACATTTTGACATTTTGCGACTTGTTGAATGCTTTGTTGAGCTTCTTTCTTCGAGTTCTGTGGTTGGTGGGAGTTTTTTTTATATTTGTGAATTGTCAGAAATTGACGTTTACATTTTACGTTTGTTTTCTTCATTGTTGAATGGAATTTGATTTCAAATTATGAAATTTTCCATTATCCAATTCTATATCATTGTCAGGGACTGTCGAAGTGCATGAAGAAAAACCTCTCAAAGTAACAATATGACCTATCAGAACCGTGCTTAGATATTTGATAGAATTTCAAATAATATTGAGTAGTGGTGCTGGATATTCTATACTTGCAATATGTATGCCCCAGAAGAAACCCCTGTGATAAATAACAGTGACAGTGAAACAGAAAGTATTTACAATGATGAATCCACAAGAATACTTCCACCGGAAGGTAGGGACATTTAAACATCGTGGAGAGAGTGTTTTAATATTTGTTTTCTGTATATTTCAGTTGAAGACACAAAGGATTGCATGAAATCCAGACATATTCTTGGTATACTAGGTTTCTTAGGATTCGCCAATGTTTATGCCATGAGGGTAAATTTATCTGTAGCAATTGTAGCTATGATCAATAGTACACAACCTGCACCCAGCAACAATAGCTTTGATCACTGTCCAGTACCAAACAATACAAATTCCTCAAGTACAAACGTGAGTACACTTTTTCCACATTGCATAAGAAAATAATGGCTTGTGTTATTTCAGACAAATGGTGAATTCAATTGGGATGAAAGCACCCAGAGCATTGTTCTGGGCTCTTTCTTTTATGGGTATGTGCTAACTCAGGTTCCTGGTGGAAGGTTAGCTGAAATATTTGGCAGCAAAAGAGTTTATGGAATTGGGGTGCTAGTTACTTCAATATTCACTCTCCTCAGTCCAGTTGCTGCCAGAATCAACTTCACTCTGTTCATTATTGTGAGAGTTCTTGAAGGAATGGGTGAGGTTAGTATAAAATCAATTAACACTGTTTTTATTGTTCATCTCTAACTGAAATTATTTTTTTTTCTCAATTACTTCATATGACAATTGTAGAAGAAAAATGTTTTTCAGGGAGTTACTTTCCCTGCAATGCATGCAATGCTAGCAAGATGGATACCACCACTAGAAAGAAGTAAATTTGCTGCTTATGTATATGCTGGTAAGAAGACATATTGCTGGCAGATTTAGATTTCAGTCAGTATCAAATGAAACCCTTTTTTTATTTCCCCTAATTGCTTGTTGTAGGTACTAATTTTGGAACCATACTCTCTCTACCTTTGTCAGGATGGTTATGCTCTCTAGAATTAGATGGAGGTTGGCCCTTGAGTTTTTATTTGTTTGGGATATTAGGTATAGTTTGGTTCATTTTTTGGATGTTTTTGATATATGATTCTCCATCCACACATCCCAGAATTGATAGACAGGAGCAATTGTATATTTTAGCTAGCATAGGACCACAAGTAAGAACAAATAATCAAAAATATTCACATATTTCATTTTTGGTTATGTGTTTCTTGATGTCCTAAGTATGTTTGAAATAACTTTTTTTTAGGATGAAGATGACAAAACTCCAATACCTTGGTGTAGCATAATAAAGTGTGTGCCCCTTTGGGCCATACTGGTCACTCAATGTGGTCAGTCTTGGGCCTTTTACACCCAATTGACAGAGTTACCGACCTATATGGCACAAATTTTACATTTTGACATCCAGTCTGTAAGTATACTAATAAATTAGTTTTGTTTTGGGGAGTCCATATTCATAAAAAAAATCAGGCAATAATTAAGAAGAATAACATATTTTTTAATGCTTGGAGCACAAAAGTGAATCCCTATAATGTTTTAATAAATTGACAAAAATGTTTATTCCTTATAGAGAAACAATTTGTTTCTGTTTTTTCAACACAGACTCTACAATAAAAACCAGTATGGGTACAAATATTGTTGTTATTTTTCAGAATGCAGTTCTTTCAGCTATTCCATATCTCACTAGTTGGTGGTGTGGTATTCTAGTGAGCATTTTTGCGGATTCATTACTTAGCAGAGGATATTTATCACCATCCACTTCATATAAATTATTCAACACTGTTGGTAAGCTGAAATAATTTGTCAATATTTTCAATGTATTGAGTACTGTCATATTGTGAAATGATACTATTGATACCTTGGAATGTTTTAATTCATGAAAATTCATAATCAGTATTCTATACGTCAGTAGGTCTCATATTAGGCAAGTCTTCATCTTCTTCTTCTTCTCTTTAGGTTTATTGGATTTTTGTCCCCTTCAGGTAACAATTTCTCCAGATCAGCTAATTTTTTTTCTCCAAGAATAAATACTTGGTTATGTAATAATATTATTACTCCACTCGCCACATAAGACACCGGTTGTCTATCACAATGGCCTGAAGCCTAGTCATCAGTGTTCATAAGATTCGAGCGTATGTACTCCTCTCCAGCAAATTCGTTGCTGAACCGGCCTGGTTACCGGCGTAGAGATAATGGAGCACGTTTGACTTCAAACGTGGCCCCCTTATCCGATGAATCCGTCATTATCCGGCCTCTATACCGGCGTAGAGATAAAAGAGCTTGATACTTCTCACACACACTTTCACATTAAATATTGGATTTCAATCCAGATCAGGTGATTAGAAAATTTTGGACTTGCACACACATTAACCTGACTTTGCCTAAAGACGCCATGTTTCTCCTACCGTGGCCAAGAGTCGAATCCATTAGGCTTGTCTGAAGCCCAATTTTTTGTCATGTCTTTGAACTCATCACTAGAAGTATTGCTGTTTTTCCTGAGATATATTCATTTTGTTCTAAAGACAACATTCCAAAAATAAATCCATCTATATATTTTTTTCAAGAACTTTATTCAGATAATGCAAGAGAAAAACAACATTATATATCAGTATTACAGGTAAGTTCAATGATGCAGTAAGCAACTTACATTCAACTTAGCATTCAGTTGTTATTATCTACTGCTCTAAAGTGGGCTCCACATGCATAAATTGTGTTTTTTATGGGATTCTCAATTTTGGGCAAGTTATTTCCCACTTCATTTTGTAGCCAGAATAGAAAATCTGTGGAGGGAAACATATATTGATTACAATCATAAAATAAGTACAAAAACTAGGAAAATATAATCAGAACTCACTTTTTGAATGATAAACTCTGGATAAATCACATTTATATTACCTTCTGAGAAATCAAAGAACATCCTGCAACACAAACACAAACTAAATATGAAAATAAAATGAGAAAAAAATCAAATTTCTACTTGATTTTGATATATAAAATGTGTGGGTGTCTGTTGATGAGAAAAAAAAAGCTAATATGTAGTTGTAAATGCCTATCCAAGACAGGTGGAAAAAGAAGATGAATTTTCGAACTTATTCTGGAAATATCTCAGTAAATAGTGGTTTGTTTACATTTCCATTATAAAATCCGTATTTTCTAGACAAAAATATGTAGAAAGAAAAAATAATCAAAAAAAGGGAATAAACCCCATAGTCCCCATAGTATTTTCCCACTTCCATCATCTGTGATCCGTCGCTGGGCCTGCTGGGCGTGGCGTACACTCTTCTTCAGTGAACATGTTGCAGCGGTGATTAAGAGAGCCGACACCGTCCATGTTCTCTGAAGACAAGTGTACGTGGGCTGCGACATTTGATCTTCATTTGACATCTCGTATTTGTACTGTATGTCTTTGATAATTGAAAATTTGAAAAGCCTTCTTTCTTCTTCTACTATGATTGTTCACTAAACACAAAAAAATATCTGAAGAACCACATTTCTTGTTGATTTTCATAAATAAAATGTGTCATTCACCATAAATTTACCGCCTCTAGCTCAGTTATTTTTTAATCGATTTCAAAATTTGAAAATCATTTGGAATGATTTTTCATGTATTTTTTCCGCTACATTAAAGTATACAGGGTGCTCAGAGCAAACGATCTACAGGGTACTAGTTTTTTTTTAATAAGCCACCTTGTGTTTCATTCCACAATCAGTTAGAGATTTAAAAACTGAATCCAACAACACAGGGTATGATGGAGTTATGTCAAACGACTACGAAGATATAGTCGATTTTCTTATACAGGGTGTTTCAAAAAAACCTGACCCCCTTGCTAGGGTAGGTAGAACACTGCAAAATAAGTTGGGTTTGCTCAGTGAAAAAATGTCGTAACGGCATCCGTTTTCATGATACAAGGTGATGATTTTTTCACACATTTTCCACGATTATGTCGAAACTACTGGCAACATTGTAATGCAATTTTGTATGGATGTTTCTTGAAATCTGACACATTGCATGAATTTTTTTCTATATCTGACTCTCATAGAGGGCGCTAGTTACACGGTTCGTACCGAGTAGTTTAGAACATAACTTTTTTGAGGTTAGATTTTTCAATCCAAATATGATATGAACTTGAAAATCATTCAATTTCACATCAAAAAGGTACTCTTGGTGAAACTCGATACAATGTTCCGTTTTCGGAATATTTCGATTTGAAAATAATGTAGTAATGATGCTCGTATAAAATGAATTTCATTGAGTTCAATTACCTATTTATTCAGATTCAAAAACAATGAAATTTTTGATGGAACAAAGAATCATAAGTAGAATAAGAGATATTTGACTAGAAACATGAAATATTGAATCAGTTAGAGTAAGTGTTCAAAATGTCCTAAGTTTCGACGAATTCACGATTCTATATTCTTTTCTTAAAATGTATCATTCTTCCAAACAGTTGAGGATCAGCTGTTAGGTCATTTAAGTGATGTTGAATTATGTCTTACAACTCTTGACGTGAATTCACCTATGTAGCATAGACTTTCTGCTCAAGATACAACAAAATTGTGTAATCCATGTTCTTAGTCAAATCTGTTTCGATGTTATTCCTGTGATTCAATGTTAAATCAATGAGTTTAGCATCAGAAATGTATTGTTGTTTTCGATTTTCAATAAATAGGTGATTATTTTTCATAATACTCACTCTAATACAAAGCTTTATACCAGCAACAGTTATCACTTCAACATTTTCAAATCGAAATATTCCGAAAACGGAACACAGTATCGAGTTTTACCAAGAATACTTTTTTGGTGCGAAATTGAATGATGTTCAAGTTCACATCAAATTTGGATTGAAAAATCTAACCTCAAAAAAGTTATGTTCAAAACTACTCTCTACGAACCGTGTAACTAGCGCCCTCTGTGAGAGTCAGATATGAAAACAAATCCATGCGATGTGTCAGATTCCAATAAATATCCATACAAAATTCCATCACAATGTTGCCAGTAGTTTCGACATAATCTTGAAAAATGTGTAAGAAAATCATTTTTTCAACACCTTGTATCTTGATAACGGATGCCGTTAAGAAATTTTTTTACTGAGTAAACCCAACTTATTTTGCAGTGTTCTACCTACCATAGTAAGGGGGTTAGGTTTTTTTGAAACACCCTGTATATTCGCTCAATGTGGGTGGCTTAATGAGTTGGTCTGAAAGGGTTTTATTTTTTGATAGAATATCCTGTATTCTCCTTAAACCTTAAACGTTAGCGTCAGTCTTGAAAATTGTTGCTCAATAATTTTTGTTGATAAAGAGTGAAACTGCCTTAGTACTCTTAGTAGTAATGACCCAAAACATGGAATATCAACTTTCAACGAACATAAACAGAGTCGTTTATGTTCGATGACAGCGGTAATCGAAGCATTTTTTCTCTGGGGAAAACAAACTGTTTTCTATGGATAAAGTGCATAGACTACATTGCATTCAGCTTGCTGTAGCTGTAGTCAAACTTGTCAATGACATAAAGTGTTGGCACTGTTGGTAGTGATGGTGGTTGAGTTCAAACAATTCAAACTAATTATGACGAGCAAATTAATTGACATATAAAAGAACAGCTACAACATGTTTAAAATACCCAGATTGACCTGCTTTGCATGAACAAATACAAATCCATTGTTCTACAGGAGTTCCTCTGGACCCCAACTTCAATTTTACTTCATGTGGGGAAGATTTCATCGCCGAAGTTTGTAGACAAAGTGCAAAAATGTGCCTGTTGTTGAAGTCTTCTGCCTCACACAAAATCACATGATTAGCACGGAGAACTGCTTCTCCTTCCACTACTTGTCGCCTTTTTCCATCTAAATAGAGCAAAGTATCTGCCAAAAGAACATCTACAGCAGGCATTATTAGCGTTTTCGATCGAATATTGACAATTAATGCCAAGGAATTCGGAAACTTATCACTCTTATCAGTACACAAGCTAAAGGCACTAATGGGATTGAGTGAGGATTGAATTTGTTTTCCCCCAGATTTGACGTGGCTTTGACATGGACCACAGTGACTCTAATACCATCCAGTAACTCTAGTGTCAAGTACATTTAGGAACTCTAGTGCGCACTTGACCCAACGTAAACGCATCTCACCATTTATACCCACGAGGCGATCAAAGTCCGCGAAAAGTCAGTTAGTCAGAGTTATTATTTCTAATATATCGCTCCCACTTCCAGCTTCAGTGATCCCCTCGCTGGGCTTATTGGGCGTGGCGTACGTGGGCTGCGACAGGATGGGCGTGCAACTGCTGTTGGCGTTGACGGGCGCGTTCGGCGGCGCCGTTTACGCCGGCAACCAGATGAACCACATCGCGCTCAGCCCGAAGTACGCTGGCACCATGTACGGCATCACGAATGCTGCGGCGAACATCTGCGGCTTCCTGGCGCCCTACGTGATCGGCTTGATCATCGAAGGAAGGGTGAGTCTGTCACTATAATAGTAGGGAAGCCCAAATCATTATTGAGCCGATTTTGCTGTTTTTTTGAAGGGCTTCCAATATAATAAATGGCGACGTCAGATAATCTTCCATTCCCACTCACGAAGCAAGCTTGTCAAGTCACCAATTATAATCAAGTTATCAAAAAGATGTAAGAGTCCTGTTGTTGAATAAAACATAATAGGAGGAACCCATGATATTATAGTTCATTCTTGACTCTTTTGAGCAACCAGCATGTCCAAATATTTCTAATACTCCATAACAAAATCTCATGTAAATGTTGGTACTTGGCAACAGTGTGCTGAATTCTGGCACGTATTCAAAACGCCCCGATAACAGGCATAGGCAAGCTTTTAGACCAATCACATCGTTGAGTTTCACGCGTGAGTGTTTCGGCTTAAGTTTTTTAATTCGGAATAAACAACAGTTTGAAATGGTTTGAATTTTGAATTATTCTGGACATTGGAGTCATTAAAAACTACTCTCGGAGTTCTGGACCACAAGTGATGGCAGATTTTCATTATGATAGGAGCATTGATTTAGATCAACTCATTGTCAATAAATCGGAAATAGAGGTAAAATACGCACGCACTTCACCCATTACAATCACAATAATAATATCTGTGTTAATATTTATAGAACTTACTTCCCCTTTGGACCACGAGAATAAAGGAAATGGTAAAACTGCATTTATCATGCGATGGGTTTTTTTCTCTGAATAACACGAATTTGATCATGAAAATGTGAACAAACTATTATTTATCAAGATATTTCACTATGAAGTTACAAGTCACTCATGTTTTTCTATTATATGAGTCAACTAGAAACATGATATTTTTGTGATTCATCCATATTTAGTGGAAAGAAGGAAGAATATCATTTAAAATAATGGCGTGTGTAAATGTCATTCAAAAGCATTGACTTGATTAAATGGCCGTCATCTGGTATGCTTGTTCAACTAAATATGAAAAACTCGTCATGAAAATCATATTTCCTGTTGACTTTTCTATATACAAATGTGTCATTGAAGAATATATATGATTTTTCACCAAAAAAATAAACAAAAAATTTACCTCAACCTTAAAATAAAAAATGAACTCTTGAAACAAACTGATCTTGGTATTTGGTTTGATGACAGGTTGAAGTGGGACAAACATATTGATGTTCTGACAAAATAAATATCTCCAATTATTGGTGCATTGAGAAGATGTCCCAAACTTGATATTAAAATTGCAAACATGATTCTCTACTCTCATATACTGAGTCGTATCATCTATTTGATGAATGTTTGGGAATCTTGTTCAAAAAATAATTTCAATAAAATATCAACATTATATAGAAAATCGTTAAAAGTATTGTATCGTCTCCCATTTGATACACCAACCAATCAATTGTATGAAATAACAAATACGTATTCTTTAGATGAAATATATAGAATTGAAACTCTCAAAATATCATATAATATCATAAATAAAAAATTGAAGTCGAATATTACTTTGATACGGAATTCTGAAATTCATAATCATGAAACTAGACAATATAACTTGTTCCATCTTGACGCCGCTAGCTCCCTAATCGGACAAAAAAGATTCACTCATTCAGCCTTAACTGAATTCAATAAACTACCTGATAATATAAAAAATTGCAGAAATATAGGTATATTCAAAAATGAAGTAAAAAAACTGATTATTTCTGAGCGGACTGGATAAAATTAATCATGCCTTTTTTTTTACAAATATTATTCTTTGTTTGCCAATTTACAGTTGTTGATATATTTTGAATGATGCTATGTTTACCTATAGGTATATAATTATGTACTTCCTTATACCAGAGCCTATTCTGTCTGGAAGTTATTTGTTCAATAAATAAAATAAATAAAAATAATATAAAGTGTCCAATGACAAAATAAAAAGAGCAAGTACCTGTAAATGCATCCAACAGGAGGGGAAGAAGAAGGCGAAATTTCGAACTTGTTCTTTAAATATCTCGATAAATAATGGTTTGTTCATATTTTCATTATCAAATACGTGTTTTTCAGACAAAAATACGTAAGTACCATTGCATGATAAATGCAGTTTTACCAAAATATATTTTTAGTCACAGCAATTTGTCCTAAATTTCATTTTCCAGTTCCAATCACATACTTCATCAATTGCTTCTCGATATTACCAGATACTTGAGAAATAATTCATTGATTATTCCATGAATGACTGGGTTATTCAAAATCGCCAAGATCCTCGATTCGAATTTACCGCCAAGGCCAAAATCGACCTGATTGGTCTAAAAGCTTGTCTATGCCTGTCATCGGGGCGTTTTCTGAGAACAGTCAAGACCACGCCCACAAGTCATGCGCGCGGCGTTGTCACGTTCACTGCTTCAAATGTCTACTAGTGTGAATTTTTATAATTACTATTTACACAAATTAAGCAATGAGCCAAAACTTATAAGGGAACATTTTGAGACAATTGATTTTGTAGGAATATATTACCAATACATAATTGAGAATTTATTAATGTTTGAATAACTAATATTTCTGAAGTTCCCAATCGTATTTCAACACATGGAACTGTACCATGGTCTGCCCCTACTTACAAAATCGTGACATCAGTTTTTACTTGAGGTAAATTTCTATCCGTTTGAAAATTGCCGTGACATTATTGATGATTTCAGCACCAAAAAATCGACCGAAAAATTCTGGCCTATTTAGCTGTTTCATTATCTTTAAGGAGGCAGTGCAATAGCCAATTACTGAGTTGAATAGAATCTGTATTAATAAAAATGAGGTTCTTTTCTACATTTTCAGTCCCATGCACTCATGTTAATTATTTACCAATTATTTGAATATCAAACTTTTCCTGAGATTTTTGCAATCTCAACCAAATTGACCCTGCTATTCATCTAATGTGATTTGATATTTCAGGAAACATTAGGTCAGTGGAGGATGGTATTTTATCTAGCTGCAGGTATCAACATTGGTGCTAACTTATTTTATATTGCATTTGCAAGTGCAAGAGAACAATCTTGGTCAGTATCTCAAAGAATGAGTACTATCAACTGACAGGTACTGTATTTAGCCATGATTGTGGAGTCCTAGCACAAATTTATAGATATAGGTATTGATTATTACTTAGGGTAATTTTAAGTACAATATTGAATACCTATTTATTGGTAAATTTAAACAAAATGTGATTATAGACTATATTTAATTCTTTCAGATGATAAGTATTGAGTTATCTGTATATATTTTTTTAATCTGAAAAAGTATTGTATATTTAGACTCAAGAAGAATATATAGATTTTTACCATTTTTAGATGTACTTGTTTATATCCCAAGAATATTATACAAGTCTCAGTAAGGGCATATACATTTTATTGAACAGACTTATCAAAATTAACACTGGATCTAAACTATGACAATATTGGTATTAAAATAAAACTTAAACTAATTTTCTATCCTTTATTCGTAAATGTCTTCTTTATCTCCAACATACCTAACAATATCTTGAGGTCTCAGTAATTTTTCTGCATCAGCATCAGGGATTTCAAAGCCAAATTCATCCTCTATTGCCATTATGACCTCAACATGGTCTAAGGAGTCCAATCCTAGGTCATTGATGAAGTGTGAGTCCAGGGACAGCTAAAAATTGAATTGAATGTTATTTTTTGCAGCTCATGTTTATGGTAGAGACTGTTTACCACATTAGAATTTTACATTATCAAGATACTGTTCACCTCTTAGAGAAGAAAAGTTTTCATTGAATAGATTGTACCAAAAAGAATTTGAATTGGAAATGGTGAACCCTCTTGATTCTGTCACTTTTAACAAACAAAATAACTGTACCTTTTCAGGATTAATTTTGTCATACAAATTTAAAACTAATATAACTCTCTCTTTGATAAGCTTTAATGTCAGTGGAGGTTTTGAACTGTAACTTCGCTCATGTGGTGTAACCAGTCTCTGAAATGAAAAAAAAAATGAAAATATATATACCTTCTCTGCTGTGACTTTATCATATGATGCACAGACTTTCAAAACTCTCTCTTTAATCTCCTCCAAAGAAGGTTTGGATCTTATGACTTCTGGTGAGTAAAACCTCATCTGAGAATAAACACTGAATTATACCAATTGGATAGTGGAAACTGCACTATCATTCTAACATAATGACTACTGCCAAGATATTAGTAAGATTTTAGTTGATATATTCATAACATTTGTGACCCCATAGTATATATATGTATATAATAGGTATGCCATTTCTGATTTCTTGTGCTTTGATGAGTTTAGAAAGCTAGGTTAACTTATTATGTAATATTGAGAATGAAGATCAACTCAACATCAAGATTTTTATAGTAATAATACAATGATATGTTGAACCATTAGCTGTAAACCAAATGGAATATTACCTGAGAGGACACCAAAGGAAGCGCGTTTTTCACAGGAGACCCCCTTCTTGAACAGTTGTAGCTGCTTATTGTTTTTACTACCGGCCTTGTCATGATAGCAGAGGTAGAAGAATAATATCTTGTTAGCATCCTCACATTCTTTGCTAGTCCAGCCATTTCTTAAGATAGTTACGATTCCAGCTAATTAGTAATTGGATCAGAAAATCAATTTTTTTTAATTCTTATCTATTTCTATTACACAAAAAATTGGCAATGGATTCTGGCAAGTGACAGTTTTGGCACCTGAACTGACAAGATTGACAACTGACACAAAACAACTGTCACAATGGTAGTGGCTACTTGTCTGCCTCTGAGGACCTTCGCCTCCGCAATCCTCAACCAACGAACCTTAGATCATTGAATCATTCCTGTATGATCTAAGCAACGAACCAACCAGTGCTTCAAGCCCCAACCTCAACGAATAGAAGAGGTTTCTCTATTTTGTATTAACACCATGATAATAAGAGAACCAATCAACATTTCTTCTGAAATCCTAAATCAAATTGGAAATTGGTAGAACGTTGAAATTATCAATTCTGAACAAAAGAAGTTATTTTTCATGAGATAAATTCTAATGGATGAAATGTTTGAAAGGAGGCGATCTGATGGGGATCTTAAAAATGATTTAAACAGCCTCTAGCAACCTACTATTCTTTGCCTCTAGCCATTCTTTAGCACTGCCACTGATGCAGTTGTCAATTTTGTCAATCATTTATTGAAAAATATTTGAAAAGTCCTCTGTGCCTTTCAGAAATTGACAATATTCTGTGGTAAAAGGTAAGCAATTTTTAAAACTTCTCATCATATTCCTCTTTTCAATCGCTCAGTTCAACAATAATTATTATACCCACCTAGGTACATTTAATATGCATTTTTTTAACAATGATTTGAATGTTTCTGAAATATATAGGTAGGTATAATACTAAAAATTATTCATCACTTTTGGATACACTTCCTTTACGAAAGAAATAAGTAGGTATATACAGAGTGAGGTATATCGCGAGGTAACTTTTTTGATGTGATCCCAAGAGAAGTTCTTTCATGGGTCTTTTCCAAGGTTTTTTCAATTTGGGCCCTGGGGACTTCCCTAATGATCTGCACTCAATCTGGAATCTGCACATACTTACTCAATACTCATTCCATCCTTCTCAATTCTCATTCCATATGTTCCAAAGACAGTTAGACAGATACACATCTGTCATCTGTCATTCTGTCCAAGTAGTAGATGATCATCGACATACGTCATACGATACGACAACGACATCGTTCCATTTTCCAGTTTGCGTTTACGATTGCAATTTACATTACATTTTTGTACAATAATAATTATTGTACTTTTACTTGAAATATTTGTGTTTACACTTCGTTATTTCATCACATTTTCGCTACTTCAGCATTCTCAGATTCTTTCTATCCTCACTGTATTCTTATGTCTCCAACGTGAGGTAGTTTGTAGTGTGTTTTTGCTGTGTCCAACCAATCTGCTTTTCTGATGAACCAGATATAGATAATTTAAGTTTTCAAACACATATTTGTTACATTTCTTGGAACAAAGAAAGATGACTGAGGAAGGCAGTCCTAATTTACAAAAACTTAGGGGTTTCAGGTATCAAAAAAAAAATCTGTTATCAGATCATAGTCAAAGTAGTCCCAGTGATATTCTCAATCCTTGTAAGTTCTCAAGAAGCTACCATTCCTTACATAAATCATATTTTCATAATATATCTGTTCTTTAGCTTCAGAACCTGAAACATGTACTGAAACAGAATCTCAAGCACCACAAGGATTCAAGAGAATAATCAGGTTGCCATCTGATTCTGATTCTGAAGCTGAGTCACAGGAAAAGCCAAAGCCTCAGATTGTAGTAGCAAACAACAGTGTGTTCAATCAAAGGTATAACGGATTTAGTCAGAGAGCTATGAAGAACCCATCCATATTAGAAAAAGAAAAGCAAATGAAATTTCTATTAGAGATTTTTCCAAAGCTTGAAGCTATGGTAAAATTCACCAGTGTCCCCATTAAACAGTTGTCTGTGATAATATATGTTCTAGAAAATTCATGACTGTTTATCAAAACACTCTTTCAACACTGATGCAGCAGCTGCAGAATTATCCAGGACCTATGATAAGGAGTCACAATATGCTGGTTACAATGAATGGAAACAGGACTATGATAGGAGGCTGGATGAGGCCAAACATTTGGCTTCTAACACTATTTATGAACAACAGCAGAGTCTCAAAAGACAGGGTAGTAGTGATCTAATGAAGAAAAAAAAGGGTTAGTTCTTTTGGGGGCATGTTTGAGATTTTTATTTGTTGATTTTGATCATATTCTAGTTAAAAGAAGAAGGAGGTCATATGATAGTGATGATAGCAATGGTGCACATTATAAGGATAAAAGAGTATTTGACAGGTAAAAAAATTAAGATATCTTGAACATAACATAATCTTGAAGTATATATTTTCTCAAAAGGTACAATTTAAAATGTGTATATTTTTAGTGATGAAGATTCTGATGTAGAAATAAGTGATGAATTGACAGGTGATAAAAAAAGAGTGTTTGACTTTTTTGAAAATGCAACTATCAATGAACTTCAGCTCATGAATTCTTGTTCCAAAAAAAAGGCTGAAGCCATTATAGAAGCCAGACCATATGCTGGCTGGGTAGATTTGGTAAGTACAAAATCTTTAATTGAATTGAATGTATCCCAAATTGAATTGAATGTATCCAGTAGTTGAACCATATTTAATTTTACATATCACTGTCACAGGTAAAATCTATTTCATTTATTTGACTTATGACTAAATAAAAACTCAATGAAGCACATGATACCTTGAGATGGTCCCATAAAATTGGGTATACATATGATATGATCCTTTCTTGTATGAAAATTTATTTTGTTAAAACCATTTGTTTTAAAAAATTATCACAGATGCTAAATGTTTTGAAAAAAGATTTGTTCTCTGTTTGAACACAAAATATTGGTATGAAGCTGATTGTGACTATTATTACTAAGACTACACTACACTGTTTTACTACTAACCAGACCGATTTTTATATATGCCTCCACTGATGCCAACACAACTTTTAGTTCTTGATATTTTCCCGTTTCTTCTAATTGTAACTTCGGCAAAACTGTCCTAAACTTTGGTTAGATGTGTAAAGTAGTCTTTTTTTTACAAAAGAGAGCATTGAGTTATATGTGTAAAGCTGGGGTGAGGGATTCATCAGATCATTGTTTCTAGTCCATGGAATATTGAAATGGGCTTATATCACAAAAAATTTCTATATCATAATTCGATAGAACTCACCCAAACTAGTTCACCACCGCAAACCATTTCTTGCTGTGAGCTCCCTATGTTTTATAAACAATTATTGAAATCCCCGATTTTTCGGACCTCTGAAAACGAGGCGATGATGTGACGTCAAAACCCTAATACTGAAACAAGACTATTCCAGACAGAGATGAATGATACATGATTTCTGACAGAGTGAATTAGCGCGAGATCACAGTTGAAAGAATTAATATATCAGTTGCCTCAGTCTCCGTCGGGCGTTTGGTATTTTCTTTTAACTATGGCGAGATGAGGTTTCTACGTCATAAGATGGTCCGTTTTCAGAAGGTACTATTATTTACATCCAAAAATAAAACATTCCAGTTAATTTTTCGATCGAATTATGTCATTAATCATTATTTATGTATAAAAGGATCATTATAAACATGGTTTGAGTAAAAAGTTCTACTAAGGTGTATACGCCAATTTGCTTGCATCTTCATTTTAGAAACTGTGTGCTTAGTCCAAAAGAAATATAAAGATTTTAGATTTGTAACACCTACACATCAAACCAGCAGCTCTTTGAATTGTATCAAATTTCCCATTCCCACATTGGCTCTGACATGCTCTGACTAAGAACTCTTCAATTTATGAGAGCAAGAAAATGATTAATTATCTGCCTATATACCTACCAGAAATTGGCAATGAACTCAAGTTCAGAAAACAAGTCAGAAAGTTTCTAATTGTGGAGGCTTATTATAGTTTGACCGAATTTTATCAAGATTCCTAACAATATATTTCATTTTATATCTAGATTCGAGTCTAGATTTCTTCAATTTTAGATTTATATGATTTTATATCATCATTTATTTCATTTTATTTCATTTTATTTCTACATATCTGTTGTGCTTTAGTTTGTTAGTTAGTTATGGATGCACTAGTTTGTTGAGTATATGTTAATTATTTTTGTTTTTCAACTATATTGTTAATTGCTCCAAATATTGTTTTTCTTGACTCATTTTCTAATTTTTATGTATTTGTTACCGTAAATCTTTGATCATGTTTATTTGACCTAAATGCTTTGTCAATGAGAATCACCTTTCTGTGACAATACAGCAAATTTTGATTTGATTAGTTTGATGATATTTTGATAGATGACTTTGGCATCATTTTAGTATTGAAAAAATCAATTTGAATAAATGTCGCTCCTGAATGATGGACGCTACATCAACTTGAGTTTTTCTCATATGATGCCGAATTTATGAATGACACTGTATATTATGTAAAATTCCGAAATTGTTATCAAAACCATGATTTTCTTCACATAATGAGCCTTTCATTGAAAAAATGATATTATGTTCTTGAAAGCGCTCGTTGAACATTTTACCTGTCTGCCCAATATTGTGTTATTAAGAATTTCGCGGAAATATCGTTTGTTAGGTTTTTAAATGCCTATCCAAAATCAAGAGACGTCCGTCGACGTTTTCATTCCAGGTGAACAAACTTCAAACCAACAAAAACATGAGCCCCGATCTGTTGAACGCGGCCCAGCAAGTGTTGGCGACGCGCAATAACATCAGGCACTTGATGAAAAAATGTACCAATTTGGCGCAGCAATTAGAAAGGGCAGTTGCTGCTGGGGCAGGCGTCAAAGAACAACCTCCAAGTTTATCGTCTTCGTAAGTGCATCGTTTTGATTCATCTGTACTGATATTATAAAGAGGAAAGATTTGTTTGTTTGTATTAAATTGGCTCCGAAACTACTGGACCGATTTGAAAAATTCTCTTACCATTAGAAGCCGACATTAATCCTGATGAACATAGGCTACTTTTTACCGCGAGAAAAATGAATGCTTCATTCCGATGGTAAAATGGGTAATAGGTCAATGGGTAGTAAGAATGGGGAAGTTCTCTTTATTGAGGTTTTTATCTCACTGTGAAGTTTGTGAAAAAATAATATACAGTGTCATTCATAAAGTCGGCATCATATGGGAAAAACTTTTATTAATGACTTATTTTGAAATTCGAGTTGGACGTCAAGTTTTGCTTCAAAAAAGATGAAAAATGGCCTACTCAATCGGGGTCACGTGACTTTCGCTACATGTCAAAAGTTAAATTTTTTCAAATTAATCGCTGAAAGTAGGCTTATTTGTTCGAATATCGAAAAAGTTTACTTGAAAAAGTTGTTTCTATTCGAATTTTACATATGTGACTCGGATTTTATCTTTCTATTACATTTTTTAGATTTCGATATTTTTTTAAAGTTTTCGAAATTTCTGTGATATTAAAAAAAATTGTAAATTCGATAAAACTACTTCATACCAGTAGCTTCATCATGTTACTAACTTTCAATAACTAATTATCACTAATTATCGACAAAAATATGATTTTCTTCAGAAAATGATAATCTCCTCTTCAAAATTCTGTTATGTTTGATGCAAACATAACATGAAAATTCTGTTATGTTTGAGTCAAGCATTTAGAAACGAAATTCATTTAAATTTATTTTTTCAGTACTGAAAAGATCAGTTTAAATGAATTTCGTTTCTAAATGCTTGACGATATATCAACTTTGCATCAAACATAACAGAATTTGGAAGCGGGTATTATCATTTTCTGAAGAAAATCATATTTCTGTCCATAATCAGTCATAATAAGTAATTGAAAGTAGGTAGCATGAAAAAGCTACTGGTATGAAGTAGTTTCGTGGAATTAACAATTCTTCAAATATTACAGAAATTTCGAAAAATTAAAAAAAAATCAAAATCTAAAAGTTGCAATAGAAAGATCAAATTCGGGAAGCATCTGTAAAATTGAAATAGAAACGACTTTTTCAAGTAAATTTTTTTGATATTCGAACAAATAAGCCTTATTTCAGCGATTTAAAAAAAAGTCACGTGACCCCGATTGAGTAGGCCATTTTTCATCTTTTTCGAAGCAAAACCTAACGTCCAACTCGAATTCCAAAATAAATCAATGATAAAAGTTTTTCCCATATGATGCCGACTTTATGAATGACACTGTATACGTATTTTTTCGTAAGATCAAATTTCACTTCAGAAAAAAAAAAGAAACTTGGCTCCTCCACCATTTCTATGACGTACTTTCTGAAAATCCACATTCACACAGAGTTGAAATACGATTCCCTGTGACAGTACGACGTTGCCAACATCATCAATATGTCTAGATTTCCGGAAATCGTTATTTGAATGCATAATAACTATATCATAACAGCAATGGGATTTAATAGGTTCTTCAATCATACTTTGTCAAGTATTATGGATAATTCCTATCAATCTCTCATTGGCTGAATGAAGTTGATTACTAATAAAGATAAATTATGATATTGATTGATTGATTGTCTTTATTACCCCAAGAAACATTTCTGTTTATGATAGTATCTATAATTTTTCACTATCGTTATATTACAATATGTTATTCATAACTTTTCAGTCATTTTTTGCTAATGAATTCGTTCCTTAATAAAACGGTTCTAGTGTATAAGAAAGTCGCAGATTATATCTTGCAACAACGCCTATTACTTCGAGTCCGTCCACACCACTCAAAACTTCATTCTGTTCTGACCGATGACAGTAAATTAGGAAGGATACTATCATTGAATGTAGCCGATGGTGATTCATTGATTCAATGATATTTTCGTTTAGGATCGAGCTCTATTCGAGATATTTCAATGCATAAACCTGTCAGAATGAAGCCAACTACCCTCTGCATTCCTGCTCCGAGTGCATCTTCTTCTATTTTTTTCATTCGTTTTTCATTCCTTAGCTATTCGAATGATGGAAGTAAGATATGGTGCGCGCATTCGGTCATTATTACGAATTGAAAATTTCAGAAAAATCACTCGATCGGCCTACTATGATTTCTCTACGTCACAACGAGCGAGACGTTGATTCTACATTTTCCCGCTAGATGGTGATGCTGCAATTGCTGCTGTGACGAGTGGAAATAAAATGGCAAATGCCATTTTAGCTTCGCGGAACATATGTAACAGTGGGATTATTCAACTCTGAATTCGTAAAATCTGCGACAATTTCGAAACTGACAGATGTCATGATTTTGCAATGTCGCCATCTATTAGAAGATCGACGGAACCATTGCTCTCGCTGTTCACCAGAGAAAATTTCTGAAACAAAAGCGCATCAGTAATTACACCATATCTTACTTCCATCATTGCTATTCGCGAAAATCACGAAGTGTGCGGCCTCTGGTGGCTAACTGTACAAGTCTTGCGAGTATGAACAACAAATATGGAGACCATTGTTTGGAATTTCATAAATATGTGTTTTATTGGAAAATAATTTATTTGTTGAAGTGCATATTCCAGAACCTCATTTCTTCCTGATGGAAAAACTCGAATTATTGCATGAACTTTTATTGTTTACAATGAAGAAACCAGTACCTACCTTATAATAATATAATATACATTTTCTGAAGCACAATTAGAATCATTGTATAAATGTTGGATGCAATGATTCGATCTTGAGAATAACCTCAAGTCCTCAGATCCTTGTTTATGTAAATCGATGATATTGTTCATTCTGAGCAGCCTCTCCAACCATATCTTCTTTTCCAACCCCTTCACTAGAATTCCATCTCCTTCATAAGAGCCAGTGATATTTCTTGATGAATTCAATTATTTCTTCATACCTATACCATATTGTTGTAATAGCTGATTGCTTGTATGGTTCCATTCCAGTCCATGCAAGTGTTGAGTAGACCATTCCGATCATTCCATATGTTTGAAAACTGTGGGATTGTAGTGTGATATCAATGATGAAAACCACCATAGTCCACATCAAAATGGCAATTTCTCTGCACGAAAAGTAATTTTTCCCATATTGGAAACCTTGTACGCATTTTAAGACGTCAACTTATTATTCACTATTTTGCAAAATGATTTGGAAATAACCAATTCACAATGAGTGCATACGGCAATGTTTTTGTTGTTCATACTCAGTTGGAAATTTGACGTTGATTTGACGTTTCATAGAGCCATCTGTTGGTTCGTGATTTTCGCGAATTCGTTAGCTATTCTCTAGCTAAATTCTTCACCATCAGCTATTTTCAGACTAGATTCAGAATGTACGTCACAGTTTGCCGCTCCGAAAATTAGAAATTGCTTTAATTTGAAAATGAAAACGACTTGGACTTTATCGGTCGCCATTCTGTACAGCGTGGACATAAAACTCGAGAGATCCGAACATATTTTATGAAAATTCATTGAATGAAAATTGTGTATGTCTAAAAAATCATACCATGTGCGAAGATTTTGATTTTTGTTTTCAGTGAATAAACATCTAAAATTTCTTGGTATTTCAAAATGTTCACCATTTTCACGTAGAGATATTTATGCGATGCAAAAAATCGAATATACTGAATGAAAATTCAGTTTTCCTTCCAATTTCAAAGTAGATATTGAGTTAATGTATTTTGAAATACAATTTTCAGATTGAAACTGACCAGTTATCAAATGGTCGGGCTCAACTGGTTGGTTGTATTGTATTCTCAGGGACTTAACGGTATACTAGCCGATGAGATGGGTCTAGGAAAAACTGTGCAAATCATAGCATTCCTAGCACATTTAAAAGAAATCGGAGCAGCGACCAGTACACATTTAGTTATAGTGCCTTCTTCAACTCTGGGTAAGTGGACTATTTTGTTATGTTCAACCATTTGTGGTGGTGATGAACCCAATAGTGATTTTAAATTTTTCGTAATTTCTTCGGCTGACTAAACCAGTAGCGCATAAAAAACCAGTTCAATTCATTCCCGAAAACACGAGATCGGAGCATACAAATCCTAGGACTGCCAGGGATCGGAATTTTGTCGGGTTCCAGGGATTAAAAGTCTCGTGATTTCGGGATTGCAAACCCTAGTCCCAACACGCCTTTGTCCTTGAGCTGACCAATCATACTGCAACACTGCAGAATGGCAAGATATCAGAGAGAGATAGGTGCAGTCGTTACCACCGATACAACAAGGCCAGCAGACTCTGACGTAAACAGCTCGATGTCACCAAGAGAGGCCAGTGTTTTATTTTATCGCTTGTCGACTAACGCGTCAGTTCGTGTTAATTCATCGGTGAACTCTCGTATGTTTTTGAAACGGTCCCGAATTCTTTTGTTGTTTATTCATCAAAATAATTGGCGGAAAAATTACTGTTTTGTGAAATATTTTGTGTTGTGATCGGCGAAATAATAATGCCTTTCAAGTGTTGTGTTCCCTTTTGTCGGGGGAATTATGTGGGTGGTTCAAAAGTTCATGCTTTTAGTTTCCCGTTGGACGAGGAGCTATCGAAAATGTGGGTATATGCAATTCACCGCGAGGATTTTACTCCATCTAAGTTCAGTAGTAAACAGAGCTGAATTTATAATGATGAATTAATAATAGAAGACAATTACTCTCTCATAAAAAGTATAAGTAGAGGAAAAATAGAAAAGCTTTGATTGTGCAGTCAGTTTTGTATTTTTATATTATAGTCAACAAAATCATCTCTGAATTCGAGGAAATTTTCTTGAATGTTCATAATAAACGGGCATTTTCAATTCTCATTCTCAAATTTCTTTCTGAAAACGGTCATTTGCCTCGTGGCAATGAATGCAGAATTCATTCCAATGATCAAATTGGAACTATCATATTAACATGAACTACAAACACTCTACTTAAAAAGGTAAAACTGCATTAATCATTTTTATCATGAAGATATTTGACTAAAAAGTTCCAAATTTCACCTTCTTTTTCACCTGTCTTCTGGATGGCATTTAGAACAAATTTCCCTTCTTTTTTCATCATATTGGACAATTTATATATAATTCAACTATAAATATGATTTTCTTGAGATTAATCCATATTTAGTGAAAAGAAGGAAGAATATCATTCAAAATAATGGCGTGTGTAATGTCATTCGAAAGCAATCTATTGACATTTGACATCTCGTATTTTGATTGACTATTGATTAAATGGTCGTCATCTGGAATGCTTGTTCACTAAATATGAAAAACTCGTCATAAAAATCATATTTCCTGTTGAATTTTCTATATAAAAATGTGCCATCGAAGTACATCATGAGTATATAAAGTGTCCAATGACAAAATAAGAGCAAGTAGCTTCAAATGCCCCCAACACAAGGGGAGAAAGAAGGCGAAATTTCGAACTTTTTCTTTAAATATCTCAATAAATAGTGGTTTGTTCACATTTTCATTATAAAATTCGGTTTATCAGACAAAAATACGTGAATACCGAAAAAAATTTTCAAAAAAAAACCATCGCATGATAAATGCAGTTTTACCCTTAAAAATTACGGTTTCAAGTGTAACGATCCACTTGGGTGAAAAATCCAACAACAGAAAATTGAAAACACTCACTGGTTATTTTTTCAGGTAATAGGAATTCTCCAAGATAAATATAGGTAATTGTAACAAACGGTATGTCAATCAAAATAAAATACATTTTCCACAATTTTCTTTCGATCAATCTCACGATAAGTTTATGTTCTGCGGGCCCTGTATAAGTAGGTGTGAAGTTTACCTTCACCACAATTTTTGCCAATATATTTAATTCGAATGGGTTGCTGTAGGTGGCTATTTGTGTTTTATCCTGGTTTTTGCTTTAAAACTTTGTTTTTCCATAATAAAATCGAATGGGGTGCAAAGTTGACGACTGGCATCCTTTTTTAAGCGGAAGCCCTTCAAAAAACAGCAAAATCGGCTCAATGATGATCTAAAACTAAAATCGAAATACGCGGTCGCCTTATAGCGCTATAAGCGATTGTCGTTTCGAGCCGCTGGTTAGGCCTCACTAAGTGACGTCACCCACGGAGCATGCAGGCCTTGTTGTATCGGTGGTAGCGGTGCAGTTCGGGACTAATACATCGACGCACCACCTTCATATCTGTCTTTTTGAAATATTGAATGGAATATGCTGATTTCTAAACGCTATAGATTTGATTCCCTTCAACTTTATAATATTGATTGTACATTAAATGTAAATCACAAAGAGAGAGGGAGAGAAACTCAAGTCATTACCACAATAGTTCATAAAATGAACGAAAAAGGTAGATAATGAGAGAAAAACAACTAATTTCCTGGCTATATACCACGTTGAACATTAAACTACATCCTCCCGAAATCTATGCAATAATTCGTATAGACGAATAAAATTGCAAGTGTTTCCTTCCTAAACGCCGAGCTGCGTCTAAGTGGTTCAGGAACGCGTGATTCCTGCAGATCTGTTTCGAGCTGTTAGCTCTCCCCAGTGCAGGGCTGTCCCTGATAGCATTCTTAACCGCTATCTGGTGCGAACCTGACCCAACGAAAACACATATAGCCAGGGAAGTAGTTGTTTTTCTCTCGTTATCTACCATTTTCGTTCGTTTCATGAAAATTCGCCGGTCGGTCAACCAGCCACTCCCATTTCACCTAAAATGGGATCTTGTTTTGGAGTGTTTCTTTCCTTGCCAGGTGGCGTTCGCGTTCATTTCGCGGACGTTGAACGCCTCATGGGGTATAAATGCTGAGATGCGTTTACGTTGGGCCAGGTTCGCACCAGATAGCGGTCAAGAATGCTATCTGGAACAGCCCTGCACTGATGAGAGCCAACAGCTCGAAACTGGTCTGCAGGTAGTCACGCGTCCCTGAACCACTGAGGCGCAACTGGGCTTGTAGAAAGGAAACACTTGCGATTTTATTCGTCTATATGAATTATTGCTTAGATTTCGGGGTGATGTAATCTAATGTTCTGCGTGGCATATAGCCAGGAAAGTAGTTGTTTTTCTCTCGTTTCCTACCATTTTCGTTCATTTTATGAACTGTTGTGGTAATGACTTTGAGTTTCTCTCTCTTTGTGACCATTTCATTCCACTTTGAGTATTCGGCTTTTTCCTTGTATAAATGTAAATTATGATTCATCCATTGAAAGAGAGGGTTGAACGAATTTCATCCCTCAGTGGTCTTCTCCATGTATTACAGTGTATTTTGTCAAACATTGATGCATTCATGTTGAAATGAATTCACGCATTTTGTTCTCGCCTATTGATAATCTATATGCTCGCACATGAAAATATCTCTATTGATCGGCATCTCCAATGAAAATTCAGTTGGTCATGTGACAATTTGTGTCTGAATTTGATGAAAATTGGCGTAAATAAGACCGCCTGTTGAGACACCTTTGTTTTTCTTGTGGCTTGTAGATAACTGGAAAAATGAGTTTGCACGGTGGTGTCCAGAATTGAGAGTGTTCATGTACTATGGAAGCATGGAGGAGAGACGGCAATATCGGTTCGATTTGGCCAAAGGAATGTTATCTGACTTTGACGTCATCCTCACAACGTAAGTTTATTTATTTATTGGTAAACCATTATAATACGTTACAAAATATACATATCATTGGGTGCACAATGGATTTGATGATCTGTGTGTGTATCCTACAACTTTATCATGAGATATATCATATACCTATTCAACATAAACCTAATTTGCTAAAGAGGTTTACAGAGAAACACTATGAATATATTTCAGCTTCATTAATCATCTAATGTCAATTCACTTTCGATTATCCATTTATTCATTTTTGATTTCACTAGTTTGTAAGGGTTATTTCTGATGTGCAGTGGTAAAACATTTTACATTTTTGGTCCAATGCAACATATGTACGCTTGTGTCGCTGTGAACGAGACACATGGAACTAGAACATTCTGTCTAGCCGCAGCTCTGGTATTTTTTCATGATCGTGAATCTTACAGTTGATTTTATGTAAAGTTGTTCAATATTCAATAACTTGCTATCTGGAATAATAAAATTTTGTATATATTATATTTGTATATATTATACAACATTATTTTTATTATATACATTGTGCCACATATAGAGGTGTCATTGTATTCATTCTAGCATTGCCCCATACTACCAGCCCATAATTAATTACAGATTCAACTAGTGCCGAATTACTGTTCAAGGTTTTTAAATTCAAAATATGCCGTAGCTCATGAAAATTGAAAATCAATGTCGTTATTTTAATGGTTATATAGTTCACATGGAATTTCCATGTCAAGTTTTCATCAAGTAATATGCCTAGATATTTCATATATTCCTTTCTCTGTATTGTATTTCTACATTTACAAGAAGTAGTTTCAATTTTACATTTATGATCATGGAATTTTTAAGGAGCGGAGTCCTGGCAAAGTTTTCTGAGCTAGGCCAAAAGCAATGAATTTAGTCTTTTCAACATTCAATGTCAGTAATCTACAATCTAGCCACCTTTTTATTTTAGTGATTGCCACTTCGGCCTTTCGAACGGTAGATTCCCAGGTATCGCCAACTACTATTATGACAGTATCATCAGCAAAGCAATATACTTTTCCTTCTTCTATGACATATGTTATATCGTTAATGTAGATATTGAATAGTAGTGGCCCCAGCACAGTACCCTGTGGCACACCACATGTCATCTCCAGTGGATCGCCTATTGCATCTGCTATTTCAACTTGTTGGGTTCCACCACTCAAGTAAAGCCCAATTAGTTCATTTGCAATTCCTCGTATTCCTATATTATGCAATATTATGCAAATATTATTTTTTTTCTGTGACGGGAAAAAAGTTTGGCATTTCATATCTGTTGGCAGGTTATAAAATGTCACTTTTCATAAATTACTTTTTTCCCGTGTGAAAAAAGTGAGTACTTCTTTCCCGGATATATAGCACATATATATACTCTGTTAATGGCTTTTGTTGTGCTATAGTTCCGAAAAATGAGTCAATAATACCGTCTCCGAGAAAGAACTGCAAGTCCTTTTATCTTCCATTCGACTTCGCGGTTTCGTATATTACTAAACAACTACTGAATTCGCAATTTTTCAAAATCAAATCACAGAATTGAACTGACAGAAAGTGACATCAGATATTTGATTACTTCAAAAGAAAGATAAAGATGTCTATAAAACGCAGGTGTCCCTACTGTTAAAAACTTGAAATTTCACGTCGATAATTTTCAGATTTCGAAATAATGTAATATCTTCTCAATATTGATTCATCCTTCCTTCTGTCACAGAAAAAAATAGTGTATTATACACGGGAAAAATATTAGATTTTAGCTCACGGTTTTTTGTCTCCCTCCGCTACGCGTCGGGAGACAACACAACCTGGAGCTAAAATCTACTACTTTTTTCCCTTGTATAATAAATAACTATTATTGAAATTGTGTGTCCCCAATATTGTCTAATAAAAATAGCGCTAACCTGTGACTGGATTGTCAGCTGGCCTAGTGCAACTGATGAGGCTTGGGAAGCCGAAACAGTCCGTCTTGCATCAGCTGACAATCGATTCACGAAATTATCCTTGAATCTCTCAGTTTTGGGATTCTAGGTTGATTATTGTCGAATTACTTGCACAAATAACTTCTCATTTAATATGCATAGGTATACTACAGTAGGTAACAGTCCGGAAGAGAGGAAGATGTTTAGGGTGACACGGATGCACTATGTAATATTCGATGAAGCACATATGCTGAAAAACATGAACACTCTAAGATATGAGAATTTAATCAGGATAAATGTAAGTTTGAAATTATTTCAGTTTTCTGACAATAACGATTTTTGTTACTTTTTCAAGGCAAAACATAGAATACTACTTACCGGAACGCCGTTACAAAACAACCTATTGGAATTGATGTCTCTGTTGATATTCGTTATGCCTAAAATATTTGCAGAGAAAACTGAGGATTTGAAGAGCCTGTTCCAGAAGAATTCAAATTCTGTGAGACTCATTTTAAATATCACTATGAACATATTTTGTGATGATTAATTGAGCAGATTCAAAAAATGTCTAATACAATAAGTTTGAAACTTTTAGTTCAGGAGCTACAAAAAAGCATTGGTATTCCTTCTACAATACCACAATCTTTTGTACTAATAAAACATTTTGATTTCAATTCAATTTTTTTTATGTTTGGGTTTGAGCAATTTTTGAGTGTTTTATCTAGAGTTCCTAAATGTACTTGACACTTCTGTTTTGACGTTTTTTGTATATGAGAGTACGGACACTAGACAAGCAGTGACAATCAAACATAACCACAAACGATTTTGAAGCAAATCATGTTTTGCCAGACAAAGACAAGAATATGTGCTTCGCTTAGATAAAGGTTCCTCGCATCTTCCTTCCTCCACAAGTCCTGGGAAGAGTACATCCATATATCTTTCTCTGTCTTTGATTTTTGTATGAGAGTGCATAGCGTCTCCTCGAGTGGGTAAATGAATGATAAGGCTGAAGAACCTCAATGGAGGTCGATATCAAGTTGGTATGTACATATATACCAACAAAATACATATTCTATTCCTATGAACCACACGTGAATTTGATCACCAACGCTTTTTCCAAACTTCTTGCATGCCATCTGTTACCATTAAATTTTGAATTTTGAGATGAATCATGCTCATATAAAGCAATATTGTTACTAATATTATTCAATTTGTTATTCAAATCTTTCATTCGGTTTTTCAAATGCAAAAGTTTTTCATAGTATTGTTCATCGAAACTATGAATTTTGCTCAAAATTGCCTGGATATTTGCTCGTACAATTTTCTCTGAAGATGATGATTTTGTTTCAAATGTGAAATAATTTTTAGGTAATAGTTCTGAATTTTGCTAACTCTGACTTTTGCATCTAATTCTTTTTGCTTTAACTTATTTTGTCCTGAATTCCTCACTCTCTTCCACTAGTAAACCTTTTGATTTTTGAATATTCCTGCTCTAACAATTTTATTCTCCAGTCTTTTTCTTTCAAAATTTTCTTAGAAATGGATTTCATTATCTGCAAGTTTTTCGTTTCATATTGGTTCTAAATTGGAATAAGGTTCTTTTCGATCTCGCTCAGTTTATAAATTGTGGGTTCGGCTCTTTTTCTCAATACGATCCTATTCTTCAACATCAAATCTTCCGTTCTGAAGTGTACCTCATATAAATGCGTTGAAAAATGTTCTATATCCTACCAAGAAATTTGAATACCTCGCAAATTTTGTGACCTGAACCTATATTCCATGCCGGCCGCATCATATTTCGTTTCCATTTTTGTAGAATTTCGTTATCCGATAGAAATTCGAATAGAGTGAATTGATTTCCCGTATTTTCACAGTTGGAAACTGCACAAACTTGCATCTTACTCCTAATTCTCTCAATTTGTCAAACCTTTGAAATTTATGTCTTATACGTCCGTGTACCAGTTCCCGCTTTTTCCATCAATTTATTTGTGGTTATGTCTGATTGTCAGTGCTTGTCATAGTGGCCGTACTCTAATATACAAAACACGCCAAAACAGCAGTGTTAAAAACATTGAGGAACTCTTGTTTTATCGTACTAATACTGTATATTATGTAAATTACAAGAGCTTGTTGAATGTTCAACGTTCGTCTTCAATAAGTTCAGTAGGCGATTTCATGTCAATTTAAAATAGGTTATGATTTTTCATAAATTGATTTCGCACGATTATTTTTTTATCTAATCATCAATTCAAGTTTAATATAAATTTAAGTCGTTGGAGAATGTTAGACACAAACATCTAAAAAAAAAATTCATGAGAGTGAAGCATAGTATCTTATAGAAAAAATCATGATTTTGTCAGAAAAACAAGGATAAGGACGATTCGATCCCGACGTTCGAGAAGGAGCAAGTGGAACAAGCCAAAAGGATAATGAAGCCGTTCGTCTTGCGCCGACTGAAGTGCGACGTCCTGCAAGACTTGCCGAAGAAAACCGACTACATCGTCAGTGTGCCGATGGTGGTGACGCAAAAAGAGCAGTACGAAAGTCTCGTCGCTTCCTACAAAAATATCAATGAGGTTGGTCATACTTTTAGTAAATTATTCGTTTTCTCAAAGTCCGGAATATTCACTTCCATCTCGGATAGTTTGCATCGTTCCTGGAATAGCCTAAAAAGTATTATGCTTTGTTGATTGCTGCATATAATAATCACTTTATTTATCATTCTGGGAAGGCATTAACTGATGAAGAAATCTAGAGTGGAGTGTTTCTACAAACGAATATGGAATTCTACGGAATCTGGAATAATTCGAATTGTTCCCGGAATATCAAGGAAACCTCGTATTAGTATCATATGCTTTTAGAATTGCTTCATATATCATTATTGATAATATAGACATATATGAAAGAGAAAATGGGTCCACCCTTCTAAGAGCCCTAATCCATTAAAACAGGGATTGTGGCTCTGCAGCTTCGTTTCAGATTTTGAGTTTGCATTGTTCCTGGAATATCCTGCAAAAAAAACTAATCAATATTATGTTTCTCTAATTGCACCATAAAGTATCCATTATAAGATACAAATATGAGAGAAAACATAGCTCCAACTCTTCTAAGAGCACTGATCCATGGAAACAACGACTGAGGCTTATTTCCTTCAGTGCATGAATAATTTGGAAAAGAACTGGTATAAAACCACTGTTTATACCTAACTATTGAAGGCGACACCCTCCTTTGTAGAGAGGCATTACGAACGCCAAAGTTGATACACTCCCCTCGTAAGGGTACCTGACGTGATTCCATACACTCATATACATGAAAGTCGATTGATTTTCCGACTGTATATGAATGAAATAATTGACAAATCAATAAAAGTCGTTTTTTTAATGAAGAAATGTTCGAAGAAGAATGGACCTATGATCTATATTTGAGGAATGACATATTTAATGTTTGAGAAAACTTATCTTGAAAATCTCCGTATTTCATTAATCCATCTGGAATGGCACAGATGTAGAGTATCGGAAAGAAATGTCCTACAAACGAATAAAGAGTCCTTGCGAAAACTCGTTTTGAGATTTAGAGACATCTGGGATTGTTCGCAATGTTCCTGGAATATCCTAAAACAAAATTGATTTAGTATAAAGCTTTTTTAATTGCGCCATAAAGTATTCATTATAAGGTCCACATATATGAGAAAACATGGGTCCTCTTTTCTGAGAGCATTGATCTATTAAAACAACGACTGTGGCTTTTCATCAGTGCATGAATAATTTGGAAAAGAACTGGTATAAAACCACTGTTTATACCTAACTATTGAAGGCGACACCCTCCTTTGTAGAGAGGCATTACGAACGCCAAAGTTGATACACTCCCCTCGTAAGGGTACCTGACGTGATTCCATACACTCACATACATGTGTGTACGACTGTATATGAATGAAATAATTAGTAAATCGATAAAAGTCGTTTTTTTAATGAATAAATGTTCGAAGAAGAATGGAACTATGATCTATATTTGAGGAATGACATATTAAATGTTTGAGAAAACTTATCTTGAAAATCTCCATATTTCATTAATCCATCTGGAATGGCACAGATGTAGAGTATCGGGGAGAAATGTCCTACAAACGAATAAAGAGTCCTTGCGAAAACTCGTTTTGAGATTTAGAGACATCTGGGATTGTTCACAGTGTTCCTGGAATATCCTAAAAAAAATTGATTTAGTATAAAGCTTTTTTAATTGCGCCATAAAGTATTCATTATAAGGTCCACATATACGAGAAAACATGGGTCCTCTTTTCTGAGAGCATTGATCTATTAAAACAACGACTGTGGCTTTTCATCAGTGCATGAATAATTTGGAAAAGAACCGGTATAAAACCACTGTTTATACCTAACTCTTGAAGGCGACACCCTCCTCTGTAGAGAGGCACTACGAACGCCAAAGTTGATACACTCCCCTCGTAAGGGTACCCGACGTGATTCCATACACTCTCATACATGTGTGTACGATTGTATATGAATGAAATAATTGGTAAATCGATGAAAGTCGTTTTTTTAACGAATAAATGTTCGAAGAAGAATGGAACTATGATATATATTTGAGGAATGACATATTTAATGTTTTAGAAAACTTATCTTGAAAATCTCCGTATTTCATTAATCCATCTGGAATGGCACAGATGTAAAGTATCGAAGTGAAGGTCCTACAAACGAATAAAGAGTCCTTGCAAAAACTCATTTTGAGATTTAGAGACATCTGGGATTGTTCGCAGTGTTCCTGGAATTACCTGAAAAAAAATTGAATTATTAATATGCTTTTCTAATTGCGCCATACAGTATTCATTATAAGATAAACATATATGAGAAATCATGGGTCCTCTTTTCTGAGAGCATTGATCTATTAAAACAACGACTGTGGCTTTCCATCAGTGCATGAATAATTTGGAAAAGAACTGGTATGAAACCACTGTTCATACCTAACTCTTGAAGGCGACACCCTCCTTTGTAGAGAGGCATTACGAACGCCAAAGTTGATACACTCCCCTCGTAAGGGTACCTGACGTGATTCCATACACGCACATACATGTGTGTACGACTGTATATGAATGAATAAATCGATAAAAGTCGTTTTTTTTAATGAATAAATGTTCGAAGAAAAATGGAACTATGATCTATATTTGAGGAATGACATATTTAATGTTTGAGAAAACATCTTGAAAATCTCCGTATTTCATTAATCCATCTGTAATGGCACAGATGTAGAGTACCGAAATAGTACCTTGGATTTTACAGAAATGAGTTTCAAGTTCTGTTCATAGGAAGATGTCTTAATTCTATTCAATTCATTGTTCATGATATGTTCAGCTAGTTTCGATTTGTCGATGTGTCTTTTCTTCATATTGTATTTATGTTCCTTAGTCCTTACTGAAAGAGGTCTCTTGGTTTCACCTGAATAAAACTTTCAAGAAACACAAGGTATACTGTAAATACAATTTTTTACGATTATTCTTCATTTTTCGGCTTTGTTTGAGGAGAGAAAATCCCAAAAAATTTGGAAAAACGATTTTCTTTGCATTTTTTGTACCAGTACTGAAACATCAGCTTATGAGCTTACGTTATGTTTTTTCAATGGAACAGGATGGCCAGAATTCCTATAGCGGCATGAGCATAATGACGGACCTGAGGAAGCTCAGCAACCACCCGCTGCTGATGCGGTTTCACTACGACATGGAGCGAATGCGAGAGATAGCCAAATTGTTGTCCACCGATCCCGGCTACAAAGATACTGTCGAACAGTACATAGTCGACGATTTGACGTGGATGTCCGATTTCGAGATTCATACTTTGTCTAAGGAATTTTGGGTTCGTAGTTTATTAGAAATAAATCAATTCCTGAGGGCTTGTAACACATTCAATTCATGAAAATTCCACTTCAAATTTTGATTTTTAGATATATTATTAGTAAACAAACAATCTACTGGTATTTTAGACACCTTTTCAGACCAACTCTGATCATGAATTGTCAACTCTGTAATATATTTCGGTTGTGAATCATCAATGAAAATATCTTAGATTACTTTGTGCCTTACAATAAAGTAAGTAAACAAGTACCTATTTTCATTGCATAGGTACTGCAAGAATTTTTTAAAACTCGAAAATAATTTTTGGAATCCCACATCAAAATTTGACGTTTTTTCAGCGCCATCTAGCGGTTCTTATAAACTGATCCCTATCTGTGCTAATAAACTTGAAAAACACCACTAAAACATGCAATGATATATCTTATGTTTTTCAGTGTTTAAATAAATTCAGACTTCCCGATAGTTTATTGTTGACTTCTGGGAAGTTTACTCAGCTAGATAAAATGTTGCCCGAAATGAAGGCAAAAGGCCAGAGAGTCCTGATATTCAGCCAGTACGTCATCATGTTGAACATAGTGGAGGAATATTTGAGGATCAGGAATCACAAGTACTTGAGACTGGACGGCAGTACTGCGGTTCACGTTAGGTAAGTACTCACTATCAATTTTGTTCAGTATATCTCGGCAACCTTGAACTCACACACACACAGGTGCAGAAGATTCCTAGGTGTATCAAGATTCGTAGCAAGTAATTCAAACATTCAAATTTTCATTCCTTTCTCTGGAGTTCAGAAAAAAATCGCCGGCTTGAATTCCCCAATTTCAACGAAAGAATCATAATCTCCGACCCCCAAAAACCTCCAGATACAAATCTTGAATAGAATCGGATCGCAAGAGATCTATATATTACAATGGATTATTACTTTACAATGAATTGCCAACAAGACTTGAAAAAAATATCAATAACAAAAAATTCAAGGAAGAACTCAAAAAATATTTATTCGTCTGAATTTTGTCACGTCATCCATGTTGAGATCATATAACATATCAATTATTTTAATCATTCATTCACTCAAACAAGGATCAGCTCAAACTATGAGAATTACTAGAATAATTATATTATACCTATAAATACTATATTCTGAATGTAATGTAATACATTATGGTTTATTTTTCAATGTTCCCTGTTATAAACATATACGTCAATTGTTTCTTGGGAATAATAAAGATGATGATGATGATGATGAATTACAAAACTCGTCCGGCATATTGAATCCGTCATCCAGAATATACCAAATTAGAATAGAATCGGATCATAAATACAAAACTCGTCCGCCATATTGGAGCTGGCATCTTGAAATTTCAATTTTGACAAAAGAATCCCAATTGCCGACCCCAAAATCCCAGACACACATTATTAATAGGATCGGATCATGATTACAAAACTCGTCTGCCATATTGAAGCCGCCATCTTGAATCTTGAAGTTTTCACAGAATAATAATAATTGCCGACCCCAAAAACCCCCAGATTCAAATTTTTAATAGAATTGGATCAAAATTGTAAAACTCGCTCGCCGTGTTGGATCCGCCATCTTGAATTTCCCAATTTTGACGGAAGAATCATGATCTCCAACCCCTAAAACTCCCACAGACCGAATTTCAGTATATTTGGATTATAATTACAAAACTCGTCCGCCATATTGGATCTGCCATCTTAAATTCGCCAATTTTGACGAAAGAATCATAACCCCGAAAAATCCCAGATATCAATTTTAAATGGAATCGGATCATAAACTCGTCATTTTGGAGCCGCTGTTTTGTTTTTTTCTCTACAAAAATTTCATGTTCCATTGTAACTAGAATTATGTAAACCTGCCCAATTTTGAATAATTCGGACGATTAGGAGCGTGTCATATTCAACTTGCAAGATTTGATAACAGGACAAATTTCCTGATGAGGTGAAACTAAATGAAGGCTCGTGAAAAATGAAAAAATAATAATTCTTTCGAGGAAAACTACCCCATTGTATCTGTTCCAGGCAAGACCTGATCAACGAGTTCACCGACGACAAGAGCTACTTCATCTTCCTGCTGTCGACGCGCGCCGGCGGCCTCGGCATCAACCTCACCTCCGCCGACACCGTCGTCATCCACGACATCGACTTCAACCCGTACAACGACAAGCAGGCCGAGGACCGGTGCCACCGCATGGGCCAGACCAGGCCGGTCACCGTCTACCGGTTCGTCTCGCAGGTAATTACATTAAAATCACATTTTCAACGTCACAGCAACATTACATTCTCAACGTTACAGCAACATTACATTTTCGACGTTACAGCAACATTACATTCTCAACGTTACAGCAACATTACATTTTCGACGTTACAGCGACATTACATTTTCAACATCACCTGAACATCACGTTATTTTCAACAGTTCATTTGAAACTTTCTGAAATTTCGCTGAATCTTACGGGATTCACATGCAGAGAAGTGCACAAAAACGGCCGGTGCAGTATCTGCTGAATCATTCGAGATCGAATTTCGAAAACTGGTGGGTAGCCAGTGTACCAAATTGCTCATTAATTTACAATATAATCTTTGTTCTATCACTTCCTTTTTCATCGGAAAAGACCCCAACTTTTGATTATCAAATGGGGCCCCCATATTTTATTCATAATCGGTTAGGGATCATTATGACGAATTCAAAGATAACGGGTTGGATAGGGTTATTTCAAATCATAATGAAGATATTTGGGTTTCAAACAATATGCCACAGGCATTGAGCAAATGGAAACGTAGAACACGAATATCTTCATAATAATTCAAAATAACCCTATCAAACCCGGTGTCGTTGAATTCGTTTTGTTAATCTCTAACCGATTATAGAATAAAATAATACAGGGTGCCCCATTTAAAATTCAAAAGTTTGGGTCGTTTCCGCTAAAACCGGAAGTGATAGAACAAAAGTGTTTTGTCAATTTATGAGGAATTTGGTATACTTATTCACCAATATTCAAAATCCGATCTCGAATGATTCAGAAGTTACAGCACTGGCCGTTTATTGTGCACCTCTTTATTTATATTCGTTCGTCTGGCAGGTGAGGATAGGTAAGGTTGAAATTACATCATTACGTTTTCAATGTAACGGCAACATTACAACTTCAACATTTCTTTAACATCGCATTTGAAACTTCCAGAAATTCCACCGAAAGATACGGAATTCACATTTAATCACAATTTCACAGAAAGTCTATTATCCCATAAATAGATCACTTCATTATCTATTATACGGTCACCGTCAACCGGTTCGTGTTGCAGGTAGGGTTAGGTTAGGTTGAAATTACAACATTACGTTTACAACGTTACTGCAATATCGCATTTTCAACATTATCTCAACATTACAATCACATAAGATCTTAAACTTTCAGAAATTTAATTAAAATATATGGGTTTCACATTCAATCACAGTTTCACAGCTATTCTGTTCTCATAAATAGATCATTTCATTATCAAACTTCATTATATTATAATTTCATGCAATTTTTTCCAACTCTATTCACAGGGGACAATCGAGGAGGGTATGCTGGAGATGAACAAAGAGAAGCTGAAGCTGGAGAGGGATATTACGACGGACGGTGAGTCAGTATTAGGGATCAAGACACTTCAAATTGACGAATTTTTATTTTCTATTTCATCTTTTTTTATCCTTATAGTCGAACATTCTGTCCGCATTCTATGAAGTTTTTTGTTTAAAAATGATGCAAAATGATGTTGGTGATTTTTCTCTATCGATCGGTTATACCTGTCAAATTAAACTTATTTTTATAAAAACAAATTAATCCTCATACTAAATTTGAATAATTTGAATTTTTTTCGCGTTTTTCCGTAATTTCGAATACTGAAAAATGTTTAAAAGAAATGCCAGATGTAATTCAAGTACGCTGTTCAAGTCATAAAAGTCCGGGCAGAATCCTCAAACGGTTCAGTCCGAGATACCGGGTATTGAAACTAATTTAAAAATATAAGTAGAATATATTATGTTCTTGTCGATTTGAATGAAATTTGTATAGGTTGTTGAGAACTTTATGAGGTATCTTTCATACATGAGTTCCCTCAGTAATTCTCGAAGTGAATTGAGTTTGTGCAAGAAAAAACACCAAGTGGTTTTTTTTTTTGATGAAGCAATTGAACACAATTTTTCAGTTTTTTTATATTTCCTTTTTCACTTTGTTTTTGAAAAAAAAAATACAAAGAGAAATCTGCTTCTTGAGTATGTACCAATTCCGTTTTTATTTCATTCTTATGAATAGAATATTTCATAGGCTTTTGTCACTTGAATTCCGGAGCACACTGTACAGTTTATAGCTCCGTTTAGTCCAATTTGTTAAAAAGTACATCAAAAATATAATGGAGTCAATAGGTTCTAAGGAAGTATAAAAAACATATTTGAAAATCCACTACAAACTGCTAACTCTGTTTTTCATAGCTAACTGGATTATATTGATAGTAGGATTAATTTCTATGGACTTTTCACAAAGGACACTGCACGTTTTATAGGGAAAATTGGCCTCTGAACAAAATGTCCGAATACCAAACTGTTCTAATGGCTAGTTTTGGTGCTAGAGGTCGCTTAAGTCCCAAAGTTGTTGTTTTTTTTTCTCCTGATGAATTTTTCAGTTTAAGCTATTATTATATTATTTTTTGATACGATAAGTCACTACAAGAAGTTTTCTTCCATATTGATGCTGTTGGCCAAGAATTATACAGTGTGTTCCAGCAATTATCGGGGAGATAAAATATGATATTATCCAATAATTCAATACAAAAGGATATTGTCACGTGTCGCATTTCAATTATGGAACAGTTTTTCCAATAAAGACATTCATTATTATTATCATTATTATTATTATTATTATTTGATATTTACCTAGTATATAATGAGGATATGCAACGTTATTAACTCGTTCTATAACAGTAGCAGATATTATCAGTAAGCATCTTTAGATGAATATTCCTTCTAACTTCGACAAAAAATTCTGATTATACCTAGTATATTTTTTCAAATGCATGTCAATATATTTCAGATATCACGCACTCGAAAATCGTACCATTCTTTCAAAAATCGGATCGCAGATATTGAATAGTTTGTTAACTTTGTTACATGTGCTGATTTATTGATGCTATACAGGGTGTTAACAAATAAGTGTCACAACGGAAAACTGTAGATTCCTCATAATAAAAGAAACATTTCTTTCCTCTTCAAAATTTTTCTCCAGGCTTCGGTTTTCAAGATAGAGTGCGTCAAAAAATCAAAAATTTTCAGTTTAATTAAACACACTTTACAACGCTTGATAAACTTAACAATTTGAAAACCAGCATCGAGACCAGCATACTCAAGAACCTGACATTTGATTGAACATATCATTAGACAGTTCTGAGGTGTTTATTTCCAGTGGATGTTTAGACGATTTTTGGAGATACCATCAGGATTTTGTATGTTCTTATTCATAAAAAGCCATTTTTCTCGGAAACTGTTCACTTTAGAGCATTGAGACAAGAAGATGTTTTTTGTGTGAAAGATATTGGCGCTTCAGAATCTACTTTGAAAATAACAATTTCTCCAGTGGCATAAATGTTTGGGGTGTACGAAGGCTTAACTCCGTAGCTCAGACGATTCCTGAGATAGCAAAAAACAGATTTTTTTTGTAATTTTTTGACGCCCTGTATCTTGATAAAGGAAGCCCTGAGAAAAATTTCGAAAGGGAAAAAAATGTTTCTTTTTTCATGAGCAATCTACAGTTTTCCGTCGTGACACTTATTTGTTAACACCCCAGACTTCAGCGACCTTTAGCGCCAAAACTAAAGATTAGAACGGTTTGGTATTTGGACATTTTGTTCAGAATGTTTTGAAGTATAACATATAAAAAATTCAGGGAATTCGACTGGAGGCCAATTTTCCCTATAAAACATGCGGTGTCTTTTCATTTAGAATTTTTCTCCATTATCAAATCATTATACATTGTTGAACTGTTGACATTTTGTATTGGTAAGCTACCTGTTGTATTAATATTTTTCTCATTTGATCCAGAAACTGATAATCCAGATGTGAAGAGCGTGGTACGGTTACTGTCCTCGGCCTTAGGAATCGATTCGTCTAAAGCAACAAACCTCGTGTCACCAAAGAAGAAACCTTGAGTACTATTAGCATTATTTCATAACACTTCAATCAGTCAGGAATGATCGATTATATTTTGAAAGTCGGGGTATTCAGCAAACTGAAAAAGTTAGGTGGTATTCCAGGTCTTCGTATTTCAACGAAAATGACGATTTGTATGTATTCTATCCGATTGCCAGTTTAGATTCCATATGAAATGTTATTTTTGTGAGTTTATGAAGGGTTATAGCAGGGATTGGGAATAGGGAAACCCCTACTGAATTGCTGAATCCCTTAATAACGTAAATCCGTTGTATTTGAACGTTAATTTTTGTATAAAGTGATTCCTATTCAAACAATTTGCACTTGGATAATTGAAATTTATATTTGTTAGCAAAAAGTTCCAGTAGGGTTGATGATGATTCCAAAGGGAAAAAAATACAGGGTGTCCGCTAAAAAGAGGTCAATCCATTAACCATATATTCCTTGAACAAAAACAATGAGTTTCTAAATACGATTTTTCATTTTGGCCCTTCATATCCGATATACAGGGTGTCGAAAGTTGGAAATTAAAAACTGTTTTGTTCTACTTACTCGCGTATTTGATAACATATTAATCTCAAAATTAGTACATCACTTCAGCACAAAGAGTTACATCGTGTTAAGAAAACAAAACAGAAAATAACTGTCAAATATTCAAAATACTGGGGGTCAAGTACACACTTAACCCCATATTTTTTTTGGACGTGCGCTAATGACTTCCTATCTATTTTTCTTCAAGTGTTCAATCATTTTTGAGTATATTTTGTTTCTTGTGAAATTTCGATAAAATCATTTGTTTTTAAGATAATTCGAAAAGTACTGGTTATTGTTTGATGCTTATGCGGCTTACGGTAATCTCTCAATGTTCACATACTCCTATTTATTTCGTCGAAATTGGAAGAGGGCGTAACTTTTTACGTACGGAAAGGTAAATATCGAAATACCGAGTGCTCAGAGCGAATGTATTGAAATAATTTTTACAAAAAAAAATTATAGAAATTCAACACGTCTAAATGAATTGCTCGATACAACCTCCAATTTTTTGAATACACATGCGAGCCCTTTTAATTAAAGAAAATCTTAGACTTTGAAAAATATGTGGCTTATACACAAAATCTTTCATCCCCAGACAATCCTGATCTGCTATTTCTTTCATCAAGTAGCTATTAAAATCATGGATATCATAATTGCAACAAAAATTCCCGAAAATATATTTTTTTTCGATTTTATTTCCCGTTTGTTCGCGCGCGACATACCATACGGGGGGGGGGGGTCGATTTTGAAAGAATTTTGAAAAATTTGCTGTTCTCGAAAAAAAGCAATCTAATGATTCTTTAAAAGGGTGGACTCGTCAATCGACCCCCCCCCCCCCCCCCCCATCCTCCCAAAATCATTATTTACCCGAAATTCCAAACGTTTTTTTATTTGATCGCGTAAAAAAAATTTCACGCCGTTCGATTGGCAAAAAAAATTTATTCGACATGTTGTGTCCTCACATTATTTTTTATTGTAAAAATTATTTTCATACATTCGCTCTGAGCACCCGGTATTTCCATATTTACCTTTTCGTAAAAACACTCAAAAATGATTGAACACTTGAAGAAAAATAAATAGGAAGTCATTAGCGAACGTACAAAAAAAAAACAGTGTACTTGACCCCCAGTATTTTGAATATTTGACAGTTATTTTCTGTTTTGTTTTCTTCACACGATGTAACTCTTTGTGCTGAAGTAATGTACCAATTTTGAGATTAATATCTTATTAAATACGCGAGTAATTAGAAAAAAACTGTTTTTAATTTCCAACTTTGACCCTGTATATCGAAAATGAAGGTCTAAAATGAAAAATGGTATTTAGAAACTCATATTGTTTTTGTTCAAGGAATATATGGTCAATGGATTGACCTCCTTTTAGCGGACACCCTGTATATACAGGGTGTTCCTTAATGATATGCTTATATTTAAGGGACCGATTCTTCGACCCATTTCAAGAATAAAACTTCATCTGAACATATGACGTAAGCGTCCTAACTTTCGAGATTCGAATTTGAAGTCTGGTCTCGTTTTTCCGTTTTTTCTCGAAAACGAAGCGTTCTATCGAGTATCAACAAGAGGATCTTTTTTGTACATAATTAAATATCCTTTCATAGCATTGTGTGAAATTTGAAAATTTTCCGTCGCTGCTCACTTTTAAATAAAATTTAAACAATAATTTTCCCGTAACGGTGCCACTGGTAGAGAAAATGAAAATTTTTGTTCATCAGAAAATGCACCTTGATGCAAAAAAGACGTGTACCAAATTTCAAAAAGATGTATACAATATTGTCTTAGTTATCATCAAAATACTGAATATTTTTCAAAACTTCATCACCCTGTATCTCAAAAGTTAAGACTTTTAGGACATACGTTCATATAAAGTTTTCTTCTTAAAATGAGTCAGAGAATCACCCCCTGAAATATTAGCATGTCTTCAAGGAACACCCTGTATATGTCAGTTAGCAGGATGATTCAACGTATCGCGGACAAACTTTGTGATCGGTTTTCTCGTTATTCTGAATCACCTTGTATTGCATAGTAATGAAGAATAATTTCTCCGTCTCTAATTTCCTTGTTACATGACCAAAACAGTCTTTAAGTTATTTTTTCTACAAACGTCAAAAAATGACAAGGTTCGCGCATTGATAACAAATTGCGAAGTGACACTTTTTTTCAGTTTCCTACGTTACCACGACACAATGTGCGAAGCAGTGCGCGAAGTAAAACAGTGCGCGAAGTACCTACTTCGCGCATTGTTATGTAAAATATATGAGATATTTATATTTCAACTTCATGGTCCTCAATTAAACAAACATTCACGAAATCATTTATTTCTGAATGTTCAACAATAACTTTGTTTTATTTCTTGGAGCGCACGAAAGGAAATTCCTATTATGTTCATGGAACATCGTGCGTACCTAGGGAGGATAGGGGGAGGCCTTTTCAAGCCAGTTCAACACTATTTTCGATATCAAGCTAAGCATATTTTTACTTCACAACTATATTTTTTGACGTTTGTAGAAAAAATGTTGTTTGCAACTCGAGCGCGAAATACTTTGGTCATCTCGACTATTTTTTAACTCGGCTACGCCTCGTTAAAAAATCAGATCTCGATCACCAAAGTAGCATTTCGCGCTCTAGATACAAAAATAACTATTAATGATTCACTTTTACATTTTATTACTATGTTAAATCATGATGCTGATGGTATTTTATCAGTTGCCAGCATAAGATTGAATCGTTTTTTAAATATGTTTTACATTTGATTGATTTTTTCTGTTGAAGGTGTAAATCCATGTATTTGAATATTTATTCGATTTTTATGCCGAGAAATGTGCACGCGGCAAATTCCGCACTTTATTCAAATTGTTTTTATTGCCGTAATTTTCTTCAATAAAACTATTTTTCATTAGATTTAATTCGATTATAGTATAGGTACCTGAACATGAATATCTTGAATTACATTTTTTCATCCTGAAATTACTCAATGGTGATCTTGTTCCATTTGGACTTATGATGAAAAATATGTTTGAATGAGTTCAAAAATGGAATTTCAAGTTGTGAGTTATTTGAACATTTTATTTACAAAATTGTTCAGAAATAATTGGCCTTCAATACTGCATTAGAGACTACAGGATATTCCATTGGAATGTGGAAAGTTGATGTAATTTCTGGAAAAACCAGAAGTTTGGGAAAATATGTTCAGTAACGATTAGATAGAACATCCAGAGAACCTGATTTAAGAAGAGAAAATCACCAGGTATCCTTTAGAATGTAAGGGAAACTGAAATTATTTGCAGCAATAACCTATAAAACCATTTTAATGACATTAGTTCAAATGTATAAAATGTTTTGGAAAAAAATATATAGTCTAGGAATTAATAAGATCTAAAAAAAACATATTTGATAATATACTATTTTTCAACAAATACATTGAACATAATATAGTAAATTTAGAGAAAAAGACTATCCCATCACAAATATTTTATTCAGACTTTCAATACTCCTTACTCTATACAATATTTAATATCAGTTTGTGGAAGTACAAATGGTTTTCGTTTGAAGCAACACTTGCAACTGAAAAATAAATCAATTGAAGGCATGAAATTGCAGCTGAATATTTCACTAACAAATGCATATAATGATCAACCATCAAATAATCAATATAAATTAAAGAATATAAACAACATTTATATATTTCCAAAAGAAATTGTAACAAGATCACAGCCTTCTTGATATTCCGAGCCGTACGGAAAGAGTTGGCAACGCTGAAACATCTGTTTCTCAAGGTATGTTCATGCTTGTACGAATTCCGCAAAATTTATGCGAATAAAATGGCGACTGCGAATATCGCAATGAAGTTGAAATATTTGAACTTTTTTGCGAATTCGGATGGAATCATAACCACATAAAATGTGTTGTTATTTTGATATCATCAAAATTTGGGAATTAGAGAGCGGACAGCAGAGGCCGAAAAAAGACGAGACTAGACACTAGACTACAGGTAAGTACAGAATTATAATCAAAAATTTCATCATTTCTTCATTTGATTAAATTTTCTTCGCAGCATGGATTTTCTGGACGAATTAATTTCAAAGTATCTTTTGTATCGTCTCTATTGAACTAATGATGTATCCAGAAGCATATAAAGGAGCTGTACTGTTCGAAGCATTTTTGAATGCCGAAAAATGAATGGAGATTAATACAGATTCGTTCGATTAATGCGACTGAATGACCCTAATAAATATTTTTACTTACGTGTAACGTGCCTTCAATTTGATGAACTTCTATCAATAAAGAAATTATCCACCTTGATCACAACAGAACCCTTGTCTCCTGCAAATTTTGTCGCATGAGTATAAACGTCAAATTCTGTCGGAAATTTCATATCTTGCGATTCGCATGAATTTTGCGGAATACATGCATGAACATACCTTTAGAGTACCTATTTGGACAGCTCCGAATATTTCACGTTTTTCTTCGGAATTTGTTCAGAATTTGACTCGCCGCCACTCAAGCATTTATCTCTGTCTCTCAATAGGTCGATGAAATATTCACCACGTTGAAAAGGAATATACTCAGATAAATTATAAAAAATGCAACAGAAAATGGATACATATAAAGAAAAAGAAATACATTGACAAATCGCATTCTCTGGTGAAAATATGAATTATTTTTCGGTATATTCAACAGAAAACAACTACTTTCCTGTGTGATGAACATCGATTCATCATACAACTGACATTCACCATGTTGTTTGTTATTCTCCAGTATTTATTTTCTTAACGGCTCAGCCGAAACTTTAGAATCTAATACCAATGTTGCAAAGTTTCTTCAGAACGGCTCGGGAGTTTCAGAAGGCTATGACATGATGAAAACTGACTCAACAAGTAATAGTAGGGGAGGCAAAGAGGCTAAATAGGGATTTACTCGAGCGTCGTGGTTACGTATCAGATTTTGAAGATTGGATGCGAAAACGAAAAAAGTTTTTATGACGGAATATGACCTTTCACTGCTGGGGAGAACGTAGCGTGTACAGGTGTTCAAAAATGTAAAAAAAAAACAGTCACATAGAAATACTCGAGCGCATCAGATATTGATAGTGTATGCGCCCCACGTGTTTCTGATAACCGAAAAATATTAATCTGCCGGTTTGCATGGTGGGGGTGGCCGTACGAAGGGATAGAGAATAGGTTAAAAAAAATTTATTCGAGCGCCAGATAGGGACGTTAAGTGAACCCTCAAGTAATGAAAAAAAAAAATTGTGACCTTGAAATACTCGAGCGCATAGAAATACTCGAGGGCATCAAATATTAATAGTGTATGCGCCCCAGGTGTTTCTGATAACCGAAAAATATTAATCTGCCGGTTTGCATGGTGGGGGTGGCCGTACGAAGGGATAGAGGATAGGTTGAAAAAAATTTATTCGAGCGCCAGATATAGAGAAGGGACGTTAAGTGAACCCTCAAGTATCCCCTATTCAAAAGACTAACGATTTGGACGCGACCGAGTTAATTTCTGAAAATGAAAAAAAAAAAAATCGTGACCTTGAAATACTCGAGCGCGCCAGATTATTATACAGACGCTTCATCTTAATGTCCTTGTCGTTTCGACCCATAGTCTGACAAGTATGTAGAGGAATTACCTTAATCTGGCGGTTTTCTTTTTTTTTTGTTAACTGAATGTAATAACTAAACTATACAGGGTGGGTCAGTTTTTTGTAGCAGGACTTCAACAGCTCGAAGAATTCTCAATTTTGAGATGGAAGGCTTATGCGTAGACATACAGGGTGGACCAATAATGTGGCAAAGTGTGTGTGGCTTTGCTGATTGAGATAGATGAACAAAAATTCTTGATGTGGTCTAGTCCCATGAGCAGTACATTTCTGAAATATTTTGCGTTATACAGGGTTACTCAAAAATGCGTGGCGTATCAAAGTTATACTTTTTCTTATAGCACACCTTGTATTTTATTGCATTTTCAGATTAGTCCTTATGAGCTGATTCCAACGATCTGTATCACAGTTTAGTTTCAAAAGAAATTATCACAGAGAAAAAAGGTGCAAAAAATCGAGATTTTTCAACTTTCGGAATTTCTTGTAAGTACTCATTATTGGTCAGAACGGCCTACATGTCCCTATCTCAACTTTTGATTCACTATTAACTGACATTTAATTTGAAAACGGGGTGGTTCATAGTTCTGAATAATTATGAACCACCCTGTATTCGTAAAATGTGATAGATCGATGAAATCAACTCACAAGGGAGAATCTGAAAATGCAATGATAACAATATGTAAAGTTATACTTTTTTAACATTTTACATTTTCCTATGTTACCACAATGGGCGTGCACACCTTAGTAGAACTTTTAAGTCAAACCATGTTATAATGATCCATTTATACATAAGTATGATTGACGACATAATTCGATCGAAAAATTAACTGGAATGTTTTATTTTTGGACATAAATAATAGTACCTTCTGAAAGCGGACCCTCTTATGACGTAGAAACCTCATCTCGCCATAGTTAAAAGAAAATACCAAACGCCCGCGTTAATTCACTCTGTCAGAAATCATGTATCATTCATCTCTGTCTGGAATAGTCTTGTTTCTGTATTAGGGTTTTGACGTCACATCATCGCCTCGTTTTCATTGGTCCGAAAAATCGGGGATTTCAATAATTTTTTATAAAACGTAGAGAGCTCACAGCAAGAAACGGTTTGCGGTGGTAAGCTAGTTTGGGTGAGTTCTATCGAATTATGAAATACAAATTTTTAGTGTTACAAGCCCATTACATACATATAGTTCCCAGTGGCTGCAAGCACCACACTCAATTGATGATTTTCGATACTTCGGCTTGTGCAAATTGGCAGATTATGTTATTTCCGTGATCCGTGACTAATTGCCTTCAAAATAAGAAAAAAATTGACCGCGCTCGAGAATGTACAGGTGACGATTTTTTTTGCAACTTTGTGGCTCTCCCATTTCCTTGTCACGCTCAAATCGTCAGATTATTGAAATGCACACTTTTCTGCATGTAATTAACGTACCATGTCTTAATCTGATGCGCTGGATTATTTCTGACGATCGATTTTTACTTATCTAATCGGCTGCCCTAAACTTTCGACACCATATACAGGGCCCAGAGGTATGGTGGGAGTAGGGTCCCTTGATGTGAATTGACATATTTGTCTGTCTGACATTTGTTGTTTTTTAGGTTATATTGAGGACATTGGCGTATCATACGTAATTTCTCATTCAACTCTACATATTATATCCAAATAAAGGTGGATAATTTTCATCATGATCCAAATGATGATAATTTTCGAGTTTTTGATTTTTCAACTCCAGCATAATCTTTGTGAGGCATTGAGCAAATGTTTCTGAAGTTTAATACGTTTTACCAAATGGGACTGTTCTTAGGCAGTACCTATCAATAAATGAATTTTGATTTCAGACTAATAAGCCTTATGGTTGAGAAATGGTGAGGAATTTTATGTAGGTATTTGAACTAATGTGCTCATATGTCATGTGTGCTGTATGTATTCATGTTGGGATTCATTTTTGCAGTTTTTCACGAACACTTAATATTTCCTGAATGTAGGTATAATTTTTTAAATGGTATGGCATTTGCCTCTTCTTTTAATCCTCCTTAATCAAAACTGTTTCTACGAAAATGCATTAAAAAACTTGTGAAGTGGATAATTATGGGCACAATGAGAAAGTATAATATGTGATTTCGTATTAGTTTTACCTCGAATATTTTGCTGATGTATTTAACAATTTTCCCCATTAGGTCACTTCACTTTCCATGTTCTAAGTTCATTTGCATTTGATGGAAAGCAAACAAATTTAAATGTAAAAACTTCACAAACGATAAGATTTCCACAAAATTTGTGGAAATCTTATCGTTTGTGAAGTTTTTACGGTAATTTTGCACTTATCATGCGATGGGTTTTTTTTCGAAAATTTTTTTTGGTACTTACGTATTTTTGTCTGAAAAACACGAATTTGATATTGAAAATGTGAACAAACCACTATTTATCGAGATATTTCAAGAAAAAGTTCGAAATTTTGCCTTATCCCCCTTGTATTGGATGCATTTACAGGTACTTGCTCTTTTTATTTTGTCATTGGACACTTCATATACTCATGATGTACTTCAATGACACATTTTAAGCTAGAAAATTCAACAGGAAATATGATTTTTATGGCGAATTTTTCCTATTTAGTGAGCAAGCATACCAGATGACCGCCATTTAATCGATGGGTAATCTAAATAGGAGATGTCAAATGTCAATAGATTGCTTTGGAATGACATCACACACGCCATTATTTCAAATGATATTCTTCCTTCTTTTCACTAAACATGGATAAATCACAAGAAAATCATATTTCTAGTTGACTCATATAATAAAAAAAAAATGTGTCCAACATTGTGTGATATATATATAAATTGTCCAATGATGGAAAAGGAAGGGCAAATTGTTCTAAATGCGCCCCAAAGACAGGCGGAAAAGAAGGTGAAATTTGTAACTTTATAGTGAAATATCTCGATAAATAATGGTTTGTTCACATTTTCATTATCAAATTCGTGTTTTTCAGACAAAAATACGTAAGTACCAAAAAAATTTTTCGAAAAAAAACCCATCGCATGATAAGTGCAAAATTACCGTTTTTACATTTATCATGGATTTCCATCAAGTAACGGGTCAATTCAAACAAATTTAAATTTGCCATCCAACTGATTGATACAGCCTAACGCAGCACATTTTACCATCCTTCCAAAACAGAATTGAATAATGTCACATCAAGATCAAGTATGGAATTAAAATTTAAGAGATCTTTTTTAACGCCTATGAGTGTGACGTGACTGCAATGTCATGTCAGGGACGCCAATTCACGAAACCAAAGTCACTAGATGATTAAAAGAGAAGGATCTATGATCTGTCCGTACCCTGTTAGATGACAAATACGTCAGTTTGAATCAAGGGACCCTAGGTGGGGGTACTTCACAAGGTTTGGATACCCCCCTTATGTTAATTTGCCGCGCTCGAGTAAATCCCGAAATCCCCGCTTGGGCTTCCCTACTACAATTAGGACCAGGGACAAGTTGGACTGCAGAACAGAAAAAACTATTTGTGAAATTCCCATTCAAAAATATATGATATATGGCTCACAGTACCCTCAAATTGCATTGATTGATAAGCTAGAATGTTTATTCATGAAGAATCACTCAACTCCTCTTCTTCAATTTGAATTCTAAATTTACAGTCAGTACAGAAAACGTTGTGCTCATGGTCAGTACGGTCGGAACAGCACACCAAAACTTTAGTTTTATTTTTGACGTTCCTAGATTCAGAGGTAGATGGAGATATATCGTCGTATATATTCTGCTCGGATATTCCACTGTCCCCATCCGAACCTAAATTGTAAATTGGCGAACTAGAGGTGCTTTCTTGAGATTCATCTCCTTCATGTTGGGAGATCCATCTGATGGTGCGGATTTTCTTATTCTTCCTCAGAAAATTCGAGTAGTTCAAAGGGCACATGAGGTTTTCTTCAAGTTCTGCAAGGCGCTTCCTCTCTCCTTCACCTTGAAAAAATGTATTCTTGTTATTTCAAGCTTTTTTGATTCTAAAATGTCATTTGTACTGAACTAGTTACCAGATGAAGTGGGACTGCCAAAAAATTGACTAATTTGGATAACCTATAACACGAACAAGTCATGGAAACCATCCATCCTTCTCAAAGTGGTCCAGATTTTTTCAAAGAAAAAACAAAATACACAAAGACGGTCGACCACAAATTATATTACACAATTGCTAGTGTGACTAGTTTCGGCTAAACAGCCATCTTCAGACACAAATTGAATAAAGTACCTGTAAGAGATGAAATTACAGACGAACAATAAGTTTGCTGAGGAAAAAACATACCTAGGCCATGTGGTGATTACAAATTCATCAAAAAAATAAGCGGTTATATCAACGTATAAATAATCAGTCCGGTAAGGGGGTGATTAAATTTTTATAGCGGCTGAACAGCCAAAAGAACCTTATAATCATGAGGTTCAACATTGGCACGAAAAAATTATAAGATATTTAAATTCACTCAACTGAGTTTCATCTTGAATGGCTCTTGAAAGACAGAAATGTCATTTGCTTACCTCGGCGATTCTTGGATTTCTGTCTTTCAAGAGCCATTCAAGATGAAACTCAGTTGAGTGAATTTAAATATCTTATAATTTTTTCGTGCCAATGTTGAACCTCATGATTATAAGGTTCTTTTGGCTGTTCAGCCGCTATAAAAATTTAATCACCCCCTTACCGGACTGATTATTTATACGTTGATATAACCGCTTATTTTTTTGATGAATTTGTAATCACCACATGGGCTAGGTATGTTTTTTCCTCAGCAAACTTATTGTTCGTCTGTAATTTCATCTCTTACAGGTACTTTATTCAATTTGTGTCTGAAGATGGCTGTTTAGCCGAAACTAGTCACACTAGCAATTGTGTAATATAATTTGTGGTCGACCGACTTTGTGTATTTTGTTTTTTCTTTGTATAACACGAACATTTCTGTGCCGATGTTGGATTTCCAACCAAAGGTATAAAGCGTCATCCTTGGGCTATGCATCTTTTTTTTTTGCCGAGGTGGTTGAAATCTTTTATAGACATCATATGGGTCCAATCCCCCATATGATAGTGTGGGAGTCCCCTCCATGGTATACCCACTAAACACTCCACCCCGTTGTAGGCTCCGACGACACTTAGGCCTAGTGGCCCATTGTATCTCACCTACATGCCGTTATCAATTTTACCACATACGACTCATGGTGCATATCAAGGGCCATTTCAATATGAAAGACCCTTCTCGTTCAGGTTCCTGAATATTGCTATTCCGATCCCTGTTCTCGTCTATGAAGAAGGCCAAAAGCATTCCTTCTCCTACGAGTGACGGGGGAAGGGGTTGGTCCAGCCCTGTGGTGCCCCCTGCACAGGGCTAAGGCTGTTTACTCTGGGATGTCGCCCTATTTCCCAGAGGCCCCGTTAGCGACACCATTCCTCGGTGCCATCCATCCATCGCCACGGGTTCCCACAGCTTGGATTAGGTTGCCAGAGCCTCGTTGACCAGTCATCGACCACCTAGACAGACATCAGCAAATCGCCCCATCCCTGCCACAGATGTCCACAAATTGTCCCATCTGGCAGAAGATAGCAAAGATGGTCCCAAAATGCTTCATCTGTCAAGCGGCCGCGGCCTGCCTTCCCCACACCACTTGATGGTGAGGTTGGACTTGGAGGAAAAAAGGAAAAGAGAAGTTGGCCAAAAAAGGTCGATAGGAAGATTGAAAACGGAAGAGAGAAGAGGATATCACCCAAGACAAGTTGAAGTATGGTGAATATCCGGCTAGGGTACCTCGGGTTCACCATTCCCGTACTCACAAGTTGTGAGCCCCTGAGGGGATTGCCAGAGCCTCGATATCAATCCGCGGCCACATAAGCAGATGTTCACAAATTGCCCCATCCTCGCACTCAGATGTCCACAAAACTGTCCCATCTGAGTGATGACAGCAAAGATGTTCCCAAAATGCTCAATCTGCCGAGCAGCCACGGCTTGTCCTCCCCGCACTATGGTGAGGTTGGGCTCTAGGGTAGAAGGAAAAGAGGAGAAGTGACCAAGGGAGGCCGATGAAGAAAAAGATTGGAAACTGAAGTTGGTATTTGACGGCAAAATTCATATCTTGTTATCAAATCGCGAAATTAAGTGGAAATTTCTGCACAGGAAAGTGCTGTTTGCTGTTTTTATCATTTTGCTCAGGATAGTGATTGACACAGGTGCAGTTGAACTACAATGCTTTTACATTCCTTTGGAACATATAATATTTCATTTTGTTATCAGATGAGGGTAGGAATCTGCAGCCAGCACTCCTACTAAAGAAGTGTTTTTGACAGTACAATATTATATAAAACATGTGAAATAATTTTTCAACCTCCCTTTAAAAAAATCACATACCATTAGTGGGAACAATCCAAAAGTACTTATTTTCATATAACCGTCTCAGGCCTGGGATCTCTTGATATTTTTGATAAAGCCTAGGGGATTTACAAACAAACTCTAGACAAAGCATTTGCAAAGTAGATTCTTCTGATACAGAACAAACAATTCTCACTGCTGACTGAGCTGCTGTTGAGCTCACCATTGGATAAAGATCATGTTGTTTGAGCCCTGAGAATGCAATACCTACAATAAAAAGTAATTGGTTGGTGTTTGATTATCATTATAACCTTTTAAACCTAAACTTACCCATAGGCTTTCTATTAACATGATATTCCAGAGTTCCTTTGCACATATCTAAATGCAGTCCAACTATACTCCCCAAACCAAATTGAGACCCATACTTCCTTACCAATTTGTTATGTTGGATGTTCCCATGATAGGAATAACCCCATGATTGTGAATCTATGCCTAGCATACTACAAAACCTGAATTTCCAATCTGATAGATCAATTTTGGAAGTTCCCACTCCTACCATCTTAAATTAAAAATTTTATCACTGTGAGCATGAAAAGATCATGCAACATTGATTTCTGCTTCTCACCACATCTGTTCCATACAAATTCGAGATCATCTTGATTTCCCAATAATAATGTAAATTCTGAGCAAAAGCATGTTCACCTCTGACAACAGCAGTGCCAGAGCTGTATAAAGGGTGGAACAAGATATCTCTGCTATCATCAGAGATTCGGATATTGGTTGAGTTATTGGATTTTAACCAACTCCAAGTGAAATCTCCAATGTCTTCTCCACAATGGCACTGTAATTTTCCATCCACAATTTTCTGTAAACATTCTTTGGTACAAATTGGATTCATGTATTTGTTGATGACCTTAGAACTTGAAACAGAGGAGCTAATGTAAAAGTAGTACATGGCCCTTATAACAATCTAAAATGTACAAAGGAATCTTGCCCTATGAAAAACTTTCAAACAAAACAGTAAAATACTTAGTACTTTGAAGACTTTGTCATTTCGGGAAGAAATGAATCTATAATATACTGTTATATGACTATGAGATACTTCTAGATGCGAGCATAAATTACTTTTTATTATTACAAATAATATAATAAAAAACAAAATTTAATTAACTTCCTTTTACATGTTTTGAGGTTAGAACGAACTTCGTGCTTGATTGCGTTGACACAAGATAACGTGATTTTAGTCAAGATAAAAATCAAATAAAAGAGCAGAAGAGTTTTGGCCGGATAGCCCTTCCAGGTTAAAACCGGTTAAAACACCTATAAAAACAGTAGAAGAATATTCACTTATAACCGCCAAATTTGAAACCTTTCGTGAAGGATGGTCTACAACTGCTAAAAATGAAATTTGTTTTGTTCCTTACATTGTTGTTTGTTTGGCAATCTTAGCTTGGCAGTATCAGGATTTTTTGTAAGTATTGATTTCCATGAAGGATGTACTATTTTTCTTTGATGAAAGGGAAATGAGATACACACAGATTGCTTTCATTAAATAAAGAGCAAGAAACTGATGAAGTTTATTGCATAAAAAAATATCACAAATATTCAAAATTACATATAAATATTAAAAATAATCATGTTCCATTTACATTTTTTAACAAATCAGAAGTTATATTGTTCCATCTAGAAATCTCGTTAGAGCAGTACCATAACAAGAGCAACATCTAGGGGCGAACTATTTTCAACCGACCAAGTACAAAAACTATACAGGGTGATTCTCGCAGCTAAGAGAGAATGACCCAAATTGAAAGAACATGCCACTGCCAAAAGGCATCAATATATATTCAGGGTTTGTTATCCAGGGTGATATTTCAGTTTTTTTTTTATCAGATATTGATGGTGATTTTTATATTTATTATAATTTTTTTTTTAATCAACTCAAAGACTGCAAACAACTTCAAATCCCCATGGCTCTAGATATGGCACTGCAAGATTATACAAAGTGATATAAGAGTTGTTGGAGAAACATTTCATTAGAATTAAAAATTACCTCCAAAGAAAAAATTGCATTTATTCTTTTGGGAACACAAATCGAGAAATGGAAAATGAAATCAAACAATAACGACATTGATAATGAAATCAAACGATAACACACTCTGATACCTACTTCATGTCCGAATTAAAAAATATATAAATTACAGTTATTATATCCTAAATATAATGGTTATATGGCGCACACAGCAGTCTTCAAAAGGTTTGTGGTATAGTAAAATCTTCAACATTCATATAATAATGAGAATAATTCACATTACTCATGCTGTATAAAAGTAGACTAATTTCTATGTGAAAACCTGAACCTTCTATTTCATCTCGATGGAAAAACTCACTAGCTATACAGGGTGTCCCATTGGGAAACGGAAAAACTTCAACGGTGGGTACAGCTCATCAAGGTGGTTCTGAATATACCATATTTATCAATTTTGCCCAATTCCTTGTGAGGACATAACTTACGAACCAATTAGTATATTCTTTTGCAATTTGGTACACAATTCCTTATTTTTCTACCAAAGCGACTCACCTATCAGTCATGAGAAAAATCCAGGACCGGATTAACAAAAGTTGATAACATTTCTGGACAACAAAAAGAACACCCTGTATTTTCGAATTCTCAAAATCCGCATACAAATCTGGGAAGTGCACAAAAAGTTGAAACGAATGGTATACTCGTCATTTTCCCGCATGCAATTTCACTGAGGAAATTTCTGATTTTGAATTCGAGGTTTTATGCATTTGGATAGGTAAAAATAATTTTTTTTGAGTTTTCCCAATCGAATAACAACAATTATCACGAACCACCCAGTATATTCTTTTGGACTTTGGTACACGAGTTCTCCTTATTCTACCCAAGCGCCTCATTTATTATCCACGAGAAAAATCCAGGTCCGGATTAACGAAAATTGATCGTATTTCTGGACCCCAATAAGAACACCCTGTATTTTCGAATTCTCAAAATCCTTTTACATATTTGGAAAGTACACAAAAAGCTGAACCGAATGGTGTACTTTTCATTTTCCCACATGCAATTTCACAAAGGAATTTCTGATTTGTAATAATATTATCACGAACCACCCAGTATATTTTTTTGGAATTTGGTACACGAGTTCTCCTTGATCTACCCAAGCCCCTCACCTATCATTCACGAGAAAAATCCAGGTCCGAATTAACGAAAATTGATTATATTTCTGGGCCCCAAAAAGAACACCCTGTATTTTCGAATTTCCATAATATGCTTACATAGTTGAAATTTGCACAAAAAGCTGAATCGGATTGTTTACTTTTCATTTTTATACGAATGCTATTTCACTACTGAATTTCTGATTTTGAATTTGAGGTTTTATGCATTTCGATAGGTAGAAATTTAGGTAAAATGGAAAGTTTTGAGTTTTCAGAATCAGAAATTAATTAGTGAAAGAGCATGCGGGATATTGAGAAGTACATAATTCGATTCATCTCTTTGTGAACTTTCCAAATATGGAATCAGATTTTGTTAACTCGAAAATACTGGGTGTTCTTTTTCGGGCCCAGAAGATCATAATTTTTCGTCAATCCGGACCTGGATTTTCATCGTGACTGATAGGTGAGTCGCTGAGGTAGAAGAAGGAGGACTTGTGTACCAAATTCCAAGAGAATATACTGGGTGGTTCGTAAGTTATGTCCTCACAAAGAATTGAACAAAATTGATAAAACACCCTATATCTCGGATATAAAACTTGCGAGACCCTACAAATATGGTATATTCAGAACCACCTTGATGAGCTCTACCCACTGTTGAAGTTTTTCCGTTTCCCAACGGGACACCCTGTATAATGTTGGCAAAATTGAAAAATATTTATATTTCCAAAATGAATGCACTGTGTACAGTATTGAAAACAATAATGTTTTGCATTCACTCTTTTGAATAGGTTTCACATAAAAATTCACTCATTTCGAATATATAAAGATATAGAAAAAGTTATATAGTATTATTTGGTATGAATAGATATATTATTTGGTTGAACATACCATCATAAATACAGTGCATAGCTCATCAGTCATATAAAATTCATTCTTTCTATGATCTGTCCAACCTTCAATACAAATATATTAGAGTATATATATCAAGGTATAGAATAGATAGATAATAAAATCACTTTGAAATTGTACACATGGAAATGGCAATGTATAGAAATAGTAAATGCTTACATAACCAGAAAGTGTCTGGGATTTGGCATCAATAATCAAATCCTAACTACAAAATCCAAAATGAAAACATCAATTTGAAAAAGATAACATAATGAAGTACTTGAAAGTCCATCTTCAAATGGTAAAAAGTACCACTGTGATCAGGGTTGGCATGAATTAATTCATATGAATTAAATCAGTGATTTAATTCGTGAATTAATTCCATTTACTTTTTTTCGAAGAAGTCATGAATTCAATCAAATTTTGAAAAATGAGACAAATTGCACTATTACCTTTGATTTAAACTAGTTTAAACTGAAAAATTCGATCGTATTTTGGCAAGACTTTGTTATTTCAAGCATGACAGAGATTTTTACTAACAGATATATACAGTATCAAGTATCATCCATAAAGTCCATAACATATAAGAACAGGTTTATTATCACAGCTTTGAATTTTTTTCTCTTGGCGATCCAAAATCGATTTTGACACATGTCACGTGATCACTGGTATATGGTGATAAATAAAACTAATATACTATAAAGCGACGAGAAGTGGGGTTAGATAACAAAATATCCATAAACATTTCTTATTAAGTAGCTATTTCACATTCAGTTTTGAGCAATTTTTGGAGGAGAATTGGAAATGTTGATGATGTACAAGTTGAATAGAATTCAATTTCATGCTCACATGTGGGGTTTCCAGCCATTATTTGAGAACACTGAAAATAGCTATTTTTATTTTTTTTAAATAACTTCATCTTCCCATCTAACCCCACTTTTTGCCATCGTATTTTTTTTAATTTACCGCCATACCAGTGATCAAGTGATATGTGTCGAAATCGACTTTTAAGTAGTCAGACATGCATAATAGATCCCCGAGAAAAAATGTTTTGATATTCTACTAGTAAACTTTTTCTCCATGTGTAAAGAACTTTATGGTTGATACTGGACATCTATATATGTATCTATTATTTTGTATTCTATCATCACTTTTAATTTTCCTTTGAAAAAATGACATGTTATATTATGATGTTATTCTACAAGATTTCTATTTAGCTTTGGGTAAATGAAATTTGTTTTTTTTTTTCAAATGAATTGATTCAGAAAAGTCTGACTTAATTCAAAAAGTTGGACTTTGATGACTTTTTTATAAAAGTCATGACTCATTCCAACCCTGACTGTGATGATGAATTTTTATCCAAGATTTCAACAATTTGAGGAATACCATATTATTTTGTGCTTAAAACCTTTGATGTTTTCAATGAATTCTTAATTCTATCAGATCTACTGGTTTCTTTGGGATAATGAAAAATAACAGCATCAAGAAGTACTGAAGTGAAAAGAATTTACAACTAGAAAAACTTCAAATAAAACCTTTATGGCCAATCAGTCAAGTGACAGCTTTCTCATAGGAAGGAGGAGGTGAATCTCTCAGAACCTGTATCGAATCCAGATTATTTCTGGGTGCTAACATAACAGCTATATGGTAAGGAGGTGGAGGCAATTCAGAAGAATTTTGTGAGATTGTGGAAGTTACCTGGCTGTGCAAATTTTCTGGTTCCTGTTGAAACAATATCAATAATTTTATTATTATCACTTGATCAATTTTTAACCCATGTTATAGATCCCTGAAAATTATTCTAAATTAACTTTTACCTGCTCTGATGTCTGCACAATGGGAGTTTCAGCTTGATGTGATGGAGAATATGAAACAATAGCTTCACATAAAGAGATGAGACCACCTATTATAAGTACAACAACAAGAAGAGAACAGAACACCAGTACTTCCACTCCAATATTTATCTGAAAACACAAATCAATGTCAATAAATAAAGAATTGCTCAGTCCACTGATACTCACCCCATGAAAATAGTATTTGGCACCTGCTAAGAAACATGTAACTAATGCAAAAAAAATCCACACCCCACATTTCAACTTTGAGGTAGGTGAGGGATTATTTCTTGTGGTAGTGTTCCCAGCTGTAATCATCTCCAATGACCTACCTGTTTGTGGGATACGGATATTGCTATTGGATCCACTAGAAATTTATTTCATTAGGCCATCTCTTGCTAATTATGTATAAACTCTTACTCACTTGTAATGTACAGATAAAGGATATTGTGTTGGTAACCTGGTGTGATACCCTGGAGACCTAGTATAGCGTAATCCATTGTTTGCCACACTTTCAATGGACTGAAACCTATGAACTGGAGTTACCATCGGTTTTGGATAGAAAGTACCACATAAATTTCTCTGATTCCGTCCGTACCCTGAAGAGCACAAGATATAGATTTTTTTTGCTTCGATCAGTGGTCATACAGTAATTACCAGAAATGGATGGTGGAATCTGACGACGAACGTTAAAACCACAACCTTGGCTACGTTTATCAATCCAAAAATGCATGTGTGTGCACTTCTTTGATAAATCAGAGTTGGAACAAAAAATGTAATGTTATACTTGCATGGTTTGTTTTCAGCTTGATGTTTTGATATTTATTTTTCATCCTGAGTAAACCACGTTTCGATGGGTAATCTCTGGAAATGAAATTCTTCCTACCGACTCTTCAAATATGTATATGAAAAATACACAATGATCTATTTTCATTTCACTTTTTTATTTTTTATTTTTGTTTACGTTTTTTTTTATGTCAGACTGTCAAAGATGCAATCTTTCAAATTCTGAGTGTTGAAGTATTTACGTTAACGTAAACGTAGAAATTGACAGCTACGCATGTGCATTTTTCAAATTTTCACGTTCACGTTGTTGGGAGTGAGCTTACGACTCTTACGAGGTTACTTACTTTAACGTATACCTTAAATATTAACGTTCGTTAACCCATTGTCGTTCTGGATGACAACCTAGTTAGGTAGTTAGTTACTTAGTTAGTAGGCAGGAGCTATAATATTATACCTCCTCGCACTAGGTCGCCTACTAGGTTTTCATTTAGATCGACAATGGTTAACCAAACTATACTCGAAATATGCCGATGAGGCACCAAGGAGTCCTCTCATTTCAACAGGAATAAATGTTCAGATCAAAACAAACAACCAAAAATGACCTATACAAACCAAAAACAAAATGTATTATCACGTTACGATGACAGTGACGACTTCAACTCCTACGTAAACGTAATTTCTCATACGTCTACGAATACCGTAAGCGTTTAGCGTAACCGTAAAGATAACCAGTAGCCACTAACTAATCGGAAAATAACCTTGCTAATTAGAAATTATTTGTTGTTGTTTGATTTGTTGAAATCGTTGAAACTTTTTGAAATCATGAAAATGTGATTACTTTTAATAATTGATTTCCTCGTGATTTAAATTGATAATTCCTAGAAGAGTAATTGAATGTGTAATGCATTATCTTCCGATTACACTTTTGCAGCCTGAAAAAAACACTTCAAAATGATCATTTGAATAGATAGAGGTTTTCAACCCGAAATGGGCATGATCAGGATGTACAAATGGTAAGTGCTCATTTCTTTAAATATACCTAGATTTTTTTCTGGAGAACAACCAAAGATCTTGAATTTCCTTCAGGCCTGGTGTAAACAAACAATTCTTCATAGCCCTATTAACTGGGATGGCTATAGGCTTCCTTCTAGCTTACACAGCTCCTACTTCTAAAATTCTTTCTGTCATCACTGACCCCCACACTAGTAGTGAAATGGAGTTTATGTTCGGACCTGTAGTGGACCCTGGAACTCATGATGAAAATGAGGAATTCCATGTCATGGAAGATTCCACTGTTGCTAAAAAATTGCATGAGGAAGTGAAAATTTTATGTTGGATCATGACTGGTCCCAAGAACCATGAAAAACGAGCTAAACATGTGAAAAACACCTGGGGAAAGAGATGTAACATACTGTTATTTATGAGTTCTAAGAATGGTAAGTGTTTTCTTTCCTCTACTTTCAATAATTTCTTTGTGAATATTAAGAAAAAGTATAGCTTGCAACATAGTTGATATAAACAACTACAATACAGCAAACTTTGAGGAGGTATGAAATAACAACTCAATAATATTAAATGACACTAATGAAATGGAAGTAATGGATACACTGAATGAATTGAATCAAAAGGCAGTGCCAGGTCAGCCAGGACATGATCAAATTAATACAAGAGACATACCTACTGACATTGAAATTGACCATGATGCCTATTACAATGGTATCTAATGATCTAATGGTATCTAATTGAAAAAATGATCAAAAAACACATCATAACATTAATTGATATTGATGTAAAATTTGATATGTGTACCAATATGGTTTCCAAAAAAACAGTGGCACCCTCAGTACTTCCTACCATATATTTTGAAAATTACATTTCATCCAAGCTTGTTAGGAAATATGTTGTCCTAACAGTTTTCATAGATTTGCTGAAGGCTTTTGATGTAGTCAATCATGAAATTCTTCTGAAAAAAATAAAACATAATAAAACATGGGTCTGAGAGGGAATCTGCTAACATTCCTTGCAATGTATTAACTAAATAGAAAACCAAATAGAAAACAATATGTTAGCCAAGGAAACATATGCAGTGAGACTGAAGAAACTAATCATGGAGTGCTAAATGCAAAATACTTTACTTTTGCTGATGATACAGTTCTGGTCTATACAAGTATAGAAAAAATAAACTACAAATTAATTTGAAAAAACTACTTATTTGCTATTCAAGTAGAAAAACATGAACTCAATTGATATACAAATAAGAATAGGCAATGAAATCATAAATAGAGTTTGAATTGATTGATCTGGCTACATTTGTAATCTTTTTAAGAATTTTTGTAAAAACACAAAGTAATGATAAGTAGTGACAAATTCTGTGATATAATTAGGCTATTTTTAATACTACTGCAACCAATGTACCTGACAAAATGTACTCTATAATTTCAATTATTCTTTTTTTTATATGACATGTTTTTTTAGAGCAAGGACCTCTATGAAAATGTAATTTTTTGTGGTTCAATATAGACTTCTACTCAATACAAAATATGTAGGATTATTCTTGGGAAAAGAGTAAGTACTTTTTTCCCGGATATATATCACATATATATACACTGTTGATGGCTTTTGTTGTGCTATAGTTCCGAAAAATTAGTCAATAATACTGTCTCCGAGAAAGAACTGCAAGTCCTTTTATCTTCCATTCCACTTTGCGGTTACATATATTACTAAACAACCACTAAATTCGCAATTTTTTGAAATCAAATCACAGAAATAGACTGACAGAAGTGACATCAGATATTTGATTACTTCAAAAGAATGATAAAGATGCGAGTAAAGATGCCTACAAAGCAGGTGTCCCTACTGTTAAAAACTTAAAATTTCACGTCGATAATTTTCAGATTTCAAAATAATGTGATATCTTCTCAATATTGATTCGTCCTTTCTTCTGGCACAGAAAAAAATAGTGTATTATACACGGGAAAAATATTAGATTTTAGCTCACGGTTTTTTTTCAACAAAACTACCTGGAGCTAAAATCTACTACTTTTTTCCCTTGTATAATAAATAACTATAGTATTACCCTACAAACATTTTTATGTGTAACTGTTCAAGATTCAGAACTCTAGCCTCGTCAAACATTTGCTTGTTTGTAATTCATAAGTTTCAATATGCAATTTACGGGTGTGAAAGCAGCAACGGTTTTTCTGGCAACGGTTTTTTCAACTTCATTTATGGTATATGGAGGAAGGACTTTTTCTTTCGCTCAAGATTTTTCTACACAAGTCCACTAACCTGAAGAAGTTGAGAAAGGCTCCTAACAAAAAAATAATTTGTGATTTCTAAACCACCCCATAACCACCCCACATAACAGAAAAATCGTGAGACAGTTGGGAGATACCTTAATCGCGATTTCATTATGTAAATCGATAATTTTACACTAATTGAACACCCTCCATACAATGAAATAATTTGTGAACTAGAAACTACCCCTCAACAACCCTCCGAAATAGAAAATTCATAAATCAGTTGAAATTACAGTTGCGCGATGTTTTTTAGTTTTTTGATGGAAATGAATTATTCTAGACCTGCTGACTACTCTTTGTAGGGTGAAATAATTTGTGAATCAGAAACTACCCCTCAACAACCCTCCGAAGTGTAAAAATCATCAATTAGTTGCAATTCTTGTTGCGCTATGTTTTTTGATGGAAATTAATTATTCTAGACCTGCTGTATACGCTGTATGGGGTGAAATAATTTGTGAACCAGAAACTACCCCTCAGCAGCCCTCTGACAATAAATAATTCATAAATCTGTTGAAATTACAGTTGCTGAAAGTTTTTTGATGGAAATGAATTATTCTTGACCTGCAGAATACACCCTGTAAGGTGAAATAATTTGTGAACCAAAAACTACCCCTCAACGACCCTCCGAAGTGTAAAAATCATCAATTAGTTGAAATTCTTGTTGCAAGAGATTTTTTGATGGAAATGAATTATTCTAGACCTGCTGTATACGCTGTATGGGGTGAAATAATTTGTGAACCAGAAACTACCCCTCAGCAGCCCTCTGAAATAAATAATTCATAAATCTGTTGAAATTACAGTTGCTGAAAGTTTTTTGATGGAAATGAATTATTCT